AAGCGCCGTGATGGTCGCTTATCCGCTACTTGAGGAAGAAGAAGACGAGCGCAATATTATATTTATAGAAGAACAGCATTTTTCAGGATTAACTTCTTCTTTTTGCTCCTTTTGGGTCTAGTGTTGGACAATAAAAAGTACCGTTACTTTATAAAGCCTTGGCTTCTGTATATAAAACAAAGCTTTTGTTTACCTTACGTTTGCATAAATCTAAGTAGCAGCTTGGGTTCGTTGTCTTTTTCAGTTCAAGAAATAGTTTTACAGAAGATGCCAGACAAACAGGTTACGTTTAAGTGATACCGTAACTTGATTAACAGACAAAACTTACAAGGAGAGTGTTAGAAAATCTAATGCAAACTCGATCCAATTTTGAACAGAATCTAGTCAGTCCAAGTAATGGTAAAAATTACGTCCCAAGTGTTATTACAGTGACTAAATCAAACTACTTTCTTGCGACTTGAGTGCGGATTCTAAGATCTGGACCTTTTTGGAGTTATCCTTGTTCATGAGGGATAGTTTGGCGAGTGTGGACTGAAGCTGTGACATTTCTGTATCCTGAATGTAGCTTTTCTTTGAATATTGCTTTCTCTGCGTACCCAAAACGACTGTGCTCTTGGGAGACTTTTGAGCGGACTTTCTCACTCTTGCTCTGAGTGATTCGATGGATGATTGAAGTGCATCCACCTCAACTCCCGCGAATTGATCTGCAATTTTCATTTCAAAAAGATGATGAAATGGGGTTTCGGTGTTATCTCTCCAGGACAAAATCTAATCTATGGAAAAAAATATTTGATTTACCGAGCTCCGACTTAAAATCTCGTTCTGCTCTCGTCAGAGGCCTCTTGTGTGTACCAGGCAAGCTACGGAGACGTTGCAAGCGTTGCTCAAGAGAATCATGTCTTTGAAGTGTTTTGTCGACCCTTTTCTCTAACAAAGATTGGTTCTTCTCAACTTTAGCCATTTTCTGATTTGCCTCAGCAAGCCGCTGCTGTTGGTCATCTATTATTCTCTTCAGGTTAGGAGCGTGATGCTGCAGCTCAAAGTAGACCTGCGAAGAGAAAAAAAAACACGAGAAGATCTTATAAGTAATCATGAGAGAAGGAGTAGAAAACACAGTGACACTTTGTGTTGGGTTTATATGATTTCTTTCTCACCTTGTGCGCATATTCGACGTAGTTTTCATGGAAAAGCTTGACATAGTGATGCAGCATTGATCGGCCTTCTACGGAATTGGCAGGAGTCGAACGCTGATTAGGTAATGCATGGGGAGCTATTCTTATCTTGGGACCTGCAAGGAGCTCCTTGCTTATGATGCAGGGGGGAACTTGCTCTGTCTTCTCTATTGCGCTGGAGGACTCTGTCTTATCTGTACTGACATGAATTGGAAGTAAGAGATCCCAAGATTTCATCTCTGCCACAATGCATTCTCCTGAGGATAAGACTGCAATGATCCATGCATACCCAAACGAATCTGACAGAGGTACAAAGCCTAGCAGAGACGATACAGCAGATTCTTCTTGGCATGTACTTAGCACAGTGTGAACAGACGGCGTTTTGAGAGCTTCATCTCTTCCCGTGGCCTGACTTGTGAAGGGAAGAGAGTGTAAGACTGTTGAATCAATGCCACCGTCGTGGAGGGAGTATATTCGTTCTGGCAAAAGGGGGTCAGCGAACAAGGTAACCAGAGAACCGCCTTCACGCTTTGTGGGTAGATCCAAATCAACCATTGTCAGTCTTAACAGTGGTGGTGGATGCCCTAACCATACAGTGTGATCAAGTGGCAGGTTCGAAGTTGCAACTGGAAGCTCATCTACGTTTGACTCACAAATCATTGCAACTCCTTGAATTTTGTTGTGGGAGTTCATGCGAAGACGAGATGAGCTACCAGAGATCCAAACTGGCTGGATTTCGTCGACCAGAGCATCAACCTGTAATTGTCCACCACTCCAGGCAGTCACCAGGATCGAATCTTTGCTGACAAGATTATATAACAGACTCACTGCCCGGCCTTTACATTCTGCCTCCCGAACAGCAAAATCTTCATCTCCTTCACCACTAGATGCTTTATATAAAGGGCCCTGTACGCAAGGAAAACAAGGCATCAGCATTTCAAGGCATGCGGTGGATGTACAAAGAACACTTAAGGAGATATGTGTCAGCTTTTTCATCCCATCTGTTTTCCAAATCAAGGCAAGGAGGGTATAGATCTTTGATGAGGGCCACTGGCTAATAAACTACAAACCTAGAACATTGTGTACCAACTAATTACTATGATGAGGAACACATTAAAATTCTCACGTAACAAACCCAAAAGAGAGGAGCAGTCCTTACCTGTAAAGCCAATGATGCGTCAAGCAAAGCATAAGGATGAGCTTTCACTACCATTATATTATCACCTCTAGTTCCTTGTTCAGTCAAATCTGGAAACACAGCTTCCAACCAATCAATCGCCAGACTGGAGTTGCTAACAGCTTTCGAGTTGGATGACTTAACCCCAAACATATTAGCATCATTGTACATCTCCATTATTGATTCCCATTTGTAAATACTGTTGCAATATACACACAAAGCAATCTAAGTCAACCTCCAGAACTGTTACACACAAGACAAGACAAAATACTAAAACCTATTCCATGATTTATAAAGGTTTGGCATGAGGGAGAATAGTCAGTGGAAGTAATGCAATTGTATACGAGGCGTCAGTGTGAAAAACTATAGATCAACCAAAGGAATCATGGGACCCGGTGAATTTAACACTTTGCTTTAAATGAGCTAGAGAGCGTATATTTATGATCTAATACAGTTTCATGAAAAACCACGAAATATTGAACTATCTTGGAAACTCAGCATACAAGGCACAACTTTAAGCATATCCTAAGAGAAACGTATCCAAGTAGTGTTAGAGATGAATGACAAGCAGAAGAACCATAATTTGCTTACCTTCCAAATGGCACAACTGGGCACAGGATATAGATTGAACCATCAGTGAATAGTATAAAGACCTGCACGATTTTATAAAAATTCGGTCAAGAACTATAAATGTAATCCGCAAGGCTCCGTTTGACAAGAGAACTAAATAAAATAGCGAAGTAATGTGTAGTAAGCTTACAGTAAATCTATCCCACAGATGATCTCCTCCGAAACTGAAGTCAGCAGGATAAATTGATGAAGCTGTTCTAGATCTTCCTGGTTCAACAGGCTGTAGATAGTATTCTTGCTCTGGTATCTCAGCATCTGAAGACAAATCGAAAAGTCTAGCAACAAAAAATTGTAGCCGCGTGTCAATGGAAAATCACCTTTCATAATGAGACAGAGATGATAGAACCAGATAGTAACATAAATATGCCATATTGCATGCAAAGAAGTTTTATATTACCTGAAAACTGCGTCCGAGGACAGAATTCCCAAATGAGTGTCACTATCAGGGTGCCACGATGCTTGTAGCAAGTGTATGGCACTGTCACCACTAGAATAGATTTCTGAGCCAATATGAACAACTCTGCAATCCATAGATCATGAAGTGATGACGTATAAGCAAAAGGCCATCAATTTAAGGGAGCATCATAATCAAGAAAGTCATGGATATAGATGCATCGTAGTAGAAGCCAATGCTTGATGATTACCTGCAGATGACATTGTCTTCTACCACAGAAGCACGTCCAAATAGGTACATCATACATATCCCATCTGAGCCGGCAAGAAGTACAGCTGATCCAGACTTATTGATGGAGATTTTGCTAACGGAAAATTTCAGCTGGAGATCTGGTTGCATCACCTATAATATCATTCATCAGTAAGAAACTGTTTTAGGCTTTTAGCACTCATGCTCGAACTCTGATTAAACCTAATTTTCTCATAGTCAGTAAAATGTCAGCTAACAATCGAGCACAAAAAAAAATCCGTTTCCACTTTCAAACGGCGAATGTAAAGAGAGAGTAAAGACCTTGGACGGGACTGCGGCGAGGACGGAGGTTGGTTCAGGTTCACCCAAGCGCAGAGACAATCGGTGAAGGAGATATCGTTTAGAATCCCAGTAGTATAGCCTCGAGTCTCCGTCCCAAGCCATATAGTTCCTCGGAAACCGCTGCGACACGGCCGGTTCATCCTCGGAGGAGGGAAGAGAAGAGAAAACCGGGTGGCTCTGGAGAGGAACCCACCGGAGCGCCTCTTTGGGCGTCGGAGATCGCCGTGATTCCGGCGAATCCTCTGGTTCCTGGAAGTTAAATCTCATACTCTCTCTCTCTCACTGTATCTGTATTGGTCGGCCGGAGATGCGGAAGAGCGGGGAGAGACGGGGAGAGGAGAGTGACACCAGCCAAGCAGAGGAAGCAATGAAGCAGATACAAACGACGCCGGGAGGCTTCTCAAGTTGTAGCCATGTCCTCTCACGTCTCAAACTCCAGGAGCTGGGCTTTTGTTCGGCCCATTTATATTTCTTTTTTGAAAATATTGTGCTGTCTGAAGGAAACAATAAAAAAACGGTGAAATCAGAAGGACTCGTTAAAAAGTAATAGTATAAAATTTTAATCTGAACCCTAATAAGCGTCGCCGTGGTTTTCTCCGCTTCCACCGTCGTTTCCATCTTCCCCACTCACTCTGCATATTTTCTTCTGCCTCTCCATCGGTTCGTTTCTGTCTCCTCCATCTAAGCGTTTAATCTCTCTTGGGGTAACTTCAGATCTGTGATTTTAGGGGAATTTTAGTTCTCATTTCTCTAAATTCATCATTGTGGAAATTTCATAGGAATCGATTTGTATTTTCAACATCCCGTTGAAGCAGGGGGTTTAAACGTAGGGTTAGAATTTATTTGTTCATACGGGCTGGGATGGGTTTGTAAAACGGGTTTTACATTGGGATAAAACATTTTTGTTCCTTGCTCTCAAAATGTGAGAGAGATGATTCTTGTCAGTCTATTATGCATTTATATTTTGGGTTGATTTTTACAAGATATTCTTCGCCGCATTTCACAGGTTCATAGATTGGCAGAAGAAGTGAAGGACATGGAGAATTTGGAAGATCTGAAGATTCTGGCGGAGCAGTGGTCTCATCAAGGAATTGAATATCTTCAGAAGATACCACCGACTCAGCTCTATGCCGCTCTTGGCCTTCTGTTGTTGACAACCATGTTGCTCTTATCCAGTACGTACTAGACACCAATTCTTCGTCTCTTTGATCTTTCCTAATAGAATTGTTGGTTGTTGGTTTTGAGATTTATGTAAGATCTCCCTCTGGTGGTATCTTGTTCTGCATACATATAGCCTGTTCTTCAATAGTTTTTCTTCTGCCTGCTTTTGTTCACAATTGAGGAAGTTAAATGTTCTCAGTGTACCATTTTAGATCTGTGATTAAGCCAGAGTAGCAGCTTCCTGGGTATAAAATTGCATGTGTGGTGGATTAGAACTATCATTGTAATTTATGAGGTCTATGCAATATTTCTCTTTGATTATGGCATTGATAGCTTTGATTCTTTTGTTGTTAAACTTGTCATTATTGCTGGCTTATGCAGTTCGCTTGTTCAGACGTACCAAATCCAACACTGTACTGCTTTCTGGGCTGAGCGGAGGTGGAAAGACCGTGCTCTTTTATCAAGTGAGTACCTTGGAATTTGTTTAGGACTTCCTCCAAATGTAGTTTAGTTTTGTTAAGTTTCGCTATACAAAGGCAGTTATAACATGATAGTTGTTTGATTGGCAGCTTCGAGATGGATCATCGCATCAGGGCACTGTAACATCAATGGAACCGAATGAAGGCACTTTCGTTCTTCACTCTGAAAAGGCTAAGGTAAAGATTCTTACTTTGGCCTGTTCTAAACAACGCATGCAGTTGTTAGTGATGCATGGATTCACACATCACCAATCAACGTCCCGTGTTTTCTCTACGTGACAGAAAGGAAACATCAAGCCTGTTCATCTTGTTGATGTTCCTGGGCACTCTCGGCTTCGACCCAAGCTTGAAGAATTCTTGCCCCAAGCAGCTGCCATTGTGTTTGTAGTGGACGCCTTGGAGTTCCTCCCAAACTGTCGTGCAGCTTCAGAGTATTTTCAAACTCTATTTCTTTCACACTCTCTATCTCTCTCTCTCACGCACACACACACACGCAAGAGACATGTTTACCTCTGACTAACACAATCTTAACCAATGAGGCATTGCCATGGTTTTGTGCGGTGATAGGTACCTATACGACATTCTGACCAATGCCAACGTTGTCAAGAAGAAGATACCAGTCCTCCTTTGCTGTAACAAGACAGATAAACTCACTGCACACACCAAGGAGTTCATCAGGAAGCAGATGGAGAAGGAAATGTAAGATTCGCAAATTTCTTTACAAAACAATATATTAGTATATAATATGAGTCTATCTTCCCGCGTAAAGCCAATAATTATTTGTTAATTAGTTTTTTTGTTTGTTTGTTTTGGCAGTGAGAAACTGAGGGCTTCAAGGAGTGCAGTATCTACAGCTGATATAGCCAATGACTTCACCATTGGAATCGAAGGAGAAGCCTTCTCCTTCTCGCATTGCTATAACAAAGTCACTGTCGCTGAGGCATCTGGACTCAATGGAGAAACCGTTCAGATCCAAGACTTCATTCGAGAATACATCAAGCCCTGAGCGCCCATGTCCACATTCATAGATTAGTATGCTTTGGTCTGTGACTTTGATTTGAGTTTAGAGATCCTTCGTACATGAGTTCTTGTCAGAGATGTTTTGTGTTAAGTAGCTGTATTTTCGAGTTACCTAGTTTGTTTCTAAACCAGAATGATCAAGGAAAAGTTAAATGACTAAATTTGGTTGCCAAATTAAAGTTATAATCATTTTGTAAGACATGCGATGCGATGTGATGCGATGCTGCTTGTCTCTTTCTTCCAATTCGGTAAGATACGCGGGAATAGATGATAGATTCGGTTTATCCCAATTAAACCGGTACTTTTGGTCATTACAATGCTCACGAGAACATCACGTGTCCTCTTAACTTCTTTCCTGTTTGAAAAGCTGTCATCATCGCCCTCTCATCGCCTTTGTTCTTTTAAGGAGGAGATGAGGAAGGAGGATGTCTAATATGGCCGGAACCGCCAACGCCGATTTCCGGTGGAAATCACCGCCACAGCCTCCGCCACCGAAACAGTTGATTTCCGATTCGGATTCAGATTCGGGATCCGATTCAGATAACCACAATGATCTATCCAACTCCATCTTCAAAGCTTACCTCGATTGCCATTCATCTTCGTCTCCGTCCTCCATTGACCTTGCCAAGATCCAATCGTTTCTCGCTTCGTCTTCCTCCGGTGCTGTCTCATGCCTTATCTGTCTCGAGCGAATCAAACGCACCGATCCCACCTGGTCCTGCACTTCCTCATGCTTCGCCGTCTTTCATCTTTTCTGCATCCAGTCATGGGCTCGTCAGTGTTTAGATCTACAAGCAGCACGTGCAGTCACGCGGCCGTCGTCCAATCCGGCAGAAGCTGAGGCTGTCTGGAACTGTCCGAAATGTAGATCGTCGTATCAGAAATCGGAGATCCCAAGGCGGTACCTTTGTTACTGCGGGAAGGAGGAGGATCCTCCGGCGGATAATCCATGGATCCTGCCTCATTCTTGCGGCGAGGTCTGCGAGAGGCCGCTGAGCAACAATTGTGGTCACAACTGCTTGCTATTGTGCCATCCTGGACCTTGTGCCTCTTGCCCCAAGCTTGTGAAAGTTAATTGCTTCTGCGGCGGTGTCGAAGACGTTCGTCGGTGTGGGCACAAGCTGTTCTCTTGCGGAAACGTCTGCAGCAGAGTCTTGGACTGTGATATCCATAAGTGTAGAGAGATTTGCCATGATGGTGATTGCCCACCTTGCAGGGAGCGCGCGGTTTACAGGTGCTGCTGTGGTAAGGTGAAGGAAGAGAAGGACTGCTGCGAGAGAGTGTTTAGGTGTGAGGCGTCCTGTGAGAATACGCTGAATTGCGGCAAACATGTATGCGAGAGAGGATGTCACTCTGGAGAATGTGGGTTGTGTCCGTATCAGGGAAAGAGGAGTTGTCCCTGTGGCAAGAAGTTCTACCAAGGCTTGTCTTGTGATGTTGCGGCGCCTTTGTGTGGCGGCACATGTGATAAAGTTCTTGGCTGTGGCTACCATAGGTGTCCAGAGAGGTGCCACCGTGGTCCGTGCCTTGAGACTTGCAGGATTGTGGTTACTAAGTCTTGCAGATGTGGAGGAACGAGAAAACAGGTGAAAGAGAGCTCTTTTATTTTCTAATTTACTTTATGTCTTGGAAGTTTTGGATATAGTTAAATCAGTTGTTGATGTAAAGATTTTGGGAACTGGATTTAGAGTAGGTTCCTTGCCATCAAGAGTTGGCGTGTGAGAGGAGGTGCCAGAGAGTGAGGGATTGTGCACGTCATGCATGTAGACGCCGTTGTTGTGATGGGGAATGTCCGCCATGCTCAGAGGTACGTGCCTGTGTCATTCATATTCTCTTGTGTAGAATCTAGCATCATCTTGGTTTATAATTTTCTTGTTTAAATTTTTCAGATTTGTGGAAAAAAGCTCCGTTGTAGGAATCATAAATGCCAGTCTCCTTGTCACCAGTATGTTCTCTAGTAGTTTGCTTTGGACATTTTTTGTCCGTCTGGTTTCTAGTTTGATATCAACTCATGCACCTGGGATGACATTACCTGTTGATGTGTTCATTGCAGGGGTCCATGTGCTCCTTGTCCAATAATGGTGACAATATCATGTGCTTGTGGTGAGACGCATTTCGAGGTGAGAATTAGGATACGAAGGTGAATATGTGTTTCTGTATGTTGAACCTGTATTAACAACGAAGCTGGATGTTTGATGTGGTTCAGGTACCCTGTGGCACTGAAACAAATCAGAACCCTCCTAGATGCCGTAAACTATGTCACATAACCCCATTGTGCAGGCATGGGCAGAACAAAAAGGTAGCACACCAATCAGAATAAGGCTTTTACAATTTCACTTTTGAGGCTATTTCCATGTTTGATTGAATTTTTTCGGAATTTTATGTCATGTGTTTATGCAGCCACATAAATGCCACTATGGTGCTTGTCCTCCATGTCGACTCATTTGTAATGAAGAATACCCATGTGGGCACACGTGCAAACTAAGGTTCTCATGCTGGTGTCTTCCTCTTTCAAATTTCTTTCCTACTTTTTGATCTTTTCCCGTCTTATAAACATTGGTTTTGTGTGCTTCGTATGACATAGGTGTCATGGTCCTAGACCTGCTCCTAATCGAGACTTTATGATTAAACCAACAAAGAAGATGTTGAATATTCAGGCTGAATCTACACCGGGTTCTTCCTGCCCTCGTTGTCCAGAGCTTGTCTGGAGGCCCTGTGTAGGCCACCACCTGGCAGCAGAGAAAATGGTGAGTCTCACTCAATTCTCTTTTATATTGGTTATTTCAAATGTATGTCAAACTTGTTAACTGCCATTTGTGGACTTTAAGATCTTGTTTTATAATTTTTTCAAACATCTGATATGGTTTTCTTTTTGTTGGCTTAGATGGTTTGCTCTGACAGAACTCAATTTGCATGCGATAATTTATGTGGAAACCCTCTTCCATGTGGGAACCATTACTGTACGTATACCTGTCATCCCCTGGAAATAAGAAGCTCATCATTGGATAAAAGAAGCGAGTCCTGTGAAAAGTGTGATCTCCGCTGTCAAAAGGTACTTTCTGTTATGTTTTATATCTCACCACTTACTCGATGATCTTTCCTTATGCTGCGGTGTCTTGATTGCGGTTGGTAAGCAGCTGTCACAATAGCTTGAAGCTTAGATTCGTTAATGTTAAAAGCTCATTGTTTATTCTCATGAAGCTGTTAAAATCTCTTTCTGGAGTCAGTTAGTCAGAGGAAAGACTTCCTTATCTTTCATACTAATGTACAGGAGAGAACACCACGATGCCAGCATCCCTGTCCTCGAAAATGCCATCCCGAAGATTGTCCACCTTGCAAAACTCTAATAAAGAGATCATGCCACTGTGGCACGATGGTGCATGCATTCGAGTGCATTTACTACAATACATTGTCTGAGAAGGACCAAACGAAGGCCCGCTCATGCCGTGGACCTTGTCACAGGTAACTAACACGCTGGTGTTGTATTACTGAGTTTCACTTTTTCATTTTGAACAACTGATGGTTTCCTTGTGGTTGTTCCACTTGTTCGCAAGCTGCTTTTTTTATTTAACTGAATAAGAAGATTATTAGAAAAACACAGCTTTGAAACTAGAGGATATTTTGCTGTTGCAGAAAATTGCCAAACTGTACGCATCTGTGTCCGGAGATATGTCATCCTGGGCAGTGTCCATCGCCAGAAAAGTGTGGGAAAAAGGTAATATTATTTCCAAGACTCGATGATGTTTCCATCTGGTAGTTTATATGCATTTGGGGTGTTGTCTATGTCGCATGTGGGGATCTTACTTGACTCAATTTTTTTATAATGGACCAAGGTGGTTGTTCGTTGCAAGTGCCTAACCTTGAAGAAGGAATGGTTGTGCCAAGATGTTCAAGCAGCCCATAGGGCCACAGATTCTGATCCTAAAGATGTACCAAAGAATCAGTTTGGTGTCGGCCTTCTCCCTTGCGATTCCACTTGTAAGAGCAAATTAAAGATGGCTGAATCGGTGTTACAACAACGCAATGTCAAAGAGGTGGAGGTAAGCAGAAACAATAAACAGGTCTCTCTCTCAAGAATAAATCTCACAAAGCGATGATCTAATTATCAAAACCTCGTAGGAGAAGGAGGAGCCTCGTGGGAAAAATGCAACAAAGCGAAGGAAAAGGCGTGAAAGGGGACAGGACATTAAGGAGACCTCAAAGCTACAGGTAATTTGTATCTCTTGTAAATCTGGAGAAGACACATGTCTCATATTTGTCATATTTTTTTTTTTTGCAGAAACTTGCTGTTGCCACAAAGAAGGTAGTGATGATGGTGCTGTTAATTGCTGTTCTAGTCGCTGTTTCATACTACGGTTACAAGGGACTCTTGTGGCTTTCCGATTGGATGAATGAAGTCGAGGAACAAAGACAAAAGTCTAGAAGGTACCCGCGAATCTAATCGTTGTTGCTTCTCAAAGTGGAAGAAGAAAGACAAAATTGATCCTAATACTGTCCAGTTACAACACAGTTAGCTTTGACACATTTGATATTTTCTTTTTGGTTTCAAAAGGAGATTAGAGAGGTTTTCAGTTGGTTGTTTTTACTGGTTTGTTCTCTTGCTTTTAGCATTTTGATAATCTTTTTTTCTTTCTTTTGTCGTCCTTTTGCATTAAAGCAAACCCAAACGGGGTAGAACAGTGGTACATCTTAGTATTTAGGCTTATAATGTAGGCCCAAAGATAAAACAATAAAGAAAGCCCAATAAATCTATAAAAAAACCTCAACACGTAGCATTTTGATAATCTAAACAGCGAAATATGTATTTTTATATAAAATGGAAATTTCATAAAATGGTGAAACATTTGCGGCGTGTATAACGCAATAAGTAATAAAACCAAAAAAAAAAAAAAGGGTTTGATTCGCTCGAGTTCTCAACAGAGCTCTCGGTAGCGTCTTGCTCGGGTTCTCAACTTCCCCAGAGATCGTGCTGATGGAATGATTCAGAAGATGGTGTTGAGAGATAGAGGTTCCAGTCAACACCTTTCATCCCAATATTGTAACGGCCCATAAAGCCCAACAAGCGTCTTGCTCGGGTACTCTCAACTTCCCCTGAAATCGTGGTGATGGAATCCCAATAGTTGAGATTCCAGATAGAGGTTCCAGTCAAACACCTTTCATCCCAATATAATTGTAACGGCCCATAAATCCCAACAAGCGTCTTCTCCCTTTCAACAAGAGTAACACTGCGGCGATTCGTCAATGTCTCCCCCGGCAAAGAAGAGGACGAAGAAGAAGAAGCGGACGCCAAAGCCGCAATCGACCCTGATTCCGTCGCTTCCCGATGATTTGTGGTTGAGCTGCTTCGCACGCATCTCGAGGTTGTACTATCCGACTCTCTCCCTCGTCTCCAAGAGCTTTCGATCTCTCATTGCTTCGCCGGAGCTTTACAAGGTCCGATCACTCCTGGGCCGCACCGAGAGCTGTCTCTATGTGTACATTAGCGCCTATGATCGTCATCGCTGGTTCACCCTGTGCCTGAAACCTGATGAAATCATCCGAAACGGTGACACCCGTCGGAAGAAGAATGAGCAGAGCAAGCCACGTGGGTATGCTTTGGCCACCGTCCCAGATACCCTTTCTCGCGACGCGTTTTTTCATGGAATCGTGGCGGTTGGTTCTGAAATCTACTGCATTAACCCACAAAAGTTGGAACCAGTCCCCTTCTCCAGACTGGATTGCCGGTCTCACACATGGCGCCACGCTCCAAGCTTGCCGGTGACGCTAAGGCCGTTATTTTCTGCTTGCGTCGTTGATCAAAAGATATATCTAGCCGGAAGCGATTCTGATGTCGATGATGGTGGTTCTGGTTACTATAAGAAATTGGTCTCTGTGTTCGACACAGAAACACAGGCTTGGGATCGTATGCCCATCCCTTGGAGCTTGGAAAATGGCTACATTTTTAAGCCAACCACATGCATTGACGGAAAGTTGCATGTGATGCACTTATTGCCCGGTACTTGCGACGATGCGGTGGTTGCTTACGATTCCAAGCAAGGTAGATGGGACCCGGCTGCACCGGAGATGTCTGAGCTATTGTTGATGGATTCAGATTCTAATTGTGAGATAGAGAACGTTTTGTACGCTGTTTTTGGCGGAGAGATCCGTTGGTATGACACTAAGGTTAGCGAGTGGAGAAAGTTGATGGGTTTGGTAGGACTACCTAAGTTCCCTCTTGGTGATAACGATCTTGGTGATAACGATAGATGGATTAGATTGGCTGATTATGGTGGAAAGATGGCTGCTTTTTGGGACGAGACCCAGAGGATTTGGTGTGCCCAGATTGCGCTTGAGAAGCGCCAAAACTGTGAAATTTGGGGCAAAGTTGAGTGGGTTGATCATGTGCTTACACTCTCACACTCTCCATTTCAAATCGTCAAGGTTCTTGCTGCCACTGTTTGATGAATGCCTCACAAGGCTTGAACGTGTGTGTTATCTTGCTAATCTCTTTTTGTGTCTTTTTCCTTGTTATTTGGGATACTAAATGATTTCATTCACCGTAGATATAATGTCATTTGCTTTAATTTTCATATTTCATGGTTTACTGGCATTTAGCTTTACCAGCACTTACAACTAAATACTAAGTAGTAACACCCGGAACTCTCTGTAACAAACACTCTATGCCTATTGAACACAACAGCCCTCGGGGTCATGTAAGTTACAGCACTAAACATGAACCTCTTCTTCTCTCTCTCATCTCCATTGTAGAGGTTTAGGTCCAAGTACACAAACAGGCAAGTTTCATCGCTTCTGGATATTCTCACCCACAAACAGCTATCTCTTGGCACATTAGACAGGCCTGTGAATCTACACCTCATCTCCATAAGTTTTTTCTCTCAGTGCTTCCGATTTACACGTGCTGGTGCTGTCTTGAGTATTCGAAATGAGGCCACACCTGAGCGACAAGTTCTATTATGTGAACCTACTGACACATAAATCCCAATGCACCATTGGAGATTGAAGAATTGGCTGTTTGTAACTCCTGTTTGCAAGCCCTGGACAAGGTTGTTTGGGGTGTAAACTCGTGTATAACGCAATAAGTAAGCAAAACCAAAAAAAAACCATAAGCATCATCATCATCTCCACTCAATTCTGACTTTGCTTACGCCATCAGGTCTGGTAGGTGAGAGCTGACTGAGAACTTAAGCCAACCCTTTCTCTCCACTTGCTTCAGACACGGTTGCAACACAAGCCCAATCACTACAGCCACAAGGCTCACCGCTGCAACTTTCAGGGTCGAGAACGCCGCAATGACACCGATCAGCAGGGTTGGAGGAACGCACATGAGGATGGATCCCAAAACCCCTAGAGGTATCTTGAAAGGCCGAGAAGCAGACGGATGTTTGATCCTCAGCCTCACAAACGCTATAAACTCCAAAACCATTCCACAACAGTACAACAAGTTCTCTGCAGCCACAATCTCTTGAAAACTTAGCCATGACAAGAGAACCACACCAGAGGCCGAGAACAGTATCCCGACCCATGGAGTTCCGTAGCGCGATCTCTTGGCAAAGACCTCGGGAAGCATCCCTCGCTCAGCCATTCCGAGAAGCTGAAACGAATCGCTGCTCATCTCAGCCAAAAACATCCCCATGTTCGATGTCGCTGCTGCAGCTTGAATCCACCATCCCAACCAAGCTCCTCCAATAGCTTTACCTATATCAGTGAAGTAACCGTCGGTCCATAGCTTCTGATCAAGAGGTATAGCTCCTGTCCCGGTCAAAACCGGGAAGATGTAAGAGAGCACAACAAGAAGCAGAGCGTAAAACAGAGCTCTCGGTAGCGTTTTGCTCGGGTTCTCAACTTCCCCAGAGATCGTGCTGATGGAGTCCCAATAGTTGAGATTCCAGAAGAGAGTGTTGAGATACAGGTTCCAGTCAACACCTTTCATCTTCTTGCTGACCACGAGCCACCTCCAAGGCTTGAGCTTTGGGATCGAGATAAAAGACATCACCAGAAAGGGAAGGATGGAGAAAACCCCGAGAAGGAGCGCTGCTAAACCCACGATGCTTAAACCCCTGTAGTTCAAGTAAGTCAACGCGACAGTCAGCGCAAGAATCGCGGCGATTCGAGGGATTCCACCGCCGAGGATCGGGATACCGGATTTGAGATAGTCGAGGAAGAGAATCGGATACAAAGCGTTGTCGATGACGCCGCTCAGCCATTTAACCCAGCCTTGCTGAAACCCCCAGTAAGGTCCTAAGGCGGAGGAGACCCACACGACGTAGCCTCCGTTCTCCGGGAACATTGTTCCCATCTCGGCGGTGATGAGTGCCTCGGGGATACTCCATATAAAAGGGAAGACGATGAACCCTAGAATGGCTAACAACGGGCCTGCTGCCTTCACACTGCCTTCAATCCCAAACGGACCGCCTGAGACCTCGTAGAATATCAGGAAAACTAGTGGAAGTACCGATATTTTACGGATATTGTTGGTGGGTCTCGCCGGAGACGGAGGGGGGTCACCGGCGGTGACACCGATGCTGACGTGTCCAGTCTGGATAGGAGGATGAGGAGGAGGAGGTGAGTTTCCGGTGGGGACTCTCGGCTTTTGAGTGACCGAGTAGCTAAGCTCAGTCATGGAGATTTGGGAGAATCAGGAGTGAAATCTAGGGTTATTGCTGAGGAAGTTGCTTCGACTTGCATTAAGCAGACGCAGAAGAAAGCAGTGATCGAAATCTGAAAAGCAAAGATTTATACTTTAATTATGAGATTGGAAACAACACTAAGAATCGCTATTTGTTGAAGTTTTACGAGTTTTAATTTACAATTACAGAAAAAAAAAGGAAGAAAAAGAAAGAACATAATCGCAATTAACCTATGTAGTAGATAAGTCGTTTTTCTGTTAAAAAAAAGTAACTTATATTTTTTTCAAAAAGTATATAGATATACAGAATTTTATACTCTACTATCTAATACCAAAAATTTGTATGTAAAACGATACAAGAGAGGTTTTCTCTTTGTTCATCTCCAAGCCAGAAAGAGCATGAAAATCATAGAATAAAATAGGCCTTAATAAGTGGCCTCGAGTCTAATATATTTTGGTGACGCAAACAAACTCGATACCCAAAAAAAAACGTCGCCTTGGTTAAAAGCTTTATTTGCTAGCTACAAAATGTACCACTATATTAGACAAGTTTCTTATGTGACTTTATCACATGAATACATTCCATTGGACTAGAAAACAAACAAAACCTTCAGGCTCCTCCAAGAAACTTGTCTAATATATTTATTATTGAAGTTACATTTTGATATATTCTCAAACCATAATATATGCAAATCGTATTTTTTTCTCTCTCATTGAAAAACAATAACCGGCTGTGTGACTTCCTATAGCCGTTAGAGATAGGAGACGGAAAAAAAGGAAAAAGAAAGCCGTTAACACATTCCTCCATATTCAAAATTCTTATGACGGTTGCGAATGTGAGATCCTTCTTCTTCTTTCTTTAATCTGATCACAGACACATTCCATCTGAAAAGAAGGACCCAAGACAGAACTAGGAGAGAGAGAGAGAGAGAGAGAGTGAGAGAGACAATTGAAAAGAATTGGGAGTGCTATGACGGCGGTGATTGACCAAACGTATGATGCGATGGTTCGATTTCATTAACGGAGAGACGGAGGACGAGGCTCGCCGAGCGGAGCTCTGGTTCGAATCGGCTTTAAACTGCGCTCCTTCTCGTGAGTTTCTTTGTGTTTGATTTCTAGATCCTAGGTTTCAGAATAAGATGGGTGATAGTATCGTTGTTAGATCTGTGATTTGGATTTCTAATTTGGTCTCAGTTTCGTAGGTTTGCTGATTTCTGTCGCGAGAAGCGAAATTGGGGTTTGCACGATTGAAGAAAATCATCTTTGATTAGGGATTGCAATTTAGAATAGCGGAAGCAGAATCATCTTTGATCAGGGATTTCATCTTTAATTATCTGAAGAATCATAGAATTGAGGAACAAATGTGCGTAGTCGATAATTAGGGACTTTTTTGAGGAAAATATTTTGTTTTTTTTTTCTCCTTATGATAAAATTTTCTGGAACCATCTTCTTCCACATCAAAAGTTTGCTCTATAGATAGAATATTTTTGACTGATCTTTGCCTTCTTTAGTTATCATACTTAGTTTCTCACCGGCTAAATGGTTGTCATGGTTTCTTCTATGATGCAGAAATTTATAGAACTTCTTCTCAAAATGTTGGTTTCAGTCATGGAAAGCCCCGTTGCAGCTCTTACAATCTACACTGGAGAATGTTCGAAGCAGAAAAAACCAGTATCTTTGACAGTTTTTGGTTCTGCAATTGAGGTAACCTTGTCCTGTTTTGGTTCTTCAATACTCTGCGTAACCAGTTTACTCATATCTTTTTGTTTTCTTGTAATCTCTTCCAGGATGGTACTTGTCCAAAACCGAACTAAGCTGACTTTGGGACAAGACCGAAGGAGCCTGGGTTTGTGACATCCCAACGAGCTCGTCCTTTAAGAGTGAAGAGCAGTGCAGAGCTTGAGGAAGAGATGTTGGCAAAGATTCCCAATTTTAAAGCTCGACCTGTGAACAAGAAGGTACTGCATTTGGTTTCACTGTGGCGTATATATTTATATACTTCAGAAACACAAAAATAAAGTGTTCTCTCTTATTTGATGCAGATTTTGGCAGCTCCAGTTTTGCCTGTGCCACAAAGAAGCACACCACATCTGCCACAAAGAGTTCCACTTTGCGACAGATGAGAGAATATCCCGACCAAATTCTGTCTTTGATATACTCGACAAGGTATATTTCAACTAACAAAACCGGCTTTATGCAAGTCTTCTTTAGTTATGTAACTTATATATTCGTGTTTGACACAACTTTTTCTTATCAGCTCTCATTGAACTCTGAATCTTGCCATGAAAAGCCTCTACCAAGGAACACTGCACCAAACCCATTCAATCTAAGGACAGAAGTATGTATACGACGAACAACTTCTTTGAAGCCAAAAAGTGACTTTATGACTAGCCACCAATTTTTAATGACCGTTCTTTTAATTACTGTGTAGCATCCAGGAACGAGGCGCTGAAAAGGAGAAGCAGTGTAATGGAAATCACACAGAAAATGATAGGAGATGAAAAGGCCAGAGTTCCAAAAGCAAACCCAAATCCTTACACATCTGATTATCCCGTGGTATGCATTTTTCTTCCTCGCTTTGGTTTCTGAGTTGCGAAAGAGATGCTCGAAGTTGAGAATCTTATGTGTTTTAACTCTCAGGTACCACCAAAACCCGAACCTAAGAACTGCACAAAGCCAGAATCGTTCCAGTTAGAGAGTTTAGTGAGGCACGAAGATGAAATGCCAAGGGAAATGGAAGAGAGGATGGGCATGGAGAGAGAAGGAGCCCAAAATAGGCTTTTCAAAGCACAACCAGTTATAAAAGAGTAATAAGGCCTTTGCTATATATATGTTTTTTTAATCTCCACACACTTTTATCAACGTTTTCAAAAAGCTCACAGTAGCTTGAACACAGGGATCCAACTCCGATTCCAGCGAAAGTAAGAAAGCCAGAAAGCCCCTCACAGAGATTCAGGAGTTCAACCTCCATATAGAGCGTCGAACTGTTGAGGGAACAGACTTTGATCAGAAAGTAAGATTTTCAGTCATTTCAACAATTAAGAAAGTGTTTTACATAACCTCTGAGTTGACAAATTAACTTCTATATGGGAACCAGATCAAAGAGATGGAGAATCAATACAAGAGATACCGTGACAAGAGTGAAGCTGCAAAAATGGTATGCAACACTCGTTTTAGCTCTTAATAACATCTCACAAACGTTGCTCAAATGTAATACCTGAAAACTTCTCTCAGGTGGAGGAAGAGAGGTTTCAGAAGCAAATGAGAAAGACGATGGTTCCTTATGCCTAACTTCAACAAACCCTTCTTACCTCAAAAGTAAGTTCCAGTTCCATTAAAAAAAATTCAAAGCACCAATCTTCTCTTGGTTTTAGTAACCAATTTAATTAAAAATCACATACAGGTCTAACAAGGAGCGATCACAAAACCAAAATCATCAAATCTTAAGATATGTTTTCTGTTCTCTCTCTCTTTTTGTTTTTTAATTCACATTAAATCTAAGTAGTTTAAAAATTATTAGATTTACATTAGCTGTGAAACTAACCAGACATGGTATCCTGCTATTTTAATTCATTTGGTCGTTAGAGATTACTTATGTTTAATTTGTTTCTACAACTAATGTAAAACTAATAAGTTTTTTATTAGGAAAAAAATTGATAATAATAACAATAACAATACTAAATGAAATTTAATCTAACTCAAATATGGAATTTGTTGTTGTTTTCTTGTATTATTTCAGGTTAACTTTCTCCACAAAATGAAACTCTGGAAACACTCAGGACGTCAAGAGAAAGAAATTCAGAAAAAGATATGTTTTCAATTCCCTCTTATTTTTCTCTTTTTTTATTCACATTCAAAACTTAGATTAGTTTAAAATCAATTAGATTTACATTAGCTGTGAAACTAACCGGACATGGCATCCAACCATTTAAATTTATTTGGTCGTTAGAGATTGCTTATGTTCAATTTGTTTTCACGACTAATGTAGATCAATCGGTTTTTATTAAAAAATAAAATAATAGTAATAATAATAGGATTACTAAATGAAATTTAAATCTAACCCAAACATGGAATTTGATGTTGTTTTTGTGTTGTAGGTGAAAACATTATCCATGAAATGGAACTCATGAAGCAAGAGATGTTAGGAAATTCAAAAAGAAAGATATGTTTCTCTTCTCTCTTTTTTTTTAATTTATTTGTATTAAAATTTGAATTAGTTTAAAACCGATTAGATTCATATTAGTTGTGAAACTAACCGGACATGGCATCCAGCCAATTGAATTCATTTGGTCGTTAGAGATTGTTTATGTTCAATTTGTATCCACAGCTAATGTAGATCAATCGATTTTTTATTAGGAAATAAAATAATAGTAATAATAATAGGATTACTAAATGAAATTTAAATCTAACCCAAACATGGAATTTGATGTTGTTTTTGTGTTGTAGGTGAAAACATTATCCATGAAATGGAACTCATGAAGCAAGAGATGTTAGGAAATTCAAAAAGAAAGATATGTTTCTCTTCTCTTTTTTTTTTTTAATTTATTTGTATTAAAACTTGAATTAGTTTAAAACCGATTAGATTCATATTAGTTGTGAAACTAACCGGACATGGCATCCAGCCAATTGAATTCATTTGGTCGTTAGAGATTGCTTATGTTCAATTTGTATCCACAGCTAATGTAGATCAATCGATTTTTTATTAGGAAATAAAATAATAGTAATAATAATACAATTACTAAATGAAACTTAAATCTAACCCAAACATGAAATTTGATGTTGTTTTTGTGTTTTAGGTGAAAACATTATCCACGAAATGGAACTTATGAAGCAAGAGATGCTAGGAAACTCAAAAAGAAAGATATGTTTCTCTTCTCTTTTTTTTTTTAAATTCATTTGTATTAAAACTTAAATTAGTTTAAAACTGATTACATTCATATTAGCTGTGAAACTAACCGGACATGGTATCCAACCATTTGAATTTATTTGGTCGTTAGAGATTGTTTATGTTCAATTTGTATCCACAGCTAATATAGATCAATCAGTTTTTTATTAGAATAAAAAATAGTAATAATAATAATAATAGTAATATGAAATGAAACTTGAGTTTAACCTAAATATGGTGTTTTAAAAAAAAATGTTTCAGGTTAAAGGTTTTTCAACAAACAAGCCACGCAAAGAAAAAGAAACTTACCATTAATTTTCTAAAATTTTGTAAATGTATTTTTTATAATATTTTTTTGGTTGCTTTTTTTCAAGTTGTGATTTTTGTTTGCAATTTTTATTTTCTCTATATTCGAATTCAAATTTCTAATACAATAATCTAGTATTAATTTTTAATAACCTATGTTCTTGTTGAGTTTCTATCATTTTTTCTTTCTCATTTTTTATCCAAATAAACCAGTTTTGTCTTTATTAGTTATTTTAGTACTTGATTTCTCATTCTTAGTTATCTACATAGCAAATAACCTATGTAGATAAGTTAATAACTGACGTTTTTCTGTTAAAAAAAGGTAACTTATATACAGAATTTTATACTCTACTATTTTTTTTTTTGGTCAAACTTTATACTCTACTATCTAATACCAAAGAGAGGTTTTCTCTTTGTTCATCTCCAAGCCAGAAAGAGCATGAAAATCATAGAATAAAATAGGCCTTAATAAGTGGCCTCGAGTCTAATATATTTTGGTGACGCAAACAAACTCGATACCCAAAAAAACGTTACAACTAATATATCTTCACCGTCTTGTTACAACACTGGCCCTGTTCGTGTGCGTTTAAAGTTTAAACATTTCGATTGTTGGCCCCACCACATTTGGTCGTTTGCTGAACATAGCCTCTGATCGCAAATTTATTCGTCTAAATGATCTATGCAGCTGCGGTTGATCGAATCATCTGAGTGCAAGGTCATTCGTGAATGTCGCCTATTTTGGAGTATATTATTAATATTGTTAATTAATAAAATATTCAAATTATATTGTTAATAAAATACATAGTTTTCTGGTAAATATTTCTAAAATAAACCATAAACTCTGTAATTAAAGGGTAGAGGATGGCATATTTGTAATTCTGTAATTATACTAAGGTTATTTTTATCTTTTACCGGTCTAATCGCAGCTTCTTCAACCGCTAACGCTGAATTTCATCTCCATTTTCGGACGCATCGGGTTTTGAAAACCATTGATGCCGACCTCAATCCATCTCTAACACCACTGATCTTACCTCTTCCGTCACTCACTCGCATCTCTGCATCTTTCTTCTTTCCACTGCATCTATGGCTGCCGAGTCCTCTAACCCTCGCACCGTCGAAGAGATCTTCAAGGATTTTAGCGGCCGTCGCTCTGGTTTTCTTAAAGCTCTCTCCGTAGGTACATACAGGCTCTCATTCTCTCCTCTGTCTTTCTAGATTTCTCACAACTGCCTTTGGGCTTTCCATTTACGTAATTTCTTTCCATTTTTACCAGATGTCGACAAGTTCTACTCTTTATGCGATCCGGGTAAGTGAGCTTCTTCTTTTTAGCCCTTGTTACTTTTCGGATCTGTGTTTGTTTTCATGGATAAGCTCCATAGATAGATACCCTTTTGCGAGAGATTTTGTTCTTGTGGCTCAATTGAGGCAATTTGCTTCTTTTTTGTGTTGGTAGAAATGGAGAATCTGTGTTTGTACGGACACCCGAATGGGACATGGGAAGTGAATCTTCCAGCGGAGGAAGTGCCGCCTGAGCTGCCGGAGCCGGCGCTTGGAATCAATTTCGCAAGAGATGGCATGCAGCGTAAAGATTGGCTCTCCTTAGTTGCTGTCCACAGTGATTGCTGGCTGCTCTCTGTTTCTTCCTACTTTGGCGCTCGCCTTAATCGCAATGAGAGGTCGGTTGCTTCCTTTTACATGGTTTTTTCTTGCTTGCTTTGCCACTTTCATGCTTCGCATCGGATCATAGTACATAGCACAAGAGTGATGACTGGTTTCAAGTTTGTGGAAAAAGCTTGCTTATGACGTAGTTGAGTTACAACATTCCTACTGTGATTCGATTATCATGGTCAATGCTATATTCGAGATAACTTGTGTTTGGCATTATAAAGTTCCAAGTTGTAGTTACAAACATCTGGTCTCTGTTGCACGGCTTTACATATGCCATTCACACATCATGCTGCTCTGAGTGTCATGCTGCTGTGTGTGTCAACTTATATTGTAAGCTCCATTGAATGAGCAGGAAACGCCTATTCAGTCTGATCAACGATCTCCCAACTCTCTTTGAGGTGGTGACTGGAAGGAAGCCCATCAAAGATAAACCAAGCATGGATCTCGGAAGCAAATCCAAAAACGGCGTAAAGGTACCCAAAAATGAACTCTGCGTGGCATCAAAGGAACTGTAATAGCCCGAAACAGGCTTCTCCTGAAAATCTTCTTCATTTTAATAGATTTCTGGATTTGGTGTAGAGATCCATTGAAGGGCAGACGAAGAGCACACCGAAATTGATGGAAGAGAGCTATGAAGACGAAGAAGACGAGCATGGAGACACGCTCTGTGGAAGCTGTGGAGGCAACTACACAAACGACGAGTTCTGGATTTGCTGCGATGTGTGTGAACGTTGGTACCATGGGAAGTGTGTGAAGATAACACCGGCCAAAGCAGAGAGCATCAAACAGTACAAATGCCCTTCTTGCTGCACTAAGAAAGGAAGACCGTGACTGGATTGTCTTCCTCCTTGCACTCTTATATCTTCTTTTTCTCTCTCTTTTTTTTCAGTTATTGCAAAAACATCTTTTTTGTATGAACACATAACTATGGTCGGGAGCCAAAGAGAGAGACATGAGCCGGTTAGAAAGCTCTTGATCGTTTGCATGTGTAATCATGTTTGCATGTGTAATTATGCTTAGGCTATCAAATTATTCTTGTGTAACTTTTTGTTCTTCCTAATCTCATGGTAATATTTTTAATATCTCAATACAATTACACTGAAGTATGAAAAACGCCAATCTAAATTATAAACGGTGATTTACATTTTTATATCATATAATGCGGTATATTTTTTTTAGAAAAATTTCACAACTATGCCTTTGTATACAATCTTGTGGGGGACAAAATCATCAGATTTAGGGACCACTTGATGCTATCGATTCTACGGAAGTCATTGCTTTGATCTCAGCTTTTGCAAGCCGAAGCAAGAACAAACCGGCAAAGAAAATGGAAACAATAAGCATGAAAAAAACACTGTTCCACCCTCTGCTCGATATGTAACCAGCGAGCAGCGGTCCCAAAGCTGCCCCGACCGAACCAGTACCATCTATAATAGCAGTTACTGTGGCTAACGCCCGACCGTTCCCTTTAATGGAGTCTTGAGTTCCAAGATCAGCTGCAACAGCTGTGGTAATGAGTGCATAAGGACCATTTACTAATAACCCGGATATAAACATGAGAGCAATGTTGATGAACATGGACACACTTCCATAGATTCTGTACATAATCAAGGCGGGAATGGAGAGTGACAAGAAGGTGACTGACGTGAGGGCACGGGCCTTGATCTTATCTGAAATGAATCCTGCTGATATTCCACCAAACACTCCTCCTATGTCAAACACAGTCGACAGAATCCCAGCGGTTTTGTGGGAGAGATGAACTCCAGCGACAGCTTGGTGCCTCAAGTAGTATGGTAACCAATAGAGGAACGTGTAAGCGACGAGTTTCGAGAAAAACAAGCAGAAGGCGAAAGGCGTAACACCAGGCAATCTCCAGGCCTCGAGAAACCCAATAGCTGACAAAGAATCATCCAATTCTTTAGTTTCAAGAAGCTCTGTGTCCTCAGCTTCAGTTTTGCTCAAGCTTTCCTCTACGTCCTCGGCTAAACTCATCTCAACCTCTTTTCCCGGTTGTTCAAACCCCAAATCGTTAGGACTCACGACAAGACACAAAAACACGACGAGTCCAGATACAATCACGAGAACGCCGGGCAGAACAAAGGACCATCCCCATCCGAAATCGAGAACCGAGGAAGCGATAACCGAGCCAACGATGTTACCAACAGATGTGTGAGAGTTCCACACGCCCATAATCAATCCACGTTTTTCTTTCCCACACCAATTCCCAACAACAGAGACAACACAAGGCCATCCGATAGATTGAAACAAACCACAAACAATCTGAACACTCATGTAAAACCCAAGCAAGTGCACATTCATCCAGTACCCTAACCCGAAAACAACGGTGAGGATCCCACTTCCCATCATTCCAAACACAAGAAAGTATCTCAAATCGACTCTATCTCCTAGATGCCCTGCCAAGTACATACCCAGAGCGTACGACGAAAGGAAGGCCAGATCGAGCTCGCCGAGTCTCTGGGTTCCTTTAGTTCCGTTAAACGGAGCCCATCCATTATCAGCCGGTGAAGAATTCGACGCCACGGAAGGTCCAAGGACGCTCTTGACGATGCTTGGAGGTTTACGAGAGGCGTGAAACGAGGCATAGGCTATGAAAGTGACGGTGAGGACAAAGATCTGATGGAAAGTGAAGGCTTTGTGAGGCGTATTTAGGCTTGGGAAAAGAGAAAACGCCGGAGCCAAACCGACGATTCTCGATTGCATCTCGGATCGATTTTGGACACTTTGACCCTCTTCCCCACCGTGAAATCCATCTTCGTCTTCACGAGACCAACTCGACACTTTTTTAATTCGCTTTTTTTTTTTTCTTTCTGATTTGACACATTAACAAACATCCTAATTCCAATTCTTGGGCTTTTGTAATTATTATTATTTATTAGTTGGGCTTTTTGTTTTAATTTAGTGTAGCCCAATGTATCAAATATCCATTATATGTAAAACACCCGTTAACAACAAATCTCGGTTCAATTTGGCTGTTTTCTGAACCGAATAAACCGAAATTAGCCGTATATTAAGCAAACAAAGTACCTGAATATGTTTCAGTTAATTTCGGTAGATTTATTGCTAACCGAAAAACCAAAACCGAATTGCCCGTTTGACCAGAAGTCGCAGGTTGTGGTGCCAAACCACCACTTGGAACATGCACATGCTTATAATTCTCATTTTATATTATTCTATGTAATTAAATCTTATTTTATACAGATGTAATATATATACTATTTATTGTTCAAATGTTTGACATACTCAAACTAATGATTAATCCAAAGAAAAGAAAGATGGGAATGAGAGGCTTACATTAAAAGGAGACTTGGTTTCGTTGTTAGAATATTATCCACACAATCTTCTTCTTCACCACTAATACTCAATATACAGTCGCAGTAAGATCGAATCTCTCAAGATCTTTTGTTTTTTAAAGGTCTCTCAAGATTTTATAATCAGGACATTGATAATTAATTAGACCTTTAAATTTCATAATCAGGACATTGATAATTAGTTAGACAGAAATATAATGTATGACTCATCAATGACAAAATTTGAAAATGATCGCACGCTCATCTCCTTCGTTTGTTTATAGTAATATCAGTTTTTAGTCTTTTCATGATAATTGATAAATAAATAAAATAAACTGCGTTATGTTAACTTGAAAATTGTGTGGTGTTATTTTGATATAAACTTCAATTTTTTTATAGGAAGATTGAAAATTTGATTTGATTACTTCTATCATTAAATTACATTTTTGTATAAAGTTGATATGATGGTTTATGCGGAAACCTTGTGAAAAGCGTGTTATGTGGTCGTTTGAGGTTTATAAACGCTACTCTGCAATCCAATGAATAGTTTAGTGAAACTAATTGATTAAGCACTGTTTAAAGATTATCATATGTATGATGATATCATGTGACGTTAGAGTTCAACAAGTATTCTATTATCATTATACGATAATTGTACTTTGATCACCATCAGTCAGGTTTTTCAAACATGGCGTCACATTCCAATAGAAAAATATCTTCTTAAAAAAAAAAACAAGTGCAAATGATACGTATAGATGTTATATATATTCTATATATGAATTGTTTTTTCTTACGTACATTCCTTGAAAAATAATAGATAACCTAACATTTAGAACACAGACAGTATAAGAAAATATTATTGCATACAAATATTTCTAAATATCATTCGAGTTATTTACTTGAAGGTAGATCAGTTCCGGTGTAAATGAAGAAGAATGAAAAATAGTGTACACATATACAAGTCAGATGTAAATTGATGAAACAAGAAAAAGAGTAAAGTTTCTTTGTGGGAAGGAAAAACAATTAACGAGGAGAAACATGAGATTCAACATGGGATTTGCCTCGTGGACCTTGAGTTCTAATAAAGAGTCTATATTGATCAAAGGTCATGGGAGGATATAAAGGAGGACTATGAGTGGATACAAGTTCTTGTAATGGTTGGATTGGAATATCGCTTTTAGGATTGTAGAAGAAGGCAAGTGAAACTCTCTCTTTCTCCGAGTTCACTATCACTCTATGCTCCACGCTCTTGTATGTTGAGTTGCTTAGTATCTGCATTTTGATCATCGCAACACATAAGTATGTGATTCTAAGATTCGGACCGATTTAGAAAACTGATCAAACTTGAATTTAGACAAAGCACAAACTCTTTAGCTAGGAAAACTAGTTTTATTTTAAAAAATATAGGAAAATGAATGATAAGTTGACAACAATTAGTCTATACTATTATTTCTTAAAATGGTATGTCTAAATTGCTTCTTTATTTTTTGTTATTTTGAGAAATTTTCTGGTGCATATACATGTGATGTGTTTGTTTAAAAAATCGTGTTATACATTGTACAAACTAATATTCCTTCTATGCAACATGGGCAAACGGCCAAACACAGCACATGTGCGCAATGAAGGATAATTGACATACTGTTTGTTTCGTATTAAAATAGGGACAGCCACGAATTTTTGTTTTTAAAGAAAATTTGATAATTCGTCATTATTTTATTTGTGAAATTGTCGTTTTATATAAAAATAGTCCATAAAAACCGGTTGACAGGATATATCTAAAAGGACGTAATTTCTATTGTCGTAATTATGGCATAATAATAACAATATTTTTGTAGAAAATTCAGAAAGGCATTTTGGAACTAACTAATTAACTGTTTACTTGCATTTTCAAACATATATAAAACGTGGAACTAAAGCTTGGATGATAGATCCTCTTCATTGGTTATCAAATAACTACTTTTTGCACTTGTAATAAAGCAAAATAAAACTATTTAACAACAAGAAAAACTCGGATTTTTAAAATGTTTTACGGTTCGAATAAGACAGATAAAAAAAAACCAAAATTAAATAATTTACCTGTATTTGATCGCCAATATTGACGATGAAAGCATGAGGATGAGGCTTGACGGTGATCCACGTGTCATCTTTTCGGACCTGGAGACCGAAAACTTGATCGTCCGGTAAGAGAATAGTCATACCGCCAGGATCGGAGTGGGAGGAGAGACCGAGAGCCAGCTCCGGTCGAGGGCATTTTGGGTAATAATTAACCCGCAGACATGCCCCAATGTTTTCACCTCCAAAAGCAGCTTGAAACTTATCCTCTTTTAGTCCCAAGTTTGACGATAATACCCTCATGATTCTCCCGCTTAGATTCACTAGTTCCTTGCCGTATTCATCGATTACTTCTCTATTTTAAAAAAACAATAGAAAACAAATTAAAAATCTGATGAATCTAGCTAGCTCCACGGTTGTACTTTTTGTTTTCTTTTTCTTTTAGTTTGTTTGCAGCTTTTGTATTCCCAACGTTAAAGATCACAAAACTCTAGTGTTTTCTCCTCGTCAAAGGAAAAATAAAAACTTTTTATTGGTAAACGATCTTCCCACACTCCCACACTCCCCAAAAGCTAAAATATCAAAACTATTATTTCCAGGATTGTACCATTTGTCCCCTACATTTTTTTAAAGAAGAACAAATATATTTTTTTTTTTGGGCAAATGGGTCTTCTTCTCACACTCCCCAAACAATAATAAAACGAAAAACTCATAAGAATTCATAAAAATGATATTAAAAAAAAAAGAGGAGAGATTTAAAAAAAAAATCAAAGAAGAGAGGAGGGACCTAATGGTGGGAGGAAAAGAAGGCCACTTGTTGAAGTCTTTCAAACGAGGAGGAAGAAGATGGAGATAGTAATAATCACTCCAATCAAGAATGGCTCCTTTCTCAACACCTAGTCTGCTTCCATAGCCTTCGTAGGTTCTTGGTGAGTTCGAATAAGTCTCTTTCGCATTGACCGGCAAATGGAAGAACTCTCTCCAACTCTCTCTAGCCGCGTCCATCAGCTCCGGCCTCACGCCGTGGTTTAACACTTGGAAGAATCCCCACTCGCGGCAAGCCTCCGATATCCGAGCCATGATGACGTCATCTGACGTCCCTTCTTCCGAGAAGAGTCCTTCAAGGTCTATGATTGGGATGTTGGTCGCGGCCGGAGCCTCTTCGGTTGTTGTGGGCCGTTGAGACGCCGGTTTGATGTAGCGGTCGGGGAGAGAGGAGAGGTTGCTCTCGGCTAAGGACTGGACTCGGACGATTGGCTCAGGCCACTCATCCATCGATCCCTTCTTTATCTCCACCTTCACATCCTTCTTGTTCTTGTTCATCTTCTTTGTTTTGATTTACTGCTCTTGTTCATGTGAGCGACGTTTTGGAGAAAGAAGAAGGTTTGTGAGAATAATTAAAATTTTGATTGAAGGAAGGAATTTAAAAGAAGGGTAAATGGTGGTGGAGGAGAATCCAGAAATCGGCTCGAGAAGATGAAAGCAACGTCTTTGTTTATTAATGAAACGTGTGATAAATAATACTGTTTTCTTTTTATTTTTGGGACAGAAGGACAAAAACATATTGCATCGACATAGGAAACTATGCATTACTTTGAGTTTGAGGCAATCTTTGTGAATAGTTTTAACTATTTTAGATGACTAAATGTCGACAAAGACAAAAAAAAAGACTAAATATTAAATCTCATAATATACTACTAATTAAATCATTTTGCTCAATAGACGACACGTGTCAAACTGTTGCAACGGGATTAATGCGTTTGAGATTATGGTTATTTTATAATAAAAAAATTATTCCCTGTTTTTTCTAATATAAAAAAATATTTTAAAAAATTTTCGTTATATCATTTTGTTTTATTTTTAACTATTGGTTTTTTCAATATTTTTATCGATCGATTTTTTTAATAAGTATTAGACAATATTTTAAATAAGATATATTGATTTTTTAATTTCGTGCTTTCAGTTAAAAAAATTTATAGAAAAACATAAAGAGTAATAAATCACGGATGTAACTGGTAAAAGCTGCACACATTTTCTAACAATAACCACAGATATGTATGTATCATTAAAACTTACAATCTGCATAATAATAATTTGAATTTTTTGCCACAACTATATAATTAATCGAATAAACTAAATTGTTGAAACAAAATAAAATATAATTTATAATAGCGCGCGTTACCACGTGGGCTAATATATTAGATGACGTCGCCAATGACGTAAAGCTTTCAAAGGATAAAACGTTGAATAAAAGTTTTCTAGATAGAGTTTCTCTACCCAATGACAGATTTCGAAGATCTTCTATACAATCGATCGACAATAATAATTTTTGCTTACAAAGGTGATAGGTCAAATGTTATCTGTCAATAATACATACATATGATTTCGATAATGATTCAAAGGATCTAAAAGGTCAATGGAATGTTTTATCTAATTAAAGTCTTTCTAGAAACTTTCGTTTTGGTTTTTGCTTTTTATAAGTTAAGCAAACTTTTTTTACGGTTTTACTCTTGCAAATAATGACCAAAAATGTATAATCTTTGATTTTGAAGGTATTCTTGCAAGTAATATATATATTTTTTTTTTTGAAGTTGTTTTTTGCCCAATTCTAAAAATAGTATTACATCTGATATCTCCTAAGTTTACTTTAACGATATATAGTAAATGATATAGTTAATCAAACCAGGTTCTGCTTTCTCCAGATATATCATCCTGTAATTGCCAGATTTATATATTTATATATATAATATGTCTAGCACACAGCAGCTTTTGTTGACAATATCCTGTTAATCGGCTAGAACAATCTTAATTGTACGAAAAAAATATTTTTGTAGTCATATATATGAACAATTACGAAGTTGACTGTACTACGGTGAGGCTGAGTGTTCCAAACGCATCGTACGTTTTGTAAAAGGTGAAAATAGTTGAAGCGCGTCGACTGAATTTCAACTGTTTATTAGAATTGAGAAAGCCATGATAAAATCTTAGAGGTTCGAAATAAAATATTCTAGTTTTAAATGATTGCTGTTGTTCGATTTCAACGTGTATGTGTAGATGTATGTATATGAAACCCTACGTTAAGAGTACACAACACATGCTTGCATTGAAAAGTTGTTAGCAAAGTAGAATTGAGTCTTCCACATTTGGCAAAATTGAAACCTTACAAATCTACACATATCATTATAATTAATTAAAATCCAATCAATCAAACAAACAAAAGCATACAAAAACTAGTTGTAAAATTTCAGAACCCAGTGTTTCATACATTAAAATATTATATGTTATCGATCATTCATTACTCGTCGGAAGATATGCATTTTTCTCACTCACCAACATACATCATATATATAGAAAATGAACTATGTATAGCACAACTTAATATAATATATATATATATATATATATATATATAAACGAATTCATCAATGGAGTCATAATTCATTGCAGACTTTCGTTAACATTTACGAATATTGGTGGACAATCCGTACTCTCTTACACTTGCACATAATTCCATCACATCGAAAAAGTTTTTCAATAAAGTTAGAAACATTTTAAGAGTAATTATATACATTTGTTTAAAGTGGTAGAATGACTAGAAATCTCTAGAAATGCTAGTCTCTCATTACTACATTAATTTTTCTTTTTTCAAAGTATAAAGTTAAACGTTGATTGATTCATTACGGACGAAGCCGAAAAAGTATAAAGCATTAGTTTAAGAAAAAAAAAAATCAGGGATGAAGAAGAAAACAAAAAGATGAGAAAAAGAAAGTTATAGAGATGAGTTTGAGCCAAAAAGGGAGTTAATGAAAGACTTGAAGAGATGAGTTCGCGCCTAACAAGGACGAACGAATGAAGTTACGTTTTGCTTCTAATTTTAAATATATTTTTGTTTAAAATATAGCTTTTTTTTCTGTTGTTTAGCTGTTCGAATATATCCGTTCGTGAAATTTGTAGCATTTAAAAATAATTGGGAAAAAGTGAATAGTTTGGTAAGTTTGAGAAAGAAAAAGAAATCACATTTTGCACGTGCTGAAAACAAACTGTGTAGGGATGGGCTCACTTTGATGTAAGAACCGCCGTGTTGCTAGAGATGTCGGTAAATGTTGTCTTCGCATGTCTTATCATGTGCCCTGGAATAACTAGTGCGTTCACACTTCTCTTTGATATTTTTCTAATTTTGTTTTTGATACATTAATGTTCAACAATAGTATTGTTTGTATTATCCTACTTGCAATTTTTGTTGATTAAAAGTAAAACCCCTACCACACACACTAGACGCATTAAACTTGTATGATTAAAAATGATAAATACATTATCCGGTGTTCTGTTACTAACTAATCAATCAATTCTTAGCACATAGTATTATAATCCAAATGTAAGTACACACGTTGGCAATATTTGACTGCTAAACAGTTCGTTTAAGCTTTTCGAATGTTTTTAGCGCCCATCGAGTTTAAATAGTGATTTAGTCATTTCAAATAATTGTTAGCAGCATCAACTATTTGTTTATCTTTTACTAGACATTATTATTTACACACACAAAAAGTCTAATAACAAACAGGACACATGGAAGAAGAGTATGAAAACTGATTTGGATTTGGATATTTATGTTGATCCACTATATACTTTGTAATTGGTATATGAACTCTCTATCTCTCTTCATTTAATTAATTAATCTCAAAAGTTGACTTCAAAGTTCAAAGTACAGTACCACACCACAAATTGACAAAAGCGAAAGCTAACTCAATAACTGGGTTTGGTTCGGTACGGTTTAATTTCACCTCATCAAAAAGTTGGTAAGTTCGATCTCTGATCGTGTTCGGCCGTACGACTGCCGTCTCCGTCTGATCGCTGACACTCCTCTTCTCAGTTCCATCGACGACAGTGGAACCAAGATGTCGACAGGTACTTGTATTTTTCTTTTCTGGTGACTGGCTCGTAATGCAGCTATCTTGTTCGATGTATTTACTCAAAGAGCTTAATTTTTTTTTTCTTTTTTTTCAAAGAGCTTAATTTTGCTTTGGTAGTATTCGTTAATGCTTATTCTCTGCTATCAATCTGCTTTAGTGATGGAACCATGGTTTCTTAATTGAGCAGATACATTTTTATTGCTTGTCGTTTGCGATTTCAAGATATTTTACTTGCGTTGTTTTGTTCTAAGATCAGTTGTGAAACAAAGCTTTATTCTTTTCCTCAGGAATATCCACAGATCTCCGCCTCCATCATAGAGCTCTGAATCTCTCCAGAACCTACAAATCAGGTTACTTTTTTTTTGTTGACTATGAGTTTTCTTGGGATTACACTAGACAGACATTTTCATTATACCCTTTGTGTGTGTGTTTTCTCTGTTTCCGGTTAATTACTGAAACATGGCATCAATCTCTTGTTGCCTACTGGATGTGCTCAGGTTTAAGCAATCGAAAGGTGTGTTTTTTGAACAAGAAACTCACCTGCAGTTTATCATCGAGCACAGAGAATGTAGCTCCTAAGGATGATGAAAGAGAAAAGGATAGAGCTTTGGTGAAGATGTGCGGTATCACATCAGCCCGAGATGCTGCTATGGCAGTTGAAGCTGGTGCTGATTTCATCGGGATGATTATTTGGCCCCATTCAAAACGATCCATTTCTCTCTCTGTTGCAAAGGATATCTCCAAAGTGGCGAGAGAAGGTGGGGCCAAACCTGTTGGTGTTTTTGTTGAGGATGATGAGAGCACGATACTGAGAGCAGCTGATGCCTCTGACCTTGAGCTTGTGCAGGTTGTCTACATTCTTATCATTTTCGATTTTACTCTCACCGAGGTGATTTTTGCAACTTTGTAAAGTGTTGATGATCATTGTTCCTTCCAGCTTCATGGTAATGGTTCGCGTGCTGCCTTTTCGGGATTAGTACGGGAAAGGAGAGTCATATATGTCCTTAATGCAAGTGAGGATGGAAAGCTCCTGAATGAAGTTCCTGAACAGGATACTCCTCATCTCGCTGATTGGATTCTTGTGGATAGTGCAACTGGTGGGAGGTACTTAGACCAATTTTTTTTTTCAATTTCCTTCCTCTTATAGCATGTTGTTATCGTCATGAACGCAGGAACAAGTTAAACAATCACTCTGGCACCTAAAACCGTTCTGGTCTTCTACAAGTGATTGATTTCTTAAGAATGTGATAGGCGTTACCAAAAGATAACGATACTCAGGTCTAGCCTAGATATACCAAGTTTTGTTAATGTTGATGATCACAGCATCGTTAAAACGCCCGTGCTTAGATTACTTGCTTAATATCGGCTAAGGCTCAAGCGACTTAGTAACATTTTTCTCTTGTGCAATGGTAGTGGAAAAGGATTTAACTGGGCTCAGTTCAAGTTACCCTCCATCAGAAGCAGCAATGGGTGGCTCTTAGCTGGAGGAATCAATCCGGAAAATGTTTCAGAAGCTCTTTCTCTCCTTCAACCTGATGGAATTGATGTTAGCAGCGGTATTTGCGGTACAGATGGCATCCAGAAGGATCAGTCTAAGATAAGTTCCTTCATTACTGCAGTTCGCTCTGTACAGTATTAATGGCTACCAACTTAGCTAAGGTTGTAACTATAGTTTTGAGCATCAACCTGTTGTTTCCATGTCATTGTGTTTGGAATTGTAACTGGCTAAATAAAAATAGCGCCCTTCCTTTTTATCAAGTGTTGGTTTACCAAAATAATGTTGTCAGTGGGCTCTCAAGAGCAAGATCCTGGTTTAAAATATCTCCATCTGATCATATATTATTCATTAGATCAAGAGTTTTACCACAGGTTTCTACAAATAAATGCTTTTTAATCTCGAAAAGGCCTTGCACTTAAACAAAAAAGAACATAAAGAATGGGCCAAGATGAATTTCCAACTTGTCTGCCTTGTTCATCGCAGCCTGTTTGTCAACTTCTTTGTCCATTGAGTTTTGGATCTGTCTCATAGTACACGACGTCTCCTGTATCGCTTACGAAATGGTCTTGTTTCATACTTTTTATGAGGCTTCCAAGTAAGTGTAGTGGCAAAGGTCCAGAATCTTTCGGTTCTCTGTAGTACTTTCCTAATACTGGTTTAGCTGCCTCTGTCTAGAAAACAGGGGAAAGAAACAAAAATAGATTTGCAAAGTTCAGCATATTGAAGCAAGTCCACATCTGAATAGTCTTGTCTTAACATCATAAATAAAACGCTTACTGCTTCTACTAGATGATAGTGTGGGATCTGCGGGAAAAGATGATGTATCACATGAGTTCCAATGTCGTGGTGGATGTTATTGATCCATCCGTAGTCACGATCCAATGTTGTGAGCCCTCCTCTCAGGTAACTCCATTCCTTGCGTTTTAGAAGAGTACATATAAGCATTGAGATTCTCACAACAACAGTAAAGCGAGTAGCGTTTAGAAATGGTGAAGTAGATTTCGCATACCTTTCCACGGTACCAAGGGAGCTTGTCTTCATGGCCATGGTGGTGCAAGTAAGTCACAAAGTCCAACCACATTACAAATATCTGCAATGATTGTGAAAATCCCAGTAAAACACCTTGCACATATGAGAAAACAGAGGAATACAAGTACAGTTACAGCATCAGATACCCAGTAAGGAATGGCATAGAGTTTGAGCATTTGGATTGGACCCATAACAAAGCTGAGAGAAACAAGCAAAGCAGCCATTGCAGTCCAACATGCAGTTGATGTCAGAACATCTTTCTTCTCTTTGGGGAGAAACAAGTCACTGTCTGGATCAAAATGAGAACCACTTTTCCCTGGACTTCTTCCCCACTGCACCAATAAGACAATGAATCAGATGTGAAACCTGGTGGAGTGGTTCTAGTAAGATGCAGAAGTATCACCAAGTAGAAGGGGTACGCGAGCATTGGGAATGGCAATGTGAACCTAAAAGTCTGAGTAGTTTTTTCCAACTTCTTGTACAGGCTTTCAGGCAACTGCAGTTACAAAAAAGAAACACATTAAGCTCTATCTAAGTGCACTAATATAAACTGAACCCAGATTATAACAACATCTGTGTTTGCTTAGGGAGAGTGCAACTTACAGGATGCCAAGACTCGTCATTCTCGACATGCCCATGGTTCTGGTGGTGAGTTCTGTGGCTAATTCTCCTACAAGAAAAAAAAGTCATATAATTTCATGAAGAATGTGAGATTCTGCAAGAGGTTCATTTCAGAGAGAGAAAAGGTTTTGTATTTTATAGCAAAGCTCACCAGCCATGGTAAGGGACAAGAATTGAGGAGTGAAGAAGATGACCGGCCACACTGTTCAACCTCGGATCATTGGAGAAGCTACCATGTCCACTGCAAAGTAATCAACAGGAACAATTTGGTTAACAATACAGAATGAGACCAAAAACACTAGGAAAGTGATTGTTTATTCGATTGTATCAGAATCCAATATCGTCCGGACGACACAAAATGTTACTTTAAGAGGAAGCGTGAGGATAAGCTGTTACCAGTCATGGCCAAGAACAAAGAGAGCCCAGAACATGGTTCCTTGAGCGAACCAGTAGAGAGGCCAGAGAAGCAAATTGTTGAAGTAAGCAGCTACAGCAGCCAATCCGAAGACGATAGCGACGTCTCTGACAACGTAACTCATGGACCTCCATGGATTCTTAACCCAACAATGCTTGGGTATGGCTGCTCTTATGTCCGCCAGATTAAAAGGAGGAGGCGCACCTGGGTCGAATCTCGTCGTCTGTTCCTCCTCGGATGGAGACTCGAGAGTTGATAAAGGCGTGGCCACATTTAGCTTCCAGTTCCTGGTTCTAGCGAAGAACCCATTTCGGGACTTGAGAGAAGAAAGAGGTGTAATTGGCGGACTGAATTTGCATGTGGGTGCTGGGTTAGAGGCGAAAGAGGTTGTGGGTTTAGGGTAGAATCTGGGGAGAGGTTTAATACCACATTCTGATAAAACCCAGCTCGCCATTAGAGCTCACCGGAGAAGAAATGATGAGAAAGTAGCTCTCTTTGTTTACGGCTCTCTCTCTCTCTCCTTAAGAACACACAGAAATGAGGGAGAGAGAAAGAGAGTGAAGAGATAACGTAGAGAGAGAGAGAGAGAGAGAGATGGAAGTGAAGAGATTGTGTTGGTTGCTCGTTGTCGTCGTGTATCACTCTGTATCAGTCTTTCCCTGTCTTTCTACTTCACGCTGACACAAAAAGGTTACTTCTTTATGAGGTCGTCTTTTAATATGCGTTATTATCAGAAGAGATTTGTTGTGTGGCTTCTGCGATGTTTCAGTACTAGTGGTCAACCAAATAACAAAATTAAAATTTGATGTAAAAACAAAATGTTAAAATTAAATTGTAACAATTTTTCATTCAAAAAAAAAAAAAATTGTAACAATTTCATCATATACAGTACATACAATGGTCTCTCCTCTTCAAATCTCAGAGCAAGGAAACAAAGTTTTTTATATAAATAAAAAAAGTTTGAAAGACAGTCACAGCAGCCTCATAAAGATGCGATACGAATGATCAAATCACCTCTCTTTGGCAAATCTATTTTACAGATTTGACTGATAGAAAAAAATGAAGAGTTTCACCTGTGGAAAACATTAGAAATTTAACTCATATATACGGAATAACCCGAGATTGTGTCTGTCACAATGACTCGGCAAACGTGCACGTGATTGTGTCGCAGCTTTCTCATATATTCCACCATTTGCGCTTCTCCATTTGCTTAGCAAGTTCATGTGCCATGGATGCAAAGTTCTCAGCTCCGTCTTGAAGCTCAGCTGTGCGTTGGCTGATTCTCTGGTGTTATTGACACAAAATATTGATGTTTTCTAGTTAGGATTAGTGTGTTGGAAACGTGTATGAAAATGAAATCTCTGCATTAGAAAACGACCTCGAGTTTTTCACCACGCTCGAGAAGTTTGTCCTTCGCTTGTGAAGCTATTGCTGAGGTTTCCTGGAAAAATTACCCAACCATGTTAGGCATAGACGCAAGGAAGCTCTTTTGAGATATATCGGACTGGTTTTGACTCACCCCTGCTTTTCTGTATTTGGCCTTTATTTCATCCACTGATCTCGTTTTTGGTTGGGCATCGCTGGATGCACCGTCGAACAGCTTTTCCTTCTCGCTTCTCTTGTCTGCAAAGAAACCTAGAGATTCGTCTGATATATATATATTCACAATGATACTAGAACATGCGGGACGAACGGATTTGTTTTACCTTTCTTTTCTTTTTTGTCTTTCTCGGTTGCAGGCAAGATGGTTAAAGGTTCATCTATCTCGATGTCATCTACAGAAAAGCATTTTTAGTCACAGGAAGAAACCGGGGAGAAGTGACTTAGTACAGATATTACAAACCTATGTTTAGCTCGACAATCTTTTCATCGTCGCCACCAGTAGCAGAAGGCTTTAAGTATGGTGGATTAGCAAATATGTTCCCCAGGTGGGAGAAATCTTGTACTTGGTCCACCTTCTGTTCATTGCTTGATCTGAAGCCTTTAATAATGCCACTTAGGAATTTGGGAGCGCCATCCTGTGGTCACAGACGCTTTATAGCAAAGTCATGGAGATTACGAAAAAAGGGTTCACAGGTGGAAACAGAACATACATGGTTTTTCTTATGAGCAGGGAAATGGCTAAAGGTAGCGTCAGCAGCGGCTGCAAGGACTTTGTCATGAAGCAAAGGTAAAGACTCCGGAATCCTGAATCAGATCTAAGTATTAGTAACTTAACTGCTACTTTTCTAGCTAAGCTTGCAAAAGTTCTAGCCAGTACCTGAATCCGTTTGCATGGGCCAGAAACGAAAGGATGGCAACTTCACAGCCATTTACCTGTAGATTTAGACAGGATTCTCAGCTTATATTAGTTCTAAAAATCTGAGATATTGATTATTCTCTCATAGTCTTATACATGTCAACTCACAAATCAAGATCTAATTTGCCATACTTAAAACATCGCATTCGAAAACCAAATCTACAAAGCTCCATAAAGTTGTTGAACTAGAAAGTATATCAGGAAGTCTCACCAGGACGACATGGCTGAAATCATCCGAACAGACTGTCTTCTCCATGTTAGGCTTAAAGTTCCACCTAAGAAGTGACAGCAAAGAGCTCTCTCCCACAACTTCGAGATCCGGGAAAGATCTGTTCATATAAGCAAACCATTTCTGGGCAATTTATGGTTCATCTGAATAGTTACAAGATTGGATTTGGTAACCAAGTTTTATCTGGCATGTATATAATACTTGAATTAGAACATCACCTTATTTCAAAATGCCCTGTTCGGTAAAGCAGGAGTACTGCACACTCCCTTTTATCCTTTTTCAGGATTCCCATCCAGCAACACGGACTTGGAAGATTTACCTCCATAATGCTCTCAAGACTTCCCTAGGTATTGAAAGCAAGTCCTCGTTATCAGAAGAAGCCAGCAAGATTTTCCAGGAATCATAAATGAAGATGGATCCTCTAATATACCTGAGATAAAGGCTTTATAGAATACAAGCGCAGTACATCCTCAGAACACATGAGAAATAATGAATTTGCAAATCTCTGATCAACAAGTATTGTTTCTATGACTGCACTCTGTTCACCACCTGGTGAATGACTCTCATTTGCATCTACCATATGAGATTTTTTCTCATGTTTCTCCTTCCCAGATGGATTTTCAGCTGGTTTTTCACTGGGCATTTCAGAGTTTCCATAGCAGTCCTCTGCAAAATACAGTTTTTAATATATATTTACTAGATGCATAAGTAAACACAGTTTTGTAACTAGCATGAGAAAAACTACCTATAATGTGCATACAAATCGCAGTTGGGTTCTTCAGAGGTCTCAAACATGAGGCGAGTATTTTCCCAGTATTGCCATCGAAAAGAACGGTCTGTCCATCCTTGGTCATTGCACACAAGATTAAATCATCAAGAGCTTCGGAATTGATGGAATTCTGATCAGTTGGAGCTGAAGAGGATTTCACACACAGTGACTTGATCGGGGAACCAAAGTCAGAGAAGCTATTTGTAACGAACATTACTGATGGAGCACCAATGTCGAGCATTGCAACCTGAAATATAAAATGAAAGTATTAAACACTTTCAACTAGGGAGAGCGGCTGTACACCGAGACTTAGAAACGGATGTTAAATCCCTACCTTGCCACATTTAAATCCCACAGCAAGCCTTTTGGTAGACTCCACAAATCGCATGGTGCAAACTGGGGAGCTCAGGAAGGAATACGCAGCCAACCATTGAGGTCCATCTTCTTGATGCAGACGGTGAGCTACAAGTAATGAACCTAGAGCATGAGATAAAATAAAACAAATGACCTCAATGGTTGCAAAGATGAGTTGTACCAAGTTCCAAACCTTGCTTGTCAGTGTTGGTAATAACTTCCAAAGTTCCTCCACTTTTATGGCCGACCAGCTGGAATAGGCGAACCTACAGAGCCCGAAAAGTGATAGAGAATCAGATGCACATTAAAATCTGGAATCAAGAAAGTATCAACAGAAACAGGTCTTCTTACCATACCACATTCGTTACCAACAGCCAAACAAGAAGTCTTAGAGCAGAAGGAAATTGCTGTTACAGATGCATCTACTCCAGTTATGTCAATACCATTTGTCTGATCATTGTTGAAGGATGAAGTAGTTAATTGCAGGAAAAACTTCTCATCAAAATATCAACCAGCTTACGATTTTTCAAAATAAACGTCAAAAGAAAGAAAGTCACAGCATTCATACCTTTGGCTCCAAATCATAAATAAGAGACAGACATGGATAAGTTGCATCCCATATTCGCACAGACCCATCTTGATATCCTGCCATGTACAGTCTCTCAAGCTTGTAGTCATCAAGGTGGCTTGGAACACCACCTGTTAGAGGCCATTGTGCAATTTCTCCGGATGGAGTACGCGGGGTTCGAGATTTTGCAGCTAAGACTATCTATCAGGAATAAGATATAAATTAACAGCCTCACACTGGGAAGCAACAACTTGGGAAATTTGTGGAGGGACTACCTCAGAAAGAGTCAGTGACGTCTTATCATTCACATTTAATGCAGTAAACATTGCTACTGTCATATGTGGATCCATCGTTGGTACAACCATCGGATATGGCAGCGGAGAAACAGAAATATTATTCTCTTTCTGAGACATTAGAGAGGCCAGAGATGTATCGTCATATGCTTGCAATTGTCCTGGATTTGTCAACAGAAATAAAAACATCCCACTTTGCCTTGAGCTAGCAATCGGAGACAATACCATATCAGCAAATGAACCACTAAGGGTCAGGTCAACACGGCCAACGCATTTCAGACCTCCCACACCAGAAGACCAATCAAGACCCAGCATCTGCGTAAGGTGATCAGTAAAAAGACATCATATTAGTATGTTTGCTCATACAAGGTAAGAATTCATGTCTGGGTTTCCCTTGTATCATTAAAAAATGCAACATGTTTAGAACAAAATTTTGATCTGGGACTATAAAACTTTTGTTTTGGGCTGAGTTCTTACCGTCAGTACTTCTTCAGAACCAATGATATCACCACCGTAGATAAAGAGCTTTCCACCACAATTCTTGCGAGATACATCCAAACACCAATGCATAACAATGACAGGAAGTCTTTTCTCAGCCGAAGACAACTGTAACTTAACAGCATGATTAGATGGCTTGCCCTTTTGTCCATCAGCAAATTCCCAAAACAATATATCTCCATCCACATAACCCACAGCAAGAACTGAACCATCAGCTGATGCCCAACACAAAGAACTTATCTCTTTTCCATCTAGCTGAAGATCAGAAAGCTCTTCGTGTGAGGCTTCCAGAGAATCACCGACTGTCTTACCTTCCACAGGTAGATCTTTGTTCCCTCGAACTAACACGACACGATCTTCTGATGCATCCCAAAGGAAAAGTAATCCATTTGAAAATGCAATCAACAATCTGCAGGATAATTCCTTAGAAATCATTAAAAAATTTAATAAGAAGATAGTATGCTTGCGTATTTTGCTAATATTACACTAAAATAGCATAGCAAAAAGAAGGTTTAATCTCTTTCGAAGGCAAAGATGTTTTCCATCTACAGTTACACAATAACAAGTAAAAAATTAAAATAAATATTGCCTCACCTAGTTCCCCTTGAACAAGGCTGAGAAAGAAGTCCAACAACCGGATAGTCAATAGGGGATGAAAGCCCCGCCGCTTCTGCAAAAAGAGGGAAATGGGAGAAAAAATGTTCAAAGAACAACTAAAATGCAACACGGAAGGTTTTTTGGTGTTTAAATCTAATGGTACTCATATAAGCTTTAAAGAAAAAATTTCCTTGCCAAGGAATTACTTTGCAAATAGTATGGTGAAGGCAGATATACATTAGCTAAGAAACAAATTAAGGACTTAATCCTGAAAACCATAGCTTTCCAAAATCAATAAAGCTTCTAAACACATTTGATCATCACATTGAAAGTGAACCCATACCAGCTAAAGCATCAGTTGGAACGTAGTAAGGAAGCTGCACCAGTTTCCCTTCGTCGGCACTGTACTTTAGAACAGACACCATACCATACTCGTCACCGACATACCTGTGAACGAGATAAAAAAAGTAGTTAATGACACCATAGTAAGTGTCAATGGAATAACATTGCTTCAAATTGTCATTTTAACAGGCTCAATACATGTAACCGGTGCCATGGAGGATTGAAAATGCAGTAATGTTAGACTCCCAGTGTAAGCTTGATACTGTCTGCCTAAGATCCAAGTCCCAAACCTAATAAAAAAAAGAAAATGTATTGGTGTAGTCGATCAAATAAATTGTTGGGCGAAATGAAGGAGTGGACGATTACAAGATGGAAGTGAAGAAGGTCAAACAGAAGTGAAGACGTCAGCTGCAATTTACAGAAATTTTAAACATCACACTAATTGGTACCTGAATCTCGTTTTCGTTTGAGATGCTGACCAGAAAGCCTTGGTTCTCAATGAACTGTTGAAAAAAAAGAGATAAAATTTCAAGGGGAGTTACGTGTACTTGGTATCGCAATGCGGAAGAATCGAATATATCCCAAGTTCACAAGATAAGTTAATCTCTTCAGAAAGAGAGAGACTAGAGAAACACTATCTTTTCCCCCACTACAGCACTGAAATAAGATCGAATCGACATATATTTGAATGAAATTTTAGTTGTACGACAGTATTAATAGGAAAGGAAATTACGCACATCAGGAAATAGAAAAGGAACTAAGGCACCGATACTTTGAAACTGACTCTGATTATAGCCTCTCAACAAACCAAGAGGTGAACAGAATACCACGAACCTCTAAGTTTTTGAAAGGTAACTGCTTAGGAGATGCAAGAACCGCCTCAATGTTATCACCACCAATCACTTTTATCCTTCCATCTCTGCATCAGGGTTACAAAAAAGAACATTACTTTTCAAAGTTCAACTTAAACTGAACCCACAGGGATCATATATGGTATTGAAGTAACTAGAAGGACTAAAGAAAGATTCAAATAGCCAAACTTCTTATAAGTTCCCCTATCACCTCAATCATAACAACTTCCACATACACTAATAAATAAAATACACTGTGGTAGCAGTGGCCAGGCGACAAGAAGAACTTACAGTGTTCCCACAGCCAAGAGGCATTGAATAGGGTCAAAGGCAAGAAGAGATGCCGTCGAAGGTATCCCATAGTGGGTGACAATATTAGGATCCAAGTCTTCTGTTATCAAACATCCCTGCAAAGACACGTGAACGTCGAAAGCAAACAATCATTCCTGGCATGAAAAAAGATTTAGAGCTGGCTAAGGAGAGGAAAGCAATCATGCAATGGCTGCCAGTACATGTCTCAACCAGCTCCATGATCGAAAAGGTAAATTCTTTTAAGTACATTTTCTCTTTCTGAAGTTCTCCTCTCCAACATTTTTCTCAGTGCTAACATTCGTGGCCAAACATGGGTGGACATCGACTACTTCTACACTATTCATTGCAAATAAAATATTTGCAAATTTGATAACTTGAAGGATATGTGGGCATCGAAATCCAAAAAGCAATACAGAAGAGTCAAGAAGGCAATGTGAAAGTCCGAGGGAAGAATGATCCAGAAGCATCAAAATGGAAGCTTTATTCCTCAAGCATAGTAGAATAAAAGAGATGAGGAAGGAGTACCCGTGTCGGAGGAGCTGGAGCAGGCTTCTGACCACCACCGGAGGATTTCTGCAGAAATTTTCTGGCGAACATCGAGCCAAATCAATAACGGTGAGCCGACTGCTCACTCTTCGGGCGATCAACTTGTCGTATAAACGTAGAGAGAATTCTCAATCGAGACGATGCATCGGACGGCGAAAGCAAGCCTGTTGAAGAGGAATTATTCCTCGGGATATCGCAGAATCAAAAAATTCAGATTCGATTTGAGAGAGAGTCAGAGAAGAAGATGACGAATGATTTTGAAATTTCACTGATGCGGTCTGAGCTTTGTGTTTTCTTAAACCGGCTTCGGGTTTGACCCCAAAAATTCAATTTTGGTTTGGTTCGGTTCGCATCCACCAATGAATCGGTACAACTGATATTTTTGTAACATGATACTGTATAACTGTATCCCCCGAGAAACACTCTCGCGCATAATCTTTAGAGACTCGAGTTGATCGGGGAGACGCAAGAAGGATCCTGAAACCTCACAGTGTTGTTGCCTTAGGAATTCTATAATCAGAGGCGGTTTCTTCATGGATCCGGTGATTGTTAGGGTTAAGCGTAAATTGGAACAGTCTCTGCTCGATGCTCTCTGGTTAGAGATAGACCAAGGACCACTCAAACGGACCAAGAATGTGATCGTGCGGCATCTGAAGACAGTCTCTGACTGTGAAACCACAACCCAAATTATCAACTCCTTCTTCGAGTCTGACCTAAGTTGCAGTGAGAGAAATTTTGAGGATCGGGAAGAGAGGGCTATAGAGAATGCTCGGTTTAAGCAAATACGGGGGAGTATGAAGGGAAACAAAGAGCTTCATGATCACAAGTGTCGTTTTCATGACGTTATTCGCGTTGATGATGATGAAAGACCAGAGCTTCTTAATGCAGCGGAGTCTAAATCCTTGGAGGAACAGAGGAATCTGTCTCGTTACTTGCCTCTTCTCAGAGAGTTTGTTCCAACAGCAGCGCAAGAGATTGAAGCTGATGGTGATAACATCCATTCTAGTCATACCAAGGAGGAAGAATACGTTTATGATGTTTATTATCATGTCCATGTGAAGGAAGAGATCAGTCCCAAGAACCAGTTTCCTCTTGTCAAAGTCGAGGATGGAGAAGGTTTCTGCCGCGATGAACATGCACGTGAATCAGGATACGGCTCTGAAGATTCAAACGCTCAAGACTATGTAATGGAATGTTATAACCCAGCAAGAAAAGTAGAGGAGATGAGTGAACCCTCAGATGACGAGGAGACTTCAAAAAGACACGTGGGAAGGGTCCTTGAGGATGATGGTTATGCAGAGAATGGGAATGAGAATGGTGATAGAGACAGCGATGAGGAGCGTGCCTACAGTCGTCGTAAAGGTGAGGTTTGTTTACCAAGTGGAGATACGTTTTTTTTTATTCTGATTTGACTCAGAGAGACACTAATGACAACAGAACGTGTACTGCATTTGGCCATGGTTTTCACAAGTTGTTGTTAGTTTCTCATTGCTCAAAGCATTCATCTGCTAATTAACAGCCATTATAATAAATAAAAGAAGCAAATCTTGTGTTTCACAATGCAGTTGTTTCACTCGAGGAGAAAAAGACCTTGTCGATTTCACTAATCGCACTGATGTGCGTAATTGGTAACAACAATCGTAACAAAGGTATAGCCGAAGTTGAGATCTTGAACTTGGATTTGATCTTCTCCACTGCTGCTTTGATGATCGATGGAGACGGTACACTGAACCATTTTAAATACCATGAGAGAAGGATTACATCTTTCTGCAACCCTGAGTTAGAATCATCAGGCCATGCTTCTGAGGTCAAATAGTTTCTCAGATCAATCTTCAGCTTGCCTGAGCAATTCAAAATCTCTTCACACCGTTTTCCTAGTGATGCCAGAAAGATTGATTGAACAAAGCCACCTGATGAGGCCAATCTTCCACTTGATACCGCCTCGTTGTACGCAAGAGCAACCTGGGAACATAAGATAAGAATCCAAAGTAAGCAAAACCAAAGCAGATTATACAAAATCTAAATCAGTTTTGCTTTGTGTTTCAGTTTCCATTATTGCAGAAAGAGTACCTTGAGGCTTGAGATGGAAAGTGAATCACACACGTTACATTCGCTTTTGACAAGCAGCTCAGCCATAGAACCAATGGTTGTATACAAAGATAAATAAACCTATAAAAAAATCAGGAAGATATAATCCAGGTTAGAATATTTCTGCCAAATAAAGTGCAGCAAGAATGTTCCACACTAAGAATAGTAAGGGGTTAGGTGGCTTTCAGTAGCAATCACCTGTAAAAGAGCTGGTCTATCCTTGCTTATACAGTCAAACAACACTTGTAGACAGAACTCCTTGAAATCAGAATCAGATCTGCATAAATGGTTTTGTTAGGCTCTTGTTCCTTTATGAGCTTCTAAAATTTGTGATAAGAACACTACTGAACACTGGTATGACTTATGAGCAAAAAGCTGAGCTGAAAAAGATGGCCTGTTAATTCTACTTGCATTCATATTGAAATACATACCTATCATTCCAAGATTTGTCACAACACAACTGTGCAAAGGCTATTAGGCTTGGATCAGATGAGAAAGTGCTGACCAAGTGATCAACGCTATCAGAATCCAGTTCTCTGTGACTGTTAGCAAGCACATCAGATTCGTCCAGAGTTCTTAAACCAAAAACCTGTGTCGCCGAAAGCATATAAACCTGTATAAGAATCCTGTTCTCTAGCTGAAAATGAATATATTTGAGCTGAGAGTATATGATGGTGTTACAAACCTTATGCATTGCTCGTGAAAGCAGTGACTGACACCCAACTGGATCATCAACATACGAACAAGCTCCTACTTTCCTTTTGACATATATAACACCAGAACAGAACGGATCACTCTTGTCTCCAAAGCTCCACCAATGTTTCTCTGCATTTCATAGGCCAAAATTAAATATACCTTAAAACCAGCTTAGACTAAGTGACCAAGGAGAAAAAAGAAAATGTAAATGCAACTGCATCAGCCACCTTCTGGGACAAGCTCAACTTGTTGTGGCCAGTATCGGGGACCACAGACAGATATTCTCTTTAGCTGCAGGATACAAATACATATATCAGGCGAAGGCGGACGAAACAAGCAGACGGAATCGGTGAAGCAGGTATTGCATCAAAAAGCTTAAGCCAAGATGGTGTATGACCCTAGTTTTCTGATGTTCAAGCAGGTATTGAAACAAGCAGTTGTCGCAAATGTGCCTCTCTCAGAAAAACTAAAAAAGATTTTCGAAATCTTGAATAAAACAGTGTGAGCATGCAAATCAAGAAAGGTTCTGTAGTTAAAATGGGAAGTGAGAGCAAATTGTTAAACTTTTCTTACAATAGCACGCTCTGGCAAAATGCACGGTGTAACCTCGCAAAATCTTGTCTCTGAATAAATTTCTGTCTCTTTTACTGTGACTTCTATAGGGGCATACACAGGCAGACCGGAATCGACATCGATAGTCTGCAGCCAACGAGCTTCTGTTGCAAGGACATATAAATGCCTGAATGCCTATAAAAAAAATCGCCTTATCAGATCAGATGTATTCTGGCCAAAGCTTGGATATCACAACAAAAGTTAGAAACAACTTCCAAGTTTGGCATGTCTTTGATATCACAATCCACAAAGAGATTGGTGTCGAGTAACATTCATAAGACAGAGACATTAACCAAACAAGAAACAGAAAATAGCGATGCAGAGAATAAAAGAAACTTAAGCTTGCCTGCAGGTGACACCGATTGTCATTTGGTCCAGAAGGCAACCGTGGGTAGAGAGTGATAAGCAACATTGCAAGTGAACCATTATTTGTTGAAAATGTTCGCATACCACCTCCAAGAAACAAGAAACCCGTGGCCAAGCTCACCTACAGGAAAAAACAGTATAGTATCTCATATTTCAGAAAAATAAAAGGAAAGGAGGAATTTACTCATCAAGAATGTTCTACAAAAAAATTGATTACATACTAGGCTAAGAGATCTCTAACAATATGCAAGTCTTTAGGAAATAAGTGCTTTAGATTATACATTTAAGTATTTCAACTTCAGTAATAAAATGCCACTAAAGTACATGAAGCGAAGGACCTTAATTGTGCAGGAAAGTGCTTACCGCCATTTGAGTGCCATAGTTAGCGTGTCCATCAGCAGAGTTTCGGCTGCGGAGAAATCTCAACAGCCTAAATACTTGCAAGTCTCCTGATCCCGCCATGACCTACACAAGTGAGTCCTTCGACATAAAGCTACTGACTTGAAAAAATTGAAAATTGTTGGACAGGAGCCTTCAAAAGAAGTATTACCACAGAAAGGGAAAGGATAATAAGATAAAGACACATTTCAAGCGTTCCCCGATCAACGTATCTAGATATTCCCCTGGGAAATGTATTTCCAGGTATAGCAGAAACAGGCTTGATCTACATACACCAAAACATATAAGCACACATTGAGATGATCAGAAGGAAACCCATATATTCTTAGCATTTGACGGAGAAAAAAAGAGTAACAAATATAACATTATAAAGGGTGATATACCTCATTCAAAAGATAGAGAGCGTAATTGTAAAGCAAGTCACGAGCATTTCCATCCCTTGTACCAGCAAATCTCAGCCCTAGCAGAAACAATAATACATGTCATAATTGTCAATGAAACATTAGAGACTGATGTCTCATAACGAGTAGATTATATACCTAGTGATATGCAGGCCCCAGCCAGTATATTGACATATGCCTGCACAAGGGCTTCAACATCCACCTCATACATATCATCCATGTCATCTTGGAGGTGGCTGATACCATTTTTGACAACTTCAGGAACTTGAGACTCAATCCAATCACATGTAGGACGGATCCTATAATATGAAATCTGTTAGAATTACAATCTTAGAAGCATCAATAACAGCACTCCTAATTGGGCAAGAAAAAACAAAAGTACCTGCTCCACATTATCAAGTTCCTAGCAATGACACGGAGCATTATGAAATCAGGCCGTACACACTCCAAATCGTAATGTGTTTGTGGAATAGAGAGCTTTGAGAAGATGAATTCTGATTCCGTCTGCAACAAACATTAGCTTAAAGCTTTATGAAAGTCCTTACTTCAGAGGAAAAGCACAAAAACTGAAAAAAGGTAAAAGCTGAACTTCGAACCAGTTATCTAGTTAAACTATCCTCAAAACCCACCTTAAGATACATTAATGTGAGAGCAATTATTGCTCCAGGTGCAGTTATATCAACATTGGAAGTGCTTCCGTCTGTTATCTGAGACAAGAAAAAAATTATACCCACAAATTTAGAATTCAGCAAGTGTTTAAGGCACAAAGGAATATATGAAGAACAGATAAGCAGGTAACCTGTTGAGCACTTCGGTGATCTTCATTTGATGGTGCAAGGAAAGATCTTTCCTGTAGGAAATTCACGGAGTTGTTCAGTATAACAATATATACTATCTACAAAACTAATGTGATATCATTCAGTTCCTATCAACACGGGAACTTAACGTAGGATGAAATCCAGAGTATAGACAATTAACCTCTTTTGCTCCCGAATACTGGAGTAAACGATTGACAAAGGAGTCCATGGAACCAAGCGCATCACCTCCACGGCCTTGAGACAAAAAGAACGCAGAGTTAACTTAAACAGAAGAGAAAATTACTGGTAGCCAAAAACCGAAAAGACATACCCAAAGCAACAAGACCAAGTGCGAATCCTGCAGAAACAGCATAACCCTCCCTTTCAAGGACATTGTCCCCTGCACTTCTGCGGCCAATTTCACCCTGAGAACATGTACGAAATGGTATCTGAAAGGTAAGAGAAGATCCACCGGAAATGCAGAGAACTAAATTGTCAATTAAAAGATATGCATGAACTTAATTGACGTTTTTAACTCACTCCATGTAAGAATGGATCCACAACTAAACTAAAGGATAGCTTTTAGGTAAGCCTTATCAACTTGCTAGAAGTCCATACATCAACTACAATTGTATCAAAGATGCACCACAGAGAAAACTTCAAACTTAAGAAGGAATTAAAATTTCTGAAAAAAAAATTTCGGAATTGTTTGGATACAGTTGTATCATGTGTCACCTATTTCCTACAAACAAAAAAGAACAAAACATTTTACAAAGAATGTGGTGATTATAATTCCAAGCCAAATTTCCAAACAAGGGGAGAAGGTTCTATGGACACGTAGAGATCCTTCACAAAGTATAATTTATTAACAAGTGTGCATAAAACAGGACATGAAGTAATACTCTAACGATGAAGATGACATTTGATGACAGGAAGAATGCTCTACCAAACTTCAACTAGAAGTGAAAATAAAACAAACAGGAAGGTGACATTACCAAAAGTAATTGCATTGTCTGCAGATGTGCTGATCCTTCAAATAGAATGCCAACGGAGACTAAAGCTGCAGACTGCAGAATAGTTGAAGATAGCATGTTAGTTAAATTCTTTGCAACTGCTTGTCAAACAACTTCCAGTTTCAGTAACTGCTTGTAGAGAACTAAAATCCTTTAATTAAGTAAAACATCACAGCAATCTGTACCTGTAGAAGTGTTGGTATCTCAAAGTCAGCATACGAAGCTTGGTATCGAGTAGGAACATGGAAAAGGAGAGCCTGTTATGCAAAGAAAAATAATTTCTTAGGGAACTTCCAGAGCTAGAGCTGAATGTTTTTAAGGATGCTAGTAAGAAATATTATGGTGGATGATATCATCCACCATTTTATGTAATCTGGACCTAAAACTAACATGAAAGCGTAAATCCCAAAGGGTTTATTTAGAAGACTTTGGATACCTAAACCAAAAAAGGGTTTTTGGCTGACACGCTAGCAAAAAATAAAAAAACTTTGAGGCCAATTCAAGGTCCAAATAGTCAAGAAAATGAAGTAACTGGCCATCTACCTTTGTAATATCAGGTTGCATCGTTCTCCGGTACGAAGCAGCCAGACCAAGCATCAAACCTACCGTAGTGCACTCATGGTCCTAAAAACCAAAGAAGGAAGTAATTAAGGTAAATGGAAAGTAGTCAATCACAAATTTGTGTTTGAACTTATCAGACGGAAAAAAAATCACTTAAGTATACGAATTAGATAACTAAAGCTGAATGGCTGTTAATGAAACGGACACAATTATCAAATGAGGCAGACATGGAGAATTAGTCTCCATTAATTATAGTAGTCCAATGTTGCATTCATTATTTCATATCTCCTCAAAGCCACATATGTGGTCGCAACTACAGATGGCATGTGCCAACCCCAAAAATGTAAACAGGTAAAACTAGTATCAATTTCAATCAAGAGCCAAAGTAACTTGATGCTCAACTCAGCAGAGTATTAGGCTCAATTAGCACGTTCAACTAATTACTATTAACCAATAGCAAGTAAGGGAAAGAAATAACTCAATGGAAAGGGAGCCAATAGACACAAACCTGAGTGAAATATTGGTATATGTCACTAAGGTTTAACACATGCAAATATCCCTGTAATCCCAGCCCAAACAGAAGTCCAGCATGAACAGCATTTGGCTCTCCAGGTTTATTGTATCTAACCCACGCTCTGGAGACCTTTCCCTGAACCAAAATGTAAAAAGAAACGTAACTGAATTAATTGGGCTTCTTTGAAATGTGGACGGGATAAGAAAGGGTACTTGCTGCATGACAACACATACATTGTGAGACCATGTGTCACAATTTAGTGCATTCTCTTGTAGCATATCAGAGATGCAAAAAATAAGAAAGAGACACGAAAACGTCCAAAAATATACAACACACACCTGAAGCGGAGCCAGTCGTAACTCAGCAGCAACAGCATTATGAAACTCTGGCCAGGTCTTAAGTTCTTGGATATTCCTTATGTTTGGATCTAGATTAACCTGTAAGGGAAGCATGCAACCGAAACTATTAGACTGGCTAAAGTGGTTATAAATCACAAATTGCATATTATGGAAAGAAATGGCAAAACTGATTTATTATATTTATTTCTTGAAGTTGCCGCTTCATGCAAATTCTAACTTCCATCTTCACAACGATAACAAAAGGCATTCGCTATAATGTTGTTTCAAGCAAATTAGAGCATAAAACATGTTTCTTATGTGTAATAGTCCCCTTAATAAGTCATAACCACAATTTAACGTACAATGGCATTTTGTTGGGCAGGCAGCCGACCAGCCAAAACAAGCTTTGGTACAGTAAACGCCTGCAAAAATTCAGAGAGAATGTAAGTCTTCAAGTAGTCATTAAAGTTGATCAAAACCAAGTACAGATTTCGTTAGATAAAAAATTGCCTCAGTTAAAAGAGTGTGTATTGTTGATAACGTGAATGCACCACGCCCGAGGGGAAGCACAGCAGTCCTCTGTGCTATGCGCCAAAGCTGGTCCTACACCAATGAAAAAACAAAGCAACATAATCAATATTAAAGAATTTTGGAGACCATGATCTAAAGCAGTGCGTTCAGCAAAAACAAACCACTGCAGCTGCATCTTACTTCAGTTTCTAAATAGTAACTAAGAATTGATTAAATTTAAAAATTTAAATATGAAAGTGATGTGGAAGCATATTAACTGATCATAAAACTATAACTATCTCGCCTAATATATTTTTTAGTATCATCAACAGGATTTAACTAAAAACAGTAAAAATAATTACACGCAATAAACGATAAAGATGATAGTGGTTTTTTTGAATTATAGCTTCTCTTATTTTCTATCCTAATTTTGCTTAGCCAGTTAAGATTTAGAAAGTTGCAATAAAAATGAACATATCAAGATTTGTTTGTACCTGTTGCTGCTCCTGATCAGATATAGTAGGGTTAGCAGACGTTTGAATTACTACAGGTCGTGCCGAGCACAAAAGACGGCGAACCTAACATGCGAAGATAAAAAAAAGGAAAGAAACAATGAACATAAAGAGAACGAATATGGGTTGATATTCAAATTAAGGGCACACTACGGAAACAGTTCCGAGCATTTGACACTGACCATCACGCTAAGAAATTTTTAGTTTCCAAATGGGGATGTAGATATACCTCATTCAGCCGTAGATCTCGACCATACCGTAGCTGCGTAGAGGAGTTGAAGATATGCTCCATTCCATCTATCACAGAACCATCCACAGAATTTGTATCCTCAATCTTCGTGTTTTCCAAGCCAATTGACTCAGATGGAACAATTACTGGATGCAAATGCAGCATGTACGGTATGGACATCGATATTAAATTCGTATTTGAGTGCAACTCAAATTCCTTGTATGAAATCAAATTTCTGAAGACGGAGAGGGCCATATCTTCTCGACCAAGAAGCACATAAGCAATTGCTGGCCAGTCAGCTGGAGGAGATTCTCGACAGCTATCCAGTGCCTACAAAACACAGACAAAATGTTAAGCAAAAGATAGAACAAGTAAGCGACAGGAAATAACAAACCAACATACTAAAGAGACGAGCAAATAGATTTGGGCAATGAAAGCACAAGATGGTCTGTACGAAGATTGTCTGGCTGAACTAGGAAAGCTACATGAAAATCATCACAGTGATGAAGGTTACCAACAATTTAGCATTTCCATCTGCATATTCCTCTCATCCATATGTATGTAAACATTATAACTTACATGTCGCAGCGGGAGAGATACACCAGAAGGTAGCAAGTCCAGTTGGTGAAGCCCAAATCTCTCTCCAGCCATAGCTAAAATAGCAAGTTCCTCGTTACTAGAGTATGATCCTGGCGCAATATTACAGGGGACACCTGACGAAAGTTTCTGTCCTACTGGCTTGTCACCAAATAACAAACTGTAGAAGGAAACAATTTTCCTTGCCCAGCTCACAATGGAGCACCCATCTTTACGGATCAAATCTGGGAGGTCATCAAGGTTTGTGGATAAACATCCATGTCTTAAACAGTTCTCAAGCCATCTGAACAGATTTGAAGGTTTTCTTCTAGAAGAAAGGGTTGTGCATGCCCTAATATTTTTGGAAAGACGAGGAAAATCACGTATGTAGTGATCCAAGTAACATTTCTCACCCAGAAACTTGGCAATATTGCACAATAAAACAGCTAACCGATGCAAATCCCTGCACATAGATGACAAAAGTTGAGTAAATCATCTACAACCTAGCATAAAAGTACCGTATATATTAAATCTTAACTCTTTTTCTTTATCGGTTTCTGTGAGAATATATACAGAAGAATGTTTGGCAAAAAGTCTTGAATGAAACTACTGTTGCCAGTGGAAAATTGTTTTAAGGTATACTCGCTATATGTGACATGTGAAATTTTTGTCAAGAAACTATCATATGTTAGAACAACTTATGGTGCCATGTTTGAGCAAAGCGTATGTTACATAACATGGAGTAGATAAATGCTGGCAGAAATTTCATATCTTCATGCAACTAGAGGGAAATGATTAAGAAAGAGTGATGACGAAAATCAGCTAATAATATTTACTCTTTTTGTAGTTACCAATTTAAGATAGCTAACCATTTTGTAAGCAAAACAGGCAAGGTGCACGAAAAGAAGCTTTGTGGAGCCAATGTGCTTACTGTTTCCGTAGATTATCCATCTTCAAACTCTCATATACTGCATGAAGACAATCTAAACTCTGGACCATCAATTCAAATGAGTTGCCCGGTATTTCTCCACTACCAGTCTTAGAACCAAATGGGGCAATTCCTTCTAGATCCAAAGGATTGATTGAGGTTATACCACTGTGATACCTAGAGTAGGTCTTATGAAATTTGCTGTTGAGAAGAAACTCCCAGGAGGACTCTGATGGTGTTTTGGGTTCCTTCAGATGCACAACAGTAGGTTTTTGACAAATCCCCAGAAAAATGTTGCATAACGCTTCCCATTCAAAATAAACACTGGAATCTTGCTGGTCAGAACAACCATCTCCCCAAAGAAGGGAGAGAAACAAATTGTACAGATCGGATCGTAAGCCCTCAGCCATGGCTGCTATGCAATCATTTGCAAGTGAGGATGAAGGGTTACCAGTTAAGGCACACCGAAAGATCTACAAGAGTATAATATATAACGGTAAATTAATACAGAAAACAACTTGAACAACCAATAAACAAGTACCGAAGTTTGGAACAGTAAATCCAGCTCCAATAATTATGTGATTTGAATCTCATAAGTATAGAACGACTATGGTAGTTAACAAAACCAATCATTTGATATCTGTGTGACATACCTGTGAATGATTTACTGATAGATTGACGCATCCCAACACAGCATTAGACAATCCTGTGATCTTCAGGTCCCGGGAACCTGAATCTGTTTTTGTAGACTCTTTGTCACCAGAAACAAGACTTTTCCCCAACCAAGAAGGTAGTATATATCTACACAGGCATTGTTTTCCTGACTACAAATAATATAGGTAAATCAATTAAAGATACTACATTAGGAAGATATTAAATAAAGAAAACGGTATGGTACGCTAACAAGAACCTACATAGAGAAACAGGTCATTTTCTGGAGATAAAACAATGATATCCAAATGGGGAAGCAGTCCTATTTTCACTCTGCAAGGCAATGGGAAAAAAGAATTAGACAAACGATGATAGAAATCATCTCATTTACAGTGATAGAGAGGCCAAAAATATTGTAAACAGGAATTTACTGAGAACGTGTCACCACAACAGGTGCAGCAGCAATTGCAGAGACACTCCAGCTTATATCAGGCTTAACGTCAAAAAGAATTTCATTGTTGATCTCAACAGTTTGGAGTCCCACCGACAACAGCTTCTTTTGTTCTAGAATCAGAAAACAAATTACTGGGACTGCTTCATCAGTTGCCAAAAAGACCTGTAATATAGAGGCACTTGTGAAAAATCAGTAAGAAGAGTAAAGACTTCAGTAACAGAGCCCACAGACCTTTCTCATCCCATTCACAGTGTACAAATAACAATGAAGGTACACAAGTACAATATTAATATATTTGAAAGATAACATTCCAAGAACATTGAGAAAGGCCATATAACTTGTAAGACTGGATGTCCAAGCAAAAGTGTTTTATGAAGGCGGTGTCTTAGAAAGTTCAAAGAAAGAATAATGAGCAAGCTATCCTATCCAAGATAACTGAGAGGTCTAAATTTGCGCATTCAATGAGCATCGGTTAGGTAAAGGTTTATAAAACATTTACTAGAAAATCTTTTTAAGCCTTGATTTACTTAGCAGTAGAACATGGCTATGGGAAACTCACCACATGTTAGAAAAAAGAGATCCTAAAACTTGTCCAGCAGCCTACCAAAATACATAAACAATCTCTTCAAAGAAAGACAGCATGACCAAAAACGAAAACTTCCTATAGAATTATCACCTTAGATGCAGCTTTCTTAGCACCTTTGGCTTGCCATATTCTGCGAAAAGATACTCGCTTGGCATCGGGAACAACGCGGCTTGAACATGAAGCAGAAGCTTCGAGGTTAGAATCTATAAATTCGGCTGCCCACACAGAATGTTGCATCTTACCTGAAAACCCCAAGACAGAGTACTTCGATGAAAAATAAGAAGAGCATGTGGCAAGCTCAGCCTGACCGGAGAGCAAAATGACAAACCTTTGTTATATGAGGTCATAAGAGGAAGACAGTCACTTGTCCAAATTGTTCTCTCATCGTAGTCCTTCATTATGTTCAACTTTCCCCTCTCTTCTAGATAGGTTGCCTGAAAAAGTTAGTTACATGAGTTACCAGATGCAAAAAATAATCAAACGTCGCATAACCAAAAACAAAAATCTACGTTCTGTTGAGATAGCAACAAAGAAATAATTCAAGTCCCATAATAAAGACAAGACTGGCATGAAGTAGGAATAAAGTAGGCAAGGAATATCTAAGCGTATGAGATCATTTACCCCAGGTGCCTCTAATGGATCTCTTAGAATCAGATGGGAAGACGTGTAAGACATGTCTCTTGTGCTAATATGGTCATGTGCGACTGGGGAATGGAAGTTCTGTGGTGAAATATTCCCAACTTCTTTTCTGTGGCGCAGCATCTCACGAGAACCAATGGTGGGGCTAGCAGACGAAAATGGAACATATGAGGATGGATTCGCTTCAGCAGCTTGCTGAAGAAGTAGACCAAATGGTAGAGGCCATATTGATATGACAGTACGTGGAAGTGGAACATATACAACTTCACCTGTCGCCCATAAATGCCAAAGATAAAAAAAGTAAAGACCTCAGCTTGTGAAAACATCACAAACGAGAAAGGTAGCACTGATTACACAAATCTAGCGGATAGGTCATAAGGAACATATTTCCAAGAGCCAGAGTAATAAAGGAAGATAGAAAACTAATAACGCCTAAAGTTACCAATCTACTAGAACGTAAAGAAAATGATCAATGAACAGAAAGCCGCATGAAATCTATTTCACTTGATCCGACTCCATAAATTTTCATTCCTAATTACACATTTTCAAGTGAATCAAGGTAATATGGGATCGTTCTTTTGTTAGGAGAAGTCTCTAGCGACACTTACCTGACGTATTGTATATTGTTAAACAACCAGTTTGTAAGACACAGAGAAAAGCGTCTGCCCTTCGACCCAAGCGACTCCAGCATGCCTATAGCATTTTAAAAAACCATGGTTGAGGCATTGCTAGATTTTTATGAATTTTCAAACGGAAAAATATTGGGGTCAAAAATTCAAACTTCCTATGGGAAATTACCTTGATGATGACAGAAGACAAGGTAAACCGCTTGAGCACGCGTGAACCGCATGTCCAGATTATGCTATCATCAAATCGAAATTTCATCGTCACGAACAGATACAATCAGAAAGTCAGCCAGATACGTTACATATCAATACCCAATGAAATTAGCTTCGACCTAAGCATAACGATACAGACTAAAATTAGAGTAAGCAGCCATGGAGTGGTGTGCATAATTACAGAGTAATCAGCAAAATTGAATAAAGACGAATCTGACGAATTTTTTTCCCGCTCATAGTAAATTTCCACAATTGTTATATGATAGCCTTCTTACCGGTCGTCTCGGATGAAGAGCTCATGCTCTCTCTGCGGCGAGAAGTTAGGTTCACTGCCATCAGCATCGTCTCGCTGGCGGGTGAGCTCAGGGTCGAAGAGAAAATAGTGGTAGGAATCGGCAGCATTATCGTCCGGAGGTTTACCGTCGGTAGCTTCGGCGATTAGACCGAAAGGTTTGAACTTTCCGAGGACGGTAAGCTGGCGAACCCCTGGAGACATGTTCTCCGGAGAGCTTCGCGAACAGGCAACGGAGATTGGTGAAGTTGAACTGTACTCTCCCGCTATTTACCCGTTGTCTTCGGGGCTAAGCCCTAGTCTTCACAATTTCCCATTTCTCATTAACCTGCTGATACGAGAGGTCGAAATCGTGAACAGTGTTAACAACGACAAAAGGACAATACCATGGAAAAAGAAGTGAGTAAGAACAATCATCACTTACTTGTCACTCGAAACCGGAGGTGGAGATCAAAGCAGCCAAGCGAGTTAACTTACGAAAAGCATCGAAAGTCGGAATATTTCGCCCAGTGAAAGAGAGATTGTCTCAGAGGAATTTAATCAAACACCTTCACTACACGATGCACGGAAATCTGGATTTTGAACTAAGAATTAAAATGGGAAAGAACTAAAAACTGAAGGCCCGAATTGAAATAAAAAGGTATTCCATACTATTTAATTTTGACCATTGGGTCAACTGGGCCCACTAAGATAACTTTTTGTAATAAATATTGAATCAACTTATTAGAGAAATGAAAAGTTTGAGGTTTTCCCCACAAAAGACTATAAAGAAGTAATAACGAGTTAAAAGAAACAGAGATTTGGCTCTCGGTTTAGAGTTTTGACACAAAGAAAAGGCAAAATTGCCGTTGGGACCAACTCTCTCTCTCTCTCTGTCTCTTCCCATACGGTCGCTGACGTCACCGCCGGTCATCAATGTCAGGCCATTTATCCCAATTCCCCGTTTCTCTCTCTCTCTCTCTCCCATCCAATTCCTCTCCAACCTTTTTCTTGTTTTTTTGTTCGATTCCGTTCGATCTTATCCTACGCTGTATTCATTTACCTCCGGTGCGCACGTTAGCATCCGGTTAGCAGCAACACTCCTCCTCACGAATGGAGACGACATCGCCTCCTCCGGCGACGCAGACAAAGCCTCACCATCCCCGTTCGAGTGGACGAGAAGACTGGTGGAGCGAGGACGCGACGGAGACGCTGATCGAGGCCTGGGGCCGTCGTTACCTCAGGCTCAATTGCGGGAACCTCCGACAGAGTGACTGGAAGGAAGTCGCCGCAGCCGTGAACTCGAGCCACGGTAAGGGTCGTCCCAAGACCGACGTCCAGTGTAAGAACCGGATCGATACGCTGAAGAAGAAGTACAAGACGGAGAAAGCCAAGCTCTCGCCGTCTGCTTGGCGCTTCTTTGACCGCCTCGACGTCCTGATCGGTCCCGTGGTTAAGAAATCGGCAGGCTTAGCTGCCAAATCAGCTTCTATGAACTATAATCTGAACTTCACCGGATCCAAGTCTACGGGAAGCTCTCTTGACGACGACGATGATGACGATGACGAGACTGGCGACTGGGGATTCGTCGCAAGGAAGCATCCCCGTGTGGAAGAGGTAGAAGATCTGAGCCAAGGATCGGCGTGTAGGGAAGTAGCTAGAGCAGTTCTGAAGTTCGGGGAAGTTTACGAGAGAATCGAAGATAAGAAGCAGAAGATGATGATTGAACTGGAGAAGCAAAGAATGGAAGTTGCAAAGGAGCTCGAGTTACGACGAATGAACATGTTGATGGAGATGCAATTAGAGATTGAGAAATCAAAGAACCGGAAACGTGGAGGTGGTTCAGGTAAGAGCTCCATCTTCTGGCTTAGATTAGCTAAAAAGTTCCAAACTTTATATGGTTGTTACCGTTTGAATCTCTTTAAATGGCAATACTTTACCCGTTGAAATAACTTGAAGGGAGATCTCAAACAATGTTGTTATACCTTTCTGTTTAATGGAAGAGTTTAGTGGCTCTCTGCTTTTGAAAATACACTACACAATGTAGCTGAGGTTTTAATGTGCCAGCAAGAAAAAAATCTAGCTTCTTGAACCTTTTTTAGCTTTGTGTAATGTTGAACTGAGTGTAGATGGAACCGGTTGAGAGTAGGACTCCCAGTTTTAAGATTGAGAGATATATATCAATGATGCTAATATTCTAACATTGTTACTGAGAATCGAACTGTCCTTGCTATTGTACAGTCATTAAATTGGAGAAATAGGTTGCAGAAGCATGAAGCAAAGCAAGGAGGAAATATTTCTTGAAGCTGATGCTCTTTGAAGATTTGAAGTGGGGGATGTTACTATTTCTAATCTGTGTAGGACAAAAATTAGATTAACTCTTTAGGATGCCTTTTCCTTTTTTTTTTTTGTAATTTTTAGTTTTAGCGGAGCAGATCTTCCTTAAGAACACTGACAATGATGTGTCAGTATGTATGTAAGATGATGGTTTGTGAATTGAAGAAGCCAACTTGAATTGGTTTATTTAGTGTTTGTATATACAGTGGATTCATCTGTCTCTGAACCATCTCAGAGGGAAATCAAAAGAAAGGTCTGCAAATGCAGTGACCGCAACATCTCCTCCCACAAAATCTCGCTCATATGTGTCACCACTCTCATCCTCTGCTTCTTCCCTCCTTGGCTCGTTAGGCCCTAATCCCCTGGTCTTGAATCCCCATGACGCAGATGGTCCTCCCAACGAACACACAGGTGATACGTTTCCACCCACGAAGAACCTCTCCGGCACAGAAGAAGCTCTGCTCTTGTATCCGCTTCCCCATGGAAATATGATTCCCCCAGATACACCAAAGTTCAGAGCAGCACGGTAAAACCCGAGTGGAACAGCATAACGAAGATCGATTTCCTGACAAGGGGCAAAAACAACGCTCAGCATCAAGTATGGCAAACAGCAAAGAACCACATAGAAGAGCTAACCAATCTTTTCATTTACTGCCATAAAAAGCAACAACTTTCAGAGGAACTTGGGAAGTTATAGATGAATCGTGAATGGTGCAAAAGCCTATATGAGGAACTAGATGCAGTGAGTAACAAGTTCCGTGCTACAACTTTCAGCGGTGTAAAATAAGTTCATGTAAATGCTGGCAACAAGAATGAAGAATCCCAAACCTGGCGCAAGAACCGACGTGTTGCTTTATTAGGCGCATTGATATAAATACGCTGCAATGCAACCATCTCATCCGCAAAACGGGCACACGCACGGCTACGAAGAGAAGCTAGCTTAGTCCACATAATCAGCATCATCCCTAATGACGTCTTTCTTCGGCCGCATCCTCTTTTTGTCTTTTAGGATTAGGTTCTGAGCTTTCGCTTTCGGAACCAAAAAGGTATGCTACATCTAATAGCAATCCAGGCCATTCAGGGCTTTCTGGTATGTTGACGTCCCGAGTCGGAGTTGCTAAGAACACACGGTAACATCTCGATTCCAAATATCCAAGCACCCGCAAGGATAACGTGTCATCTCCGACTTGATCTGAGACTACGATCACATCTGTCGCATGAGGATGGTCCCGAGGAGAGTCCATTTCCCATAAAAGAATGTCATTCAACATTCTATGAAGTCTCGAGGCCCCTCCGGGAAGAAAGTAGATTCTTGTTTCCCACGTCTTCTTACGCAGATACTCACCGCCCCAAGACTCGTTATTCTCATCAACATAGGCCCAGATTGACACCTCACCTCTAAAACCCCTATCACCAAGAGCTTTGACGATTCTGCGATGGATCTCATCAGGATCGGAACAATGAGGGAACGGGCAATCCTCCAAGTTCCAGAAGACGACTGTCTGATCCCCTTTGACGGGTGTGATACGCTCGGAGAAATCTTCCATCTTGGAGATATCGAACTGGGAGCTAGCATCAGAATAAGAAAAACTGTCTAGACTTTTGCTTAAAACTTGTAAAGGGTTTCCTCCACCTAAAGCTGCTAGTGATGGTTCATGCCAAAATCGACTTTCTTGTGCGGTGTCAACTACTACGAGAAGGGCGTGGTTTCTCGATTTCAAACACTGCTCAACCCTACGCAACTCCCCTTCTGGGCTCTGTTTTGCGATTACCAAATTTTTCGATGTTCCCCTCGTGGCTGCGCAAAAAAGCATATCTAGAGGCATTCTGAAAGCAGCCGAACCGTCACCCCCTGAACCTGTATATTACATCTTTGGGATTACAGACATATCATAAGTAGAAAAAGACAAGAGTGTTATGAGTGAAGGAATTTACTTGCGGGTAAGTGGTACTCGACTCCGATCTCCCGCAAGTCCTGTGTGCTGAGGTTCAGATGGTCACCATACGCCCAGATTTCAGACATCCCATGAAAGCCCATGTCCGCAAGAGATATACCGATAGCCGAACCAACATGATAAAAATTGAAACCTTGAGGGGTTGGGTAGTCATCCGAGTTCCAGAAGACTTGTATTATTTCTTCGACCGCAAACTCTGTATGAGGAGGTCGTGAGTGTTCGTATTGGGAACCAAAATGGTCTAATAGCAATCCTGGCCATTCAGGGCTGTCTGGTGTGTTGACGTGCTGAGTCGGAGTTATTAAGCCAACATATGATCTCGACTTCAAATATCCTAGTCTAGTGGAGAAATCCGTGCCCTCTCTGGCTTGATCTGAGACTACGATCAGATTTCCTCGACCAGGATCGTCCACAACACAGTCCATTTCCCATAAACACATGTCATTTAACATTCTTTCAGGTCTCGAGGCCCCTGGAAAATAGTATGTATCAACGGAACTGAGATATAGATTACAACATACATATAAGAAAAAAGAGTGTTTAAATAAAAGAATCCTCACCTCCGGGAAGAAAGTAGATTCTTGTTTCCCACGTCTTGTTACGCAGATACTCGCCACTCCAAGACCCGTTCTTCTCATCAACATAAGCCCAGATTGATATCTCACCTATAGCTCCCCTTTCACGAAGAGATTTCTCGATTCTGCGATAGACCTCATCAGGATGGGAACAAAGAGGAGGGAATGGGCAATCCACGACGTCCCAGAAGACGAGTGTATTATACTCTTTGACGGGTGTGATACGCTCTGCAACGCATTACGAAACACAGATGCAATAGCTTCATTAACCATTAATTTTACTACGACAGATGAAACACAAACAAACAGTGAGAGGTCTTACCGGAGAAATCTTGGATCTTGGAGACATCCTCCAAGGTTTGGGGGATATCATCCTCCTCGTTACTTATAGGATTTCCTTTACCTAAAACTCGTGTACATTCAACTAGCGATTCTAGAGAATGGTGTGCGGTGACATCAGGCGGCTCTACCACGGTGTGGTTTCTGGATTTCAAACACTGAAGAACCCTGTGCCACTCACTTCCTGGGCTCTGTTTTGCGATCACCACTAAATTTACATCATAACTCGCTGATGCCCAAGGAATCATGTCCAGAGGAATTTTGAAATCAGGCGACATCCTGACAAGAGCCGACTTGTAACCCCCTGAAGCTATATATATATATATATATATATATATATATATATATCAACAGAGATGTCGATTAGAGACATGTCATAAGTAGAAACGAGCAAGAGTGTTATGAAAATAGGAGTTTACTTTCTGATAAGTGGTAAGTGATTCCGGCCTTCTTCAACTCATCTTCGCCGTGCTTCAGATGATCACCATACGCCCAGATATTCACGCTCCCACGAAAGCCCATTCTATAAAGAGCTTCTTCGATTTTAGGGCGAATAGAACAAAGATCGTCGGCACTAGAAGGGAGTGGGTAGTCCTCCGTGTTCCACAAGACGAATGTATCATTGTCTTGACGAAAAGGGACAAAGGCATCAACAAATTACGATATGAAGATGAAATCTAACAAACAGTTTCGGGTAAGAGATGGAGAGAGAGAGATCTTACCGAATAAATCTTCCGTGCCCATGGTTCGATTCGACGGAGAGAATTGCAGACTTTCTCGCTACGGGTGAGAGGGAGAGAGCCTTTATAGAGGCTCCTTCGATTCACAAGTGGGCTTGTCCGTGACGGTTTCCTTTTTTTTTGTCTGTGCGGGCCGGCCTGCTGCGGATTGCGAATATGAAATCCTAAGCCCAGGCCCAAAAAAGAAGTAATTTCTCAAGAATAATCATATTATTAATTGGCAAGCAAATTGGGCTGTGTTGAGAATTATTGTGGTTGATTACTTTTTGCCCCTCATATGAAAAGACTTCAATTACCTTTAATAAAAATTAATACTTTTAATAAAAATTATGAAAATTATAAAAATCATCAAATAATCTCTATCATATATCGATAACATAGAAGCCCTAAATAATCTCTCACCTATTCAACATTATAAAATATTTTTATTTAGAATCTTTAGGTCACGCTACTTTCCCTCATCTTAATTTACTTTAACAATCCTTAATAAAATTATTAATTAAATTAAACTATACGATTGGTTTGGTTTTAAAGCGGTTTTGTGTTATTTAATATCGATATGGTTTGGTATGTTTCAATGGATCGATAAATGATATGTGACTTGGGCCATTATGTTTACTAAAACCCTAGATTATAAAATCTTAGATTATAAATTATATATAAATGCCTCCGACCTGTTTGAGTATTTATGTTATATTTATGGTCTGGCCGTTGTGTTTCTTGGGAAGACAGCCGTGTTTATGTAACATGGCTATGGTAATCCGTCTTATTTATTTTCTTGTAATCTTTAATTATGGTTTTGTTGTTTCGTGTGTTTGGTTTAAAGTTTTGGTGTGCCTTCAACTTTTTGTTTAAAGGTTTTGGTCGTAGTGGTTCCGAATCATGTGTTTTGTTTTACTTAACTTTTTGATTAGGTGTCGAGAACATAGAGAGAAAAAGAATCGGAAGGAAAAACTTTCGAAAAGTGATTCAAATTTGTTTGAGAGTCTGTATTTGTTTGTTTAGTTTGATCTAATCTATAGCCAATCGAAAAAGAAGCTGAATAGGAAGAATATGAGGAATGAAGCTGAAGTAATTTGCATAAAAGGTATTTACTACTTTATATCTCTCCCCGCTTAGGTTTGATCATTATGTTTCGATTACCAATCTATTATCTATTATGTTATTTCATTTTCCTATTGTCTGTTGATATCTTCCACTCTTGGAAGCATCAGATAATGTTTACTTTCTATGTTTTTTCATATATTTAGTTCATTGCTTTCTTTTAAATCTTCATTTATTTCTATATTATGATATTTCTTTCGCTTTGCTCTGACAAAAGTTGTATTATATCATCGTGAGTATTTAATTTGGTTTTTCTTTATGTGAGTTCATCTTAGTATTTATAATTTAAAAAGATTCTGTTTGCAAATATATCACCATGTTCTATAATGAAGTTTTTAAATTAGTATAGAAAATTCAAATCTGATTTGAATTTCTTATTTTGTAAAGAAAGGCCTCTCACTTGATTTGCTGCTAATCTTCGCGCCTCTCTTCCTCGAACTTCAGTTCACGTTCTTTATCTCTCCATTAAACAGAGTTGTTGAAAGTTAAGTGTCAAGGGCAGATACTAACAAATCACTAATCAATTAATCATTAGTTGACGTTTTGTAATCTTTGTTCGCATAATCCCGACTCAAACTATATTATCTGATCTGAAATCTTTTTTTAGGTTGCATGGTGGGATAGTTCTTTACTCACAAAAAATATAATTAATGAGTGTTTGATTTATGTTCAATACCTTTGCACTGTGTTTTGTTTGATCATGACTGTTTTTTAATGTGTGTTTTGCTCTTTTGATTTGATGGTTATTCGTTATTCATGATGTTTTCTCGCATAAACCTGATTCTAAACAGATTTTGTGATTTAAAATGTGTGTTTCCCATTATTTGGGAATGGAATGTCAAACAGAATGTGGGAAAAATCGGTGGAGCATGCAAGTGAAATTGTGATTTGTTTCTTTGTTTCTTATTGTTTTTTACTCACTTTCTAATTAATTCTCTCTGTTTCATTTGGTCAGTCATCACTTTCCAGGCATCGAACATGATCATGAAAGATGTGGTTGCCTCCACGCTGCTCTCCACTGGTTTGTTTGCCACTACGTTCACAAGCTGAGGTGGCAATCCGATTCAGACACTTTTAAGGTTGATATGATGACTTGGCTTGCCACATTTACCCCAAAGACACTGAAATTCTCAGACATACGTTATCGAGACACGTAAATGCCGTTAGTGAGATTCATAGTGGAAGGGAATTACTACTTTTTGGATGCAGAGCATAGTTCCATTAATCTATCGTAATGAGAAGGTTTTTCTCATAAGTGCAAGATTGAGAGGAAAGATAGGAAAATAGCCTTATTTTTTATCAGGAAGTGTAATTAACTATATAGTTAAAAATATATATATAATTTTGGTTTCTTGATCGGATTATTTATTTTGTTCTCTCTGATTTTAAACAATTAGCATGGATATCAAAATCTGATTGCCACTCTTAAGTTTCGTTAATTTAGGAATACATCTTCCCCAAATTCAGTTTTTTTTTATGCTTCCAATGAGGTTTGTTTGATTTATGTTTTTCTTTGGTTTACTTCAACTATTGTTGAATTGTAAAACTTATAATCATTGGAGAAAACTAAAACTCAAAAAACAAGAACATCATATCATTAATTAAGAAGCAAATTGGACTGTATGTGAAAATTATTATGTTTAATAAGTTTGGTTTAAGAACAATTATACTAAATAACAAAAATTAATATATTTTAAGTAGTTTTGTCGAAAAAGTAATTAATCTTAATAAATTGAATATATATATATATATATATTTATGGTTATATCTTGATTTAGATTAATTCAAAAATGATATTTTTATTTTATTTGTAAAGATAAAAATATATCTATATTTGTCGAATTATAAAAAAAAAGATGGTATAAACCCCAAATTTTTATTCCTATAAATAGTGTAATGTATTTGCTACTTTATTTCATATTATTTTTTAAATTTAGGTTAGTTCATATAAATTTTGATATTTTGTTATTTGTTTGTTTTTTTTGAATTTGATAAAACAAAAATTCATAGAAAATTGACAAGTTATTGGATTATTTATTCATTTTGATGTTTTTATAGTACTTTAATTTTATAAGAATAATTTTCAAATTGTATGAAAATAATTTTCTTTTTTTCTTATACACAAAATTTTAGTATAATTAATTTATTATATTTATATCAGAATTAATGTATTAATAATATTAAAAGTGATTTATCCGTGCAAGGCACGGGAGACCACCTAGTTAATCACTTAGCGTAGAGAAAAAGTAATAGGGTTTTTTTGTTGTTGTTTTCTCTTGATGATGTGACCTAGTTTTCTGAGTTTTGTGTGAATTGAAGAAGCCAACACAAATCAAGATGAGCATTCAAGAGTTATAAAGCCCACTTTATGCTAAAAGTCCAAAAGCCGACCTTTTCTTATTTGAAAAAGAAAAAAGGAAATTTCACTATATCTCAGTAATCGATTAGCGTACAAAAAGAAAAGGAATACAGTAGATTGTTCTCTGAATTTTTTGGCCATGGCTTGGTCAAACACTGTGCTGCCTTTCGAGTTGGTAGAAGAGATACTTTACAGGATTCCGGTCAGATCCTTGTTACGATTCAAATCGGTATGCAAACAATGGTATGCTCTTTTAGAGTACGACCAGAGATTCATCTACAAACACTTGACACATTCTGATGAGGAAGGATTCATACTAGTGAGTCATGGATGGGTTCAAATCTTCAGTCCGGTGACCAAAACTCTCTTACGTAGACAGATCCCATATGAACTCCGCTGCACATGTACCATGATTCACTGCGATGGATTATTTCTCTGCAAGTTGGATAACTCAAAGCTGGCGGTTTGGAATCCGTGTTTGAGTCGAGTCAGTTGGATCAAATCGAGACCTTATTACGCTTTTGGGGTCTACGGCTTCGGATATGCATCCCGTGTAAACTACAAGATCTTGAGGTTTTATACCTATCTTCAAGGCAACATGTCGGAGGTTGAGATATATGATTGCAAGTCTCAGCTCTGGACAAGTGTTGATGCGAATTTCGATGTAGATTGGTCTTTTCATCCACGGCCCCAAGCTGTGCCTATGAATGGAAACATGTATTGGATTGCTCAGAAGCGAAACATAGGGTCTGAAATCTTCATCCAAAGTTTTGATTTTTCCACGGAGACGTTCGAGCCCATTTGCTGCGTTCCCTTTAAAAACCATTGGTTTGATGTGGTTAAAGATGATCAAGGAGTCTTCTTGTCAGGTTTCAAAGGAGACAGGCTTTCTTTATTAAAACAACGTTTCCATGTTGGCATTGAGGTGTGGGTTACGAACAAGGTCACAGATGCGGTTGTCTCGTGGAGCAAGTATTTTAACGTGCCTCGCCCTGCTCTCCCCGTTTTAGACTCCGGATTCCGTCGCACTCAACTCACATTCTTTGTCCACAACAAGACCGAGACTATCATGTTGCGGTCCGAGGAAGAAAATGCAAATGGCAGAGAGAGATACGTCAAGATTTACGAAATTAGCGAGGGTGACATCAGAAAACAAGCTGAGACAGGACGACAACGCAGATGTCATGATATTCTTCCTAACCGTTGCTATGTTTATGCTCCAAGTCTGGTTCCTGTCCCATAATAAGAGTGTAATCGAGACTCGTTGAGGGTTAATTTTGCTAGCTTTTTCGTGCAATTCTCCACATCAGATTTACAATACTATGGTTCATTCCTATTTATATAATCAAATGTTACAGCGATTAGGCTTAATTTACAGAGCATATGATTGAGTTTTTATACTAGTTTTGTGGCAACCTAAATCTGAAATTGATTCACGATTTACGAAATTCAGAAAACAAGTCAAAATTTAATTACTTTTGAAGCCCTCTCTGTTTTGCTCTCAACTCTGCTCGAAACCCTTCTTTATTTGAAGAAACAAAGCAAAAAAAATAGTTCCGGTTAAGTAAAAAGTTTCTCAACAAATTTCCAAACCGACCAAATCCCACTCCTTTTTTCTTCTACCCAGTTTCAATTCCAAACAAGGAACTAGATACTCAAGTTACTGAAAAGGATTAAGATGATGTTGAGAATGTCAGGAAAAACCCTGATTTTGCTCGATCGTGCTCTTGTTTCTTCAGTATGTGGCAGTAGTTAAGCTGACATGATAAATAAGAACAAATCAATCTCAGTTAAAACAGGTTGTAGAATTTTAGTGGTTCTTGGTGAGAAGAGAGGAGCAAGAGAAGATAACCAACCTCCATGCGAAATAGGCTAGTTGGAACAACGATTCCTGCACCTACTGAGCTTCTGAATGTCTCCAGGAACTTTGGAGCACTGAAATTTCGATACTTGTTCTCTGATAATTCCGCCATATTCCCCGCACATGCAAACACATGCCCGTGGATTCCTCTGTCTCTGAACCATCTCAGAGGGAAATCAAAAGAAAGGTCTGCAAATGCAGTGACCGCAACATCTCCTCCCACAAAATCTCGTTCATATGTGTCACCACTCTGATCCTCTTCTTCTTCCCTCCTTGGCTCGTTAGGCCCTAATCCCCTGGTCTTGAATCCCCATAACGCAGATGGTCCTCCCAACGAACACACGGGTGATACGTTTCCACCCACGAAGAACCTCTCCGGCACAGAAGAAGCCCTGCTCTTGTATCCGCTTCCCCATGGAAACATGATTCCCCCAGATACACCAAAGTTCAGAGCAGCACGGTAAAACCCGAGTGGAACAGCATAACGAAGATCGATTTCCTGTAAAGGGGCAAAAATAACGCTCAGCATGAAGAATGGCAAACAGCAAAGAACCACATATAAGGGCTAACCAATATTTTCATTTACTGCCACAAAAAGCACCAAGTTCTAGAGGCACTTGGGAAGTTATAGTGCAAAAGCCTATAGGAGGAACTAGATGCAGTGAGTAACAAGTCTGTGCTACAACTTTCAGCAGTGTAAAATAAGTTAATGTAAATGCTGGCAACAAGAATGAAGAATCCCAAACCTGGCGCAAGAACCGAAGTGTTGCTTTATTAGGCGCAAGACCACCTATTTGAGAAGTGGAGATAAAAGAGTATCCTCGTGTTGGCCTCAAGGGTGAGTTTCTCTTGTCAACTTTGAAAGTGTACTTCAGATCAGAGACCAAACTATGCCCTAGCTGTCTCCTTATTGATCTCGATGCCATTCGCGATGGGTCTATGAAGTTACGCCATGCAACAGTATAGACCAGATCATGATACTCGGTTGAGAGAAGCCCGAGGGAAAGACCAAGAGCTCGTTCTTTATAAGAGGAAAACTTAAGCCAATCTTGGGTAGAGAGGTAAAGACGCGACGTAAATGGAGAAGGACGTCCTCTGAACCTTGGCAAATACATCCCCAAGCCGACCTCTGCAGAGTTGTCACAGCCATAGGCAAGAGACCCGTCCCAGTTATCTCCATAGCCAAAAAGGTTCTTGTACTTGGCAGAGACTTCAAGGCTTGATGATCTAGTCTACAAGACAGAATTACACAAGTACATGTACACCAGACTAAGAGTTCCAATTACCAGAAATTAGTCGGAATCAGAAACAACAGATCCAACTCTATTCATCAACCAAATAGTTTCTTCCAAGGAAAGGCTCAATAACGCTAATCCATTGAAGTAAGAAAATGAAACTGGTACCTCTGCTTTAGTGAAGGCTCCGAGTTCGCAGGTGAGAGGTTTTTCCCTCTCGACAACTTTGATTACCACATTGGTGGTACCAGGAAGCTCGGGAGGACCAGGATCGAGTGTAATCTTGACTGAATCGAAGATATCAAGCGCTTGGAGTCTGAAGTTGGCAACCTTAGAGGCTTCAAGAAGCTCCTGCAACGTGGTCGCTTGCCTCACAACATCCACCTCCGCCTCGATCACGTGGTCCTTCGTCTTATCGTTTCCCTTCACGATCACGTCGTGAACACGCACAGGAACCGGAGCCGCTCCCATACGTCGGAAAAGAGACTCCGCCCTGATCCTATTCGTAGCAGCATCCTCTCGCGTCTGAGGTTTCGCGGCCGTAGCTTCGTCATCGTCTTCTCCCTCATACTCTTCCTCTTCTTCTCCGTCACCGTTAATGTCTTCGAGTTCTTCTACTTCTTCGGCTCCAGGTTCGAGATTGGGGGTCGGAAGATCCGGGTCGGGTCTATCCGCCGGATTCGCCATGAAAAGAAGAAGAAAACAACTGAGAGATTGGGATTTGAGCAAATCGGCGAATCAATTTGACGGCTGGTCCAGAAAAAAGCGTTTACAATCCTGCGAATACCTTTCCTAGCCGGTTCACAGATTAGCCGGTTAACTGATTAGGCGGTTCGCTGATTAGGCCGGCGGGACCCAGCAGAGCCTCTTTTTTTCCCAGAAGGTATGAAATGAAAAGGTGGAATCTTTTCAAACTCAGTATCCCTCTCCTCCTTAGCTCCTTCAATCCGGAAAGCACCACCATTTGTGTGGAAGAGTAAAGGGAGAAAGAGAAACAAAAATATGGCGAAGAACGAAAACGGCTACGAGAACTTGTTGGCTTCACTGATCGTCGACATCAAATCATACTCCGGAAAAGACCATCTTCTTCCCTGGATCCGGTAATCGCGTCTCTTTGTCTCACTGTGTGCCGCCATTTGGGTCGGCGGGTCTGAAGTTTCCTTAGAAACCTAATTAGTAGAATAGTTTTTTGTATTGATGTGTATATGTTTTTGATTCATGGGTCAATCTGAAACAGAGGTATTAAGAAGATGAAAGAGAGCTTGCCGCCTCAGATGTTGAACGAGAAGCTGCCGCGGTTTCTGCAGAAATGTGCACAGTCATTTGAATCTGATAAGAGATACCGTAACGATTCTCGATATGTCCGTGTTTGGTTGCAGCTGGTAATTAACATTTACCCCTTGATTTGCCACTTATTTGACTTGCTTGAAATTGAATCTCTCTTTTTTTTTTGGATAAATGTAACTGGAGGATGATCTCATTACTAACCTGGCTTGTAAAAATCAAATCTTTGAAGGGATTAGAACCGCTATGCCCAGTTTTGTACTTGGGAAGTAACGAAATGAGAAGTAATTTGGATTTGAATGGTTTGGTTGTTTGGCTAGATGGACTTCGTAGATGATCCAAAGGCTCTCTTAAGAACTATGGAAGCAAACAGTATAGGGACCAAGAGGTCATTGTTCTACCAGGCATATGCTCTCCATTATGAAAAGATGAAGAGATTCGATGAGGCCGAGAAAATGTACAGACTTGGGGTGCAAAAGTAAGTACTCTTGCAAATTCTAGAAATTGTTAGTGATGCGTAAACCCTATTAGGCGAACATACATATGCTATTAAATTCTCTGCTTCTCTCCTTTATATAGAAACTCTGGATGAATTCTTTTCATGATCATTCCTGGTATCCATCCACCTTTATGATATGAGGAATGTAGCAATGACAATTTTTGAGCTTGCATATGTTATATGTTGAAGGCATGGTTCAAATAGATTGACTGTGTACCCCTCTTGTGCCAGCCTTGCAGAACCCATGGATGAGTTACAGAAATCATACTTGCAATTCCTTAGTCGCATGGAGAGGCACAAAACCAAAAAGACTCAGGTAGCCTGTTTCCATAGTTTGATTGTTCCGCTTGTATAATCTTTGCAAGTTGTGAAGATGGTCTCAACTTATGTTTCCTCTTGCAGCGTCAGGAAAAGCACCAGAAGGTTGAGAGGTCACAAAAGGATCCTAGATTGGCCAAAAATGATGATGATACGCCCGTGTTGAATTTTGTTGATAAAGCCATTGTAGGAAAACCTGAAGCAGAAAATGCTTGCCATCACGGTTTGGTGGATCCCACAATAAACATGAAGGAAGCCATGAATGCAATCAACAGCATGTTCAAAGAGCCTATAGAAACTGCTCCACTTCAGAGAAGATCGCAGAGAAGCCAAGACAAAGAAAACCAAGGCTGCAACAATGGATTTGAAGTCTTCGTGGACGAGAATCTGGAATGTGAAACAAGTACAAGAGGAAAAGCAAAGACTGAGGGATCCCAGCCAAACCAAGAGTCCTTTGAGATATTCATCGATGATGAAACTACGGATGAAAATGATGAGGCCGGAAAAGGTTTTGTCTTTCTCCAGCCAAGAGACAATTCACCGGAAAGCTCTGAAGAAGCAGACAGAAACAATCCTCGCCGAGCTAGATTCAGAGAAGACACAGTTGTCCGTCGGTTTGTCGGTTCAACCATCTCCGATGAGCCGGCAGTTGAAAACGTCTGCCACCATGGCCTTGTGGACCCTACAGTCAACCTGAAGGAAGCTATGGAGGACATAAACAACATGTTTGGGGAACCGATCGATTTTGTTAGACCCAACCGCTCTAAAAGCAGAGGAAAAGCAGTAGAAGAGAAGAAACCACATGTTGATGCAGGTTTCTCAATACTTGAGGATGATGATGATGATGAAAAAGAAGCTGCGCAAGAACATCAAGGGAAGAGCAGGCTGAGTCAAAAATCGCCTACAAAATTAAACGAGCGTGATTTATTTGAGCCAACAATTTGCACAAAAGTAGCCTTGGATGAGATCAACAAACTGTTCTCAATGCCAATGGACTTGTAAGGAACAAGGTATCTGATTCCTTTGTGTTTTGCTCTCATAAAACTCACTTAATTAGGAGCAGGCAAGGTTTGTGGTTTGCGTTCCCGCTTTAATACCTTCTCTCTGTTGTCTGTGTAACGGTGAGAAGAACTATTCATTTTGTTGTTGTCGTTTTAGCTTGGAAAGATATTTGTGTCTTATATTTAAGAAATGTTTTATCAGGTTGATGATGTTGATATGACCGATGATTTTACAGATCGTAAAACTGAGTAAACTCGATACAAAAGACTCCCATTACAATATTACTCAGAGCAAACAATTGACAATCCATTAACAACCAAAAGAGATAACAAAAAGCAACCCATTAACATTTGTCTTAATACAATTAGTATATGATGATCTTACAAAAGCAAAACCCGAATCAGTAAGTGGGCGGTGGAGTCGCGGGGCAGTGGTCAGGACGGAAAGCCAAAGGACCAGCGGCGTAAACCACAGCCTCATAGTTGGTCCACTTGAGCCTCTTTTCTTCATACCGAAGCGAAGCACCATCGAGAGCATTGTTAATGTTGGAGAAGAGATTGCAGTCTTCACGGGGAGAAGAGACGAGCTTGGCACGGCAAGCGTGAAGAGGATGGTCTAAGAAATGTGGAGTCATTTTTAAACCTTTGAGCTCACCGTAGAAATGGCCGTAGGAATCTGTATGAAACACTTTGTAGAAGCTCACTTGTTGCTTGTGGTTCTTGCAAATGATGCTGATCTTAGCTCCGGCTATGGCTTCTGCTCCAGCCAACGACCATGATCCGAATTTGTCGCAGGATTGGCAATACACCATTCCTTCCACCGCCGCTTCCACGGTTTTCACGGAGGGGTATACGGTGGTTGGAGGCGGGGGAGAGTAACCGTTGGCCAAAGTCGCCGCTGCAATGAGGACGACGAGAACGGAGAAGGGCAAGGCTCGTGGGTCCATGTTTCTGGTGAAAGGGTTATGCACTCTGTTTCTTAAACTTCTTCTTAATGTGTGTACTACAGGGGAGAGAAATATACGTATATATACAAAAACATCTAAACGACTGATAACTTTTTATAATATTCGTGCAAGTATTAAAAAAAAATTGGTAAACCGACATTTGTGGAGAATTATCAAATTTTATGAGACGTGAGTGCGACTAATTAAGGAGATTTACATGTCTTGTTATGAAACGAAGGCAGTTACGGCTTATTACGTGACTGCCATTTTCTTTGTCAACGGTTTTCTATATTAAATTATTGTTTGCCGTATCTCTCTATTTCCCATCTTTTTCCTATCTTCTAAAGGCGGACTATGAATATATATATACATATATATATATATAATCAACCGGGAAAGAAATTGAATACATAAACCAACGAAAAAATCATATAAAGTTAGTAACTACATATGCTTCGGATCATGTTTGAAGTGATATAATAACCATGATTGTTCAGAAAAAACAACCTTGTTTTCTTAATTTAAAATTATAAAAGTTTTTATATGGACTCCTCTGCTTAAATATGAATAGCAAAAACAACCTTCATTTTCTTAATTTATAAATTGAACCTTACATATTGGGTCCTCTTGCAATGAGAATGTCCCCATAAGGCTGTGTTTGGGCCACCTTTATCATTCCGCGAGTCGCTAGCACTGGAAATAGAAACCCATTTATACTCAGATTTTCAATGATGCAAGCTTTCAAATTAAGCGGTGAGCTAGAAAGGAAGTTTCATTAGTACCACAGGATTGGTAGAAGAGTTGAGCTGCAGCGTTCCTCCTCATTCCAACAGCGAGCTTGTTAAGAGATTCCACTTGAGCAGCTCCAGGTGTTTCAAAGTGTGTCTTGAGCTGACTGTGTTTGGTTTTATTCATCTGATGATCATCTTTGTCACTGAATATATAGAAATGTCAAATAAAAGTGAATCTCTTACCTTTTGATGCTATCTGTTATCTTCTCTTCTGAGTGAGTAGTCCCTGGCTTTTGAGTCTGTGTAGGTCCAGTTTCAGCGAGTACTTCTGTGAAAGAGATTGCATAAGATGATAAGACAGAAAAGCTAAGTTAATGTTTGTAAGATGATGTGTTTTTTTTAAAGGTTGTACGATCAAGAGACAATGAGAAAACTTGTACCGTTATCGGCTGTGAAGCCCTTTTCAGGTATCATTGAGAACTCATAGTCATACGAACGGTGCTCCCACGGTCTGTCTTCCGCTACTGGTTCCAGTCCTCTTCTTGGTGACGACTGTGGCCGTTTTCTATTGGACCTGCGAATGTTTTAGTAACCAGAAGAAGAATTAATTATCCTCTTCCTATGGAAAACCTCTTTGTGGTTGCTACTGGATTTAGTATCAGAAAAAAAAAAACATAGATGTTTTTCTTAACCTGTTAGAGTTGATTACTATGTTAATTGAAGCTGCTCCACGTGCGGATGGTGTGCTAGGCATGGATCTCACGTCATCTCCTGATTTTTTCATCACAAAACAAGTAAATAACGACACACGACACAAAACCAAGCTATATTATCTGATTGACTGAAAAAAAAAAAGGGAAGTTTTTAACCAGAATAGAATGGTGTCACGCTAATATCAGCAGACTGGCGGTTTTTATTTTCAGATCTTGCTCGCGATCCATTCATCAAGCCTTCTATTGAACCATCTTTCCCAGCAATAGTGTTCCGAAGTCTTTCTGCGGGGCTGCCAAGATTTTGGGAGCTTATCTCACTGCCCTGATGCTGCATACATCCACACTCAGTAAGAGAGTACATGAAATTGTTCCTTTCTCTTATTGATACTAAACTTTTTCAGGAAAGGATATACTTCCACGTCTTACATGGTCTGTTTGATGGTGATTCGGCATTCTCTCCTCCTGGACTAACCCTGGAGATTGTTCCTCGCAGAAATCAGGGCGTCGAGTTTCTGCATCGAGATTACCAAATGTCAGATTCGTTTCAACAAGGAGAAAACAAATAGGGCAACAATGGTGGATAGAGGGAGACCAGATGTTGAGGTTTGAAGACGTTGAGTGCTTTTTGACCAAAGCTCGCAAAGCTGAGGTGGGTAAGAACTGTGCCCTTGCTCTTCAAGGAGTTGTGTAGGTGGCAATTCCATACGTTTAGCAATCTTCATACTTAGGGTGATGGTTCCCCGAGTCTACATAAAAAAAAAATCTAGATGTTACGCCAATATGAGCATCAGTTATTACATTAATGGCCAAGGCGTTCACTAATTTGTACCTTTCTCTTTTTCCCCTTCAAGACAATGTTAGAAGCATCCTGGAGCCATGACTGGTATTGAGGACCAGCGAGAATAGTCTGCTCAAAATCCATCACTAAAGTAGCTGCCTTTCTTGCTCTTTTTGCTGGCCGTGTTCTATCTTGTTCCTGCATGCAGAACAAAATCCAATTCTAACTCTTTTCTCACAAGATGAAAGTATTCCTACTGAGAGAAAATACCTCTCTATCCGGTATATTTTGTTCCTCCATCTGCTCAGCAAATGCGTCCCTACCGTGATCTTGTTGCTCTCGGCGCTGAGGGCTCATGGGGTTGCCTCCTGCAGATAGATGGCTACAGGTTAGTATATTTGATTCTGTTCTGTTTATGAAGCTCAATGTTCTATAAAACATTGATCTTTCTGTCAAGGCTTCTATAGAAGTTCGTTCCCTGGTCAGATTTATGATTATTATACTACAGGTTCTCTCAAGCCATTGTTACTGGCTTCACAAAATTCAGCACAATTTAAAAATAATAGAAAAAAGTTACATCTTAGACTCAAAAATTCATATCCTCATTCAAATGTCACCATTATAGAATAAAAGAGTGACATAACTAATTACCTTCAGGAATGTCATGATGACGAGGTGGTGATGGGATGAGAGTTGGAGGTATCTCAGCGCCTTCTCTTGTATTGAAGTTCATCTGAGTTTCATCATCTCCTTCGATGTCAAATCTGAGATGCCATTTAGAAAATAAAACTTCTACAGAAATAGTGGAACGCTACAAACTTCTACCTTCAACAAATTTTGGAATTTGTTTAAGAACTGGGGATTGAAGACCAATATAGAAAGTGAGATTGAAAAACAACCTTTCGAATCGATCATACGTCTCAGTGTTAGTCTGGTATGAACCATGATACTCAAAGAGTGTTATATTTTCCGCATTAGCTGAGAACGATAAAGAAAGTGACAAGCGGAATTACTTAATAAGTTACATGTTGTATATTCATGAAAGATGTGTCTCAGGATGGAAACCTTGATGGAGATGCTGTCCAAGATCTTCTTCCTCGGGATTTTCGTTAACATTGGATTCATCCAATCGCTGCAAAGAGAAAAGCCACACAATAAATTAGTTCAATTGAAGATGCACATAAATAATCACAAAAGTTGTAACATGAAGGAGATGAACGCTATATGATCAATTCACATTAACAGTTACAACTATTGCGCATTGTCCTTTTCCACAACCCATAGGTAACACGTTAAATCTTGAGCGATGTTCAAATGATATGTTTCAAGTTCCATAAAGAGTTTTTCAAAGCAGACTGGAATGAAGCAACTCAAAAATGACATGCTTGAGTTAGACTAAGTCTTCAGATGCACTTAATGCGCCAACTTATTTCCTCCATATTATCCTTCTATGGACAATGAAAATTGACCCTAGAAATTCTTTTTATACCCTTTCAAACTTATTAAGAAATTCTTCGTAATTCAAATCCATTAAAATGAGACATAAAAGGAAAATAAACTTCCAATCAAATTTAGGAGACACAGGGTTACCATGGAAATATAAGTCTGCTGATAGTCCATGAAATTGGGAAATTTTGGAAGGTTACGAGTCTGTTCAAAATCTCCAAAATCTGCTTCGTCGTTCTCAGGCAGCGTAACAGCCTCTTTCCTGCAAACAAAGACCCAAAACGCCAATTCTAGTGTTCCAATGTTTTGGATTTTCCTTCAGAATCATTTCAATCGCAAACAAAAACCCAGCACGCCAATCGTTTCTACTGTTCGTGTGATTTGGGTTTTTCCTCAGAATCGAAATGCAAAGGAAGAAGAAGCGAAATAGTAATACCTGGCATGGGTTTTTCCTTTTGGTAGCAAAGTGGGATCCGGAACAGCTTTTGTGCGCCAAGCTCCATTAATTTCGACCTGAGAAGATAAACAAGTGTGAGAACCCAGAAATCGGAGTACGGAAATATGATTTTGACTAGAAAACAAAAACTCAAAAAGAGGATGGGAAAAAGTTTGTTTACCAGAAGGCGACTGACGTCATCTGGAAAAGTAAAGGAAAACCCAGAAAGGGGCAATTTCTCATCAGTTTAGAAAAGAGGAGACTGGAAAATCCCGAAATCAAATTCAATCAAAAATATGAGTGATTACCGTATAGGAGCTTCACTTTCCTCTCATAAACGATCACAACCCCACCTAAGGAAGAGACAAATCATTGAGAATCATCAAACCCAGATTGCGAAGAACTTGAAAATTAAATTCCGATGAGCTATTAAACTGTTAAGCATACCCATCAAAATCCCAGAGAGCCTGAGAGCCATTGGAACCGACGGATTCAGAATCTCTTCGCTGTGAGGGAGTAAAATAATCAACAACATCAGAAAACAGGAAAATCAACGTTCGTCGTCATGGGAAACCCAGAAATCAAAAACGAAATTAAAAACGAGAGAACGAACAGATCTCCGCTCACCAGATTTGAATAATGTCGAGCTTGTCTAGTTTCTTCCGATTGATCTTCGCGTGCAAAGTGGCAGCCATCCTTGAAGAACGTACACCATAAACAAATAAGAAAAACAAAAAAAACAGAGGTCAGAGATTACACTAATGAACACTGAAAATCAGAGCGGCCATTGAAAAAGTAACAAGCGCTTGATCGAGACGAGGAAATCCCCATGGCGAATTAAAAACAAAACAGACGAAATAACTCCATACAGAAACAAAACGATCAAAATCACGAGATATCGGAAAACGTAAAACTGATAGAACTTCACTCACCATATCTGCCCTAGCGGTGCTTTTCGAGCTAGTAGCTGGTGAGAGTAAAACATGCTTCAACTTTAAAAAAAAAAAAAAAAAATCCCCAACCCAGAAGGAGAAAAAAAAAGAGAGAATCAACTCGTTGCGTCAATGGAGTCTGGAGAAAAAAACTGAATCTGAGTAAATATTTAGCTAACGCGATTTTTTGATGTGTAAAGCGTCTGTATATATTTATGAACCCGCCATGAGCATAAGAAGGGAAAAGCTCTGTGTGATCGGAGGGAGAGGAAGCATGTCAGTAGCAATGCTAAAGATACAGCGCGGTGTCGAAAGTATCAACAGTAACCCTCTCATATTTTGACACGTATGCAGCGTATAATTAAACCACAGGCGCTAAAATACCAATCGAATTCCGTTGCGTAGGTGGGCCCCAGACTGTCACTATCAACTATCTAGCCTCAACTTTTCCTTTACACCGCCTGCCACTTCATTACGGGAAAACTACACGTAGTTGATTCTTGAAAAAATAAAACGCTCTGGTTTTCTCACGGCCCTCCGCCTCTTCTCTCCATTGACATTGATTAGAGAGCTTCGCATCGGCGAGATCGGATAATTAAATGCGCAGAAGATATCATGTCGGAGATAAATCAAAACGTTGTTAAGTTCTTCCTCACATTCGCTTTTCTCATTGCTACCACTTTCTCTCTTCCTTCTTCGCCGGACCGATTCCTCAAATCGGCTTTGACCTCTCTCCGGTCACCGGACGTGCCCCAGGAGTACACGGAACTCAGGCAGCCCTTACCGTCCGATCGCCTCACGCCCTCATGCTCTCATGTCCTCCTCCGCCATTCATTCGGCAACACCATCAATGGACCTCCGTATACTGCTCCATACACTCCACCTTCCGGCTGTACATCGCCGCCATGGTCCTATGTTGTGCTTGACCTACGCGCCGCCTCGAGTGGCGATCAGTACGATCGTATTTCCGGCTTGTGGCTCGGCGGAGTTGAGCTACTCCGCACCAGTACGGCGGAGCCTAGTCCAACCGGAATCTTCTGGAATGTTCGGAAGGACGTCTCCAGGTACTCCTCGCTCTTCATGAGATCCGATCTAAATGTCACGATGATGCTCGAGAACATAGTCAACGATGTTTACACAGGCATCTATCATATCAATGTCACTCTCATCTTTTACGAATTCAATCCTATTGCGCCAAACCCGAAGATCAATAGCAGATTAGGGATCCCTGAATCCCAGAGAAGAGGCCAAACCCCTGCGGATTTGATCATTCCGTTAGGTGACGGAGGAGACAGAGGGTTCTGGTTCATGATCGAGAACCCGGCAGAAACTTACTCAAAAAGTATTCAAATTCCGTCCAACACTCGTAAGATTGTGTTGGAACTATACGTTTCGTTCCATGGGAACGACGAGTTCTGGTATTCAAACCCGCCGAGCTCATACATGAGAAGGAACAATCTAGCAGCTGGGCGTGGCAATGGCGCGTACCGGGAGGTGTTTGTGAAGATAGACGGGAGATACGTGGGATCAGAGGTGCCATTTCCGGTGATCTTCACAGGTGGAATCAATCCCTTGTTCTGGGAACCAGTTGTTGCAATCGGAGCATTCAATCTACCTTCGTACGACATGGACTTGACACCATTTCTCGGGTTGCTTTTAGATGGAAAGTCTCATGAGTTTGCACTCGGGGTCAACGACGGCATTTCGTACTGGCTTGTGGATGCTAATTTGCACCTCTGGTTGGATCACGGCTCTTCGAGTGTTGAAGCTGGTTCTCGGCGTTACGATAGCCCGAGCCGTCACATGGTGAGAGAAGAAGAGCTTAAAGAGCTTGATGGGTCTTTCAGGGTCGAAGCAGAGGTACGCAGTGAGTTTGACGGGTGGGTGAAATCAAGTGAAGGTAATCTGACCACCACGGTCAAAAGCATGTTCAAACTTGGCAGCTTGGTGAAGTTCGAGAAAAACGGAGCTTACAAGAGGGTTGAGCAGAGAGTGGATACCGAACGGCTAGTGGAGGTGACTTCTGAATCGGGCAAACAGGTGAGTCGAGTTGTTCAACAGCGGACATACCCACTCACGGTGATCACTTCTACTCTTAGAGGGTTCACCAACGACAAGGATATGTATGTGCTCGTGACGAATGTTTCACACGCCTTGAACGAGAGATATTCAGCTGGAGGAGCTTTGACCCAAGTTAACAGCAGGCAGGACTCAGAAGGTTGGATGGAGGTTGAAGATCACAATGTCTTGGCCGGTGAAGCGAGCACAAGAACGAGTTTCAGCTACGTTGATGACTTCAGCTGTTATTCACGAACCATTGTTGCAGCCAACGGCGAGATAGCCCTTGCCAGTTCATCTGATACTTGTGCCTCGTCTTCATCCTCATAAGTCAAACGCTGATCATAACCAATGAGAAATCTTTGTGAAAACTCTTGTCTTGTATAACAAAGATATGCTTGTATTACGAATAACCATGTTCAGGGAGACAAACGAGAGAAATTGCTTTGTGCTTAAAGGGAAACAAAAATTGTAAGATGTAAAGCGGAAACAATGTTACAATGCTTTTTTGTTCATTCAATTATTCCGCTACCTCCATCGATATCCAGTGTCTTCTTCTTCTTACAATGCTAAAAATCAGGAGGTGAGAGGAGAGTTACTGAATCTTATTAATACCTCCAAATCGACGCCAACAGTCTCAGCAACATGGCGCATGATGGAGTGAACAAGCTTGCTCTTGTTAAAACTCTTCTCGCTAACCGTACGCTTGCTGAGATCGATGTGCCCTTTATCCTTATCGACCCTAAGGAGTAAGGACCATGACTGGCTCAATCCGGCCGACCTTGATGAGACTACTAATGCTACGAATCCGACGGCGAGAGAGCTCGGAGAAGAGGATCATACCCTCGATGTTGTTCCCATATCGGCGATATTCTTCACCTGAATCATCACCGCCATATCCATCCTCAGGGTACTTTGATTCGTACATGCGACATTCCAGATTCGGTGCAGGAAGAGTTTCTTGGTTTAAATTTAGTCGCGGGATTGAGTTTTGGGGTTGCCGTCGTAGTGCCCTAGTGGTCCGGTAACGGCACCACCGTTTTTCATACTGCGACGCCGTTTTCAAATTTACTCAATGTGTTGAAATTATTATCTTGCTGTTTTTTTATACATTTAAAACAACTTGTTCAGTAATTTAATTTTCCCTTATTTTTTATTGCATCAATCAGATGGGCCGTAAATTATCTTATGGTTCGCAATCGGAGACATATCATTTACTCTTTATTATCACATGGAATTGCAAATTCGGAGATGGGCCGTATAATCAAACCAACCCACAACAACAAAGCTTTGAAAGGAAACGTTCTGCATCAACCAGAAGGTTAGGGGAAGCATCGAGCTCCTGCAATGAACCGTCTTCACCACAGGTTTGAACCACGAACCGGACTCCCTCCACATCTGATCCAATGGCCAGATCAGAAACATAATAAGCATCAACATGAGCCGTTCCAAGAAACACCTTGTCGCTTCTCGGTTCATCCATAACCTTCCTTGCCCTGTAACCACTCGAGTTTAGATGCTCCGCATACACATTGTACCTTGTAAACACAGAATCTTCAGGGTGCTTCAGTCTCCATTCTAGCTTGCAACTTAAGGTCCTGGAGCCAGAATTACCCGGTGCAAACTGTATGTTATGAGCCTCGATTATCCACGATGACGCCGGAGGAAAAAGCTTGGTCTTTTGCTGGCACTTGATGGAGATATGCCCAAGCAATGCGAAGTATTCTACTGTGTTTGTTTCCTCTGCGAGATCACCTGGTCTGTAGCACAGGGCAGAGATCTCAGTCAGTGTGTGTCCATCAGGAACGAGGTTTGTTTCGTGCACTGTCCAATCGGATGTGGTCTGCGTTGATGTGAGAAGACATGGCAGGAACATGTCGCCGAATCTGTGGATGGATTCATTTGGCGCCATAAGTAAGGACTTTGTCTCCTTTGAAGAAGATGAAAAACGGAGCAGAATGCCTAGAACTGATCTTTCATCTGATTTCACCTGCACCGATCCAAACACAAAACATAAAGCTTGAAAATTTGTAAAGATGAAGTAAAGCTTGGAACTTTGTAAAGATGAAGTAGTAATCGAAAATGTGATGCATCAGTGACTTACGGAGTAGGAAATCGAGATGGGGGAAGCAGGAAGCTGAAGCTGAGGTTTGAAGAGTCTTGCGGTGAAATGTGAGCCCCTCTTTAATTTTCCTCTGAAACTGACGTTTCCTCCTCCGTTATAAGATGCTTCTCGACCACTACCATATTTGTATGCTTTATTGTTAGAGGTCAAAAATAATTTACTTCTTAGACTTGTCCAAAATCAAATATGTTAGGGTCAGGACTCACTCGACAGTGACCTGCATGATCCCTGAATTATTGAATTCTAGGAGAGGCTGTCACAACAGAAAACAAGATCAGATCAGGAATGTGACTGACAAAAGAAGTTATCTCCTTCTTATAAAATCTTAGATGTTTGCAATAGATTCGGGAACAAAGAGTGCATATATTAACTAACCTGCAGATTTTGGCATGAGATGTTGTACCAAGGAGCATCTGACAATTTTCGACCTCCGAGTGAAACATGGGAACCAAGGCCCTGCATATTAAACAAGAGTAAGGTAGTTTCATCAACTTACCAGAACATAGAATAAACAATCATGTAAATCTGGAAATGTTAAAAGTACAGAGATTCTCACTTCACCTGATTGAAATCTGAGTAGAAAGGTAGGGATTCTGGATATGCTTGAACTATTCCCCATGACTTCTCAACAAGTGACCACCATCTAAATAAATAAATAAAGAGAAGACATGATGATAAGATTCACACAAATCCTTTTTACCATCACATGGACAAATAACTGAGCTTAGCATTACTTATTCTGTGCCGTATGGTAATCAGGTGGTTGGTTGGTCTCGTATACCCATCCAGGAGCAAATATGGCAGCTGATACATCGTTTCTCTTCAGCAAATCAAGGGCAACATTTGCCTACCACCATGTATGATAAAAGAGAAACTTTATATACAGCCTGAGAATGACAGAGAAATGCAAATATTGGATGGATTTTGTGGGAATTGAGATACATACCGTCCATTGGCCACCTCCGAAAGTTCCCCGGCCAAAAACATCTATTCCCATGTAGACATCATGCTTTCTGTCACCAGCAATTTCAGCTGACGCTTTGGGGTAGTCCTCCTGAAAGAGATGCCCACTCATATCAGGATCAATAATACCTATTATAAGGAATAAGGATGGTGAGAATGAATGAAGTGAAAGGGCAAACCTTCCATGTATAGTTCATGAATATTCCATCGCATATATCAAAGAAAGGCTTGTTCATTTCAGTCAACTGATCTTGCCAAGCAAGAAGACCCTTCACAGTGACACTATCATACCTATCCAAAAACAAAAGAAAATTAAAAAGGATCAGTACACGTTAGAAAGAGAACACAAAAGAGTGAGTTTGACAAAAGAAAGGATTCTCAACGCTCACCATATAACTAAACCACCGGGTACAGATGAATGCATGACTTTTGTTAGATGGCTTACAAAAGTCTTCAAATTTGGAATTTGAACTTCATCTATTACGTTCTCTATATTTATCTGCAAGTAAGAATTTTATAAGTTCTACTTAGAAAGGTAATAATAGTTTACTTCTCAAGATCAATCACAAAATATTGATCGATATGAACAAACAAAGCTTATGGCAAAAAAAACACACCAGCCACCCATCAAAGCCAAGAGCAGCAGCAAGTTCTGCCAAGCGCTCTGCGTACATCTGCGCAGACTCCTTTGTCGCCAACAACTCTTTGCACGTAGCTTTCCCTTCGTCCCATTCTGTGATGAAAGTCCCTAATACCTTAGATTCCAATACAACCCACAAGAAAAAATAAAAATCATTCCTTTTGCAAACCAAGATCACATTCCTCTGCATACAACTAACTCCTTTCAAACAATGCTTCCATCAATTTCTACAAGTGTTTGACTTTTCAAATTACATTCAAAGATCGAAACTTTAGTCGCCTCAACTATAATCATGAGAGATGATTATACAATACAGACCTTGACGCCATGTCTGTGAGCAGTGTTGGTCCAGCAAGGAGGAGGAAGTGTGACGAGGGAGTGGGAGAAGTAGACAAACACGTCCATCAAGTACCAATTCCAGATCGCGAAGCCGGTGTTGTTCCCGCAACCTTGTACCCACTTGTCGTCGACGTACCCTCCTTTCATGTCGTGGCAGACCAGGAGCCTAGATCGGTCCGGCAAAGCGACGGTGTTCCGGCGGAGAGAGACGGAGGAGCGGTTAAAGGAGAAATGAAAGGAATCGAAGTAAGAGCGAGACTTCAAGTCTTGAAGAGTTTTGACAGGGAAGGAGATTGGTGTCGATGGCTTAGCCGGATCGAAAGGTGGAGGTGGAGCTGACATGGCGTCTTCGTTGGATTTGGGCAGCACGAGAGAGGGAGAAGGATAGGATGTGAGGGAGAAGAGTTTTAGAAAAGATTACAGAGGAAGAGAACGGTTTTGCGGAATTTAAATGGGTCAACGGCAAAAGACGAAGACGATGATGGCTCTTTTTTAGCAAGAAACACACAGATTTTTTTTATTTAAAATTATCTTCAGTTGAGAGTGACGTCATTATTTATTGAGAGCATTTATTAGCATGTGCAAGCGTGCACAGTTTACTAGGAAGGAATTGCCAAGGAGGGAAAACCGGAAAAGTTATTTGATCGAACCGGTTTTGATTCGTCTCAAAATTTGATAACCAAAAGGTAAAACATGATTCTCATGTAATTCTCAAATCAGAATCAAAACAACTTCTTTTTGTCTTTAACGTACAAACATATAAGAGTAGGCTCTATTCTAAAAGCACGAAAGCCACATCTCATTGTCTGGTACCACAACCGAGATAAATCAGTCTTTAGGTGCATGAATATGGAATCATTCCTCTAATAAAAAGTGTAATAATAAGAGCCTTTCACAATTCACCATAACAAGCTAGAGAAAGTTGTCCTAAGATAAATAAAGGTCTGTGTCACATATCAAACATTTCATCTCGGGCGTTTCCCACAAACGCGGAAGAAGACAATTCTTGTGAAAGACATGGTGACAGTGTAGGGCAATGCTGTTTTCGTGGGTCATCTCTCCGAGACATACAGGGCATTCTCGGATTTCTTCAACCGGCCCTGCTGGAGGAATGCTTCTCCACCCAGCGGCTTCGCTCATGACGGAGAGCTTCCCGAACGCTTCCGCAACGCTCACCGAGAAAGCTTCTGCCGGTCGTAAGAAGAAAACCCTGGGCCTCCACATATCGGGTGACTCGGTCTACCACATTCTCCCAAGTCCGACCAGGGTTCGAAACCTCATCCTCTCTAAGTTCCGGCGACTCACTTTCAAGAATAGCCTTGTAGAGACAAGATCTGGAGGAGGCAGCAGAAAGTGGAAGACATTTGCGATACTCATATGTCCGCTGCCCGTGGGACTGCTCCATTAGAAGGTCCGGGCCTACGGGCGGGCGGTAGACGGTTCTAGTGAACCGTGCGCCGTAAATCAAGATCAGGCATCTCTCTGTGTCGTTAAACCCCTTTGCTTCCATCGAAGCACCAACATCAAATTGTGGGTACAACTCCACAATGTTTGAATGTTCCAACTCATCTGCCATGTTGAGACGACAAGCAAGGATTCAATGAACAGGTCTCGAAATCGATTAGGTTTCTCCAATTGGGGGTGATAACTGATATAAGACAGGATTTATGCGGTATGTACCAAGGAGGTGAGTTAATTGGGCCTTTATTTAATGGGCTTCCTTCTAGTAAGCTTTAAAAATTAGATTGGCAAACGCAGCATTAAAATAAAAATCATTACTAATGGATTGCTTGAACTCGTCATGTAGAAGAGTAGTAACCAATAAGAGCGTCAGTCTTCTACTGCCCAATAGAGAAAGAGTCAAAACAACTTCTTTTTGTCTTCAACATGAGAGTGTGTATACTCTATTCTAAAAGCACTCAAGCCTTACTCCAACCCCCATCAAGCTTTGTTTCTCTTGTCATCAGATTAAAAATCATCAGCTCCTGTAAGTCTTGCAAATTCATCTTCTGTAATCAAACCTTTCTTCTGTTTTTTAAGAAACCGATAATCCCGATCCATCTCTTCTTCATCTTCGGCTGTTTGGATGGTTTGTCTCTGTTTTCCTGTTAACTTTCTCGACGCAGCAGAAGGATCAGCCGCCTTTTTCGAGTTTTTCTTGCCTCTCTCTCTCTTCTCTCCTTGCCGTTTCTCTTTCCTTGCTAGCAAGTTTTGCTTTCTTTGTTTCTCCCGAGATTTGTCCCTGCGTTTTAGTCCAAAAAAACTTATGATTCCTGGATACACTACCGCCTAAATCTAAACTTGTAGTTGTATCTGCATAGATTTGTATAAAAGCCCACTCACTTTACCGAATGTATCAAGTTTTAGTTTTTTGGTGCCACAATGGAAACTATGAGAAGATAGATAGATATACCCAAATGGCGAAATGAAAGTGCTGCAGCAAAAACTTACTTGAATTTTATGTCCTCAAACTTGACTCCTTCAACGGGTGTGAAACCCTCACCGGAAAGTCTGTGTTGTTTAACTTCAGACATTGAAGGAAGATACAAGAGGCCATACCCCATGGCTAACTTTCCGATTTCAAGCCCTTTCCATCTGTATAGTTAGGGGAAAACTTTAGAATTACAAAAATTAAAGACCGGAAATTTTTTTAAAAACAACACAAGATTATTTGAGCAACATGAACCTGAAAATGTAAGAGCAGTGATGCTCCTTATAAGCACGGACAAAGGAAACAAATGCCTTTAATCCCTTCTCCAACACTGCTCGGTCCTTCATGGCTAGTGAACGTATCTGAATACATTGTAGCAAGCAATTACTAAATACTGTTACCAACAGAGACCGAGAGAGAGATACAGAGAGAGGGAGAGAGATGCATGGACGTTTTCTTACAATCGGGATGACATCGGATGCTTCCTCAGAGCATTTTCTCTCTTGGCAAGAGACTCCTCTTCTGCGCATAAACTCTACATAGTCTTCTTCCTACACGCATGCAAGCGAAATTTTCAGCTTTTCTTGCTCTGAAATGTAACAATGGAGAAAGAGAGCATAAAATTGCTTAAAGCTTAAACCTTGGGCAGTAAAAAAACGATGGCCCTCCCTTGTCTTCCCAATCTTGCAGTTCTGCCGACCCTATGGTTGAACATATTTGGGTCTTGTGGGGGATCATACTGCATGACAAATTCCAAACTGTGAATCCTAAAGTTTGCAGCAATGTTGAGATAATGATGGAAGTAGACATTACTGAATCTACCTGAACAACGTAATCAATGCCTGGAATATCAAGTCCACGTGCAGCGACATCTGTGCACAAAAGGACACCGCTTGATGCTTCAGTAAACCAAGCTAATGCCTTGTCTCTTACATTCTGATGTGTAAAGCATATTTCATCAAAACCTTTAATAACAAAGGGCAATGAGATGACACGGAAAACTGAAATATATCAAGGATAACTTACCTGCTTCATGTCGCCATGGATAGGAATTAAAGATATGGACTTCAGGGCAGGGATTTTTGAAAGCACGAGTCCCCAGTAATCAACAGAAGCACAGGTCATGAAGTATCTGCAGAGATGCAACACTTATTAGACTTGTATCTACAAAAATGCTTAATTTTATGAGTCTGTGGAATGTTCTAAAACGTACACTATAATCTTTTTATTTGCATTTTCGATGAGGAGATCCACTAGTTGTGATGATTTCTTATCTGCTTCGCATTCCAAATACTGCGGTGACAAGAAGAAACAAACCGCTAAGAAATTTGCATAAAGTAGGAAATGCCAAGATAGAATATCATCTTCCACAACTCTTTTTTCTGCACATATGTAAGGCATGTGATTTGCTATTCCGAAAGTTGCCCAAGGGATTACAAGAGAAGTACCAAGAGTAAGACTTTTACTACTCCGAAACATAACCATATATACATTGACATTATACCTCAAGGTGCAGACCAGAAGGTATTTTGGAGTTTGTCAGCTGCTGAGATGGTTCCGACTTTGACTCAGCTCTAACTTCAACTCTCACAGGGTTCCTAAGCCCGGCCTTGGCCAGCTCTTCCACGCCTTCGGTTTGTGTAGCAGAGAAGAGGCCAGTCCTCCGCTGCTTTGGCAAGCGGGATATAATGCTATTCACCTGCTTCTGGAATCCCATCTCCAAAAGCCTATCTGCCTCATCTAAGATAAGAATCTACACTTGCAGAAAGAATCACTCGGTTACCAAGTAACACGCTAAATTTCCTAAATCCATCTTGAAATATAATAATCCACGATTGAAGAAAACTACCTCAAGACTTCTGAAATCTAGAATCTCCATTCGTTCCATAATATCAGAGAGTCTTCCAGGCGTGCCGATCAAGAGGTTGCCTCCTTCCTCTTCGATAGTCTTCATGTCAGCTTTCACCTCTCGGCCTCCAACAAGCAGCACAGAGTTCACATTTGGCAAAGCCGAAACAAACGGCTGTGCCACGTTATATATCTGCGTTGATAGCTCTCTTGTTGGCGATATAATCACCCCCATCACCTGTAAATTTCATCTCAGGATTATGAATCAAACCTAAACACATAAATTGAATTCCGCGAGCTCACAATCGAAAAACCAAAGATTGAAATTGTTACCAAAAAAAAAGAGACTATTTCACTTCCCGGGAAAAACATAAGCGGAGAAAGCATTTTCAGAAGATTCACTCAAATTATAAAAAAAAAAAAAAGTCTTAAAAGAGGCATAAGCTACTCTTGATGCTCTAAAGAGATTTAAATGCCCAAAAATCGAGATTATTCGGCTTATTTCTGCCAATTCTGCTACCTGATGAGGCTTCGGAGGGTAGGAGGTGGATCGACAGAGAATCTCTACGAGGGGGAGGAGGAAAGCTAAGGTTTTGCCAGAACCGGTGGCTGCGTCGACAGCAACATCCTTGTGGCGGCAAAGTAAAGGGATCGTCGCGGCCTGAACCGGAGTGCAGAACTCGAAACCGGAACGGTCAAGCGCCTCAATGATATCTTTGGAGAGCGGAGGTTCGAGGTCGGAGAAACGCGTCTCCGTTAACGCTTTGTTTGTGTTCGGCGATGAATCCATGGCGGCCGCCGCTGCTTCTCCTTCGCTCACTCCCGCTTTTAGCTTTGAAGTGACCTGTTTTATAAGCGACAGCAAAACGCAGCGTATCGATCGATTTGGTTTGGGTTTTGCAGACCCAGAAATTAGATACTGAACCCGTGACCAAACCGGTCATTTTTGGTCCGGTTTCTTCGAAAATCCAATAATAGAAGAGATGTCTCTCTCGGTCTCGCCCCATGTATTTAGAGCATGTTCAATGCAAATTTCTAATTTCTAAGTATAGTATTTTAACAAAATAAATTAATAAAAAGTAAGAAAGAGAATAAAGAATCAGCTCTTAAATTTCTTATTTAAAAAACAAATCTAAATCTCTAAGAAACTCATTTAATATGTGGTATTTTATGATTGGTTTAGATATTTTCATGATTAATATTTTTTTTTATAAGATATTTTCTAAAAAAATTTACCATTGCACATGGTCTTACCGCTCTTAAGCAATTCATCAGGTATTTATCACTAATTGGGACAAATGATAAATGTAATGAATACATTTTGAATGATGATGTACGTGCATATGTTATTTTGCATGTTTGTAGGAACATCAAGATCCGTAAGATTATAAGGATATGGACAGATGTTTCAATATCTATAGCAATTGAGTTCAAGATACTAACTCCATCGTAACTTCATATTAGTATAACTTAATAGTTAAATTAAATTTTGAGTTTTGTTAATTTTTTTAAACCAAAAATAAAGTTAGTAAACATGAGCAAGCGCTTGAATAATTTGTACCACTTCATATTCATTTGAATTAAAGTCAATCTGCTTGTCCATGTTTGATTTATGTTGTTGTTGGGTTTCTTTGACTACGTGTTAATAATTTGTTTATATCATTGTATTTTTAAAAATAAATTGAATAAAAATAGATTGAAACTCTTTTAAGACGGGCATAGGAGGTTCGTTGTATCATTTCCCACTAGGGGCAGAAAAACTAGCAAGTTGCAACGCGTTTCCAGCTAATTTGTTAATTGAATGTCACTTTAGGCTTTCTTACATAAATAACAATTTGAATTAAACGAATTAAAATAACCCACAAACCCAAAAAATAAATAATAGTAGACCAAAAACTTACATTTGAGTAAAATATAAACCACTATGTTTGGTTGGTCATGACTAATTAATTAACGAAATCAAATAAGATAATCCCCACTTGACCAACATGGTAGCCAATGGAAATCAAGTTGGCAATAGTTTAAGCACGTCTGCGTTTGCTTTTGGTCTACTTAAATCTATGTAAATGCACATGCTAACCAGGTTTAAATCCTCTTCCCTGCTCTACAATCTCCATATGCGATTGTTTTCATCCTTTAATATATGTCCTGTTAGGTGACAAACAAGCATTTGGATAAACAATTGGATAAATACCATGTTAATATTTTGTTAAATTGTAATTTGTTTGATTTCATTTGTGGCCTCTAAAATTTTGAAAACAGATTACATAATGGGTCTAGAAATACAAAACCATAGTTTTTTTAAGAGACAGAACAAATTATAGTTATCTTGTTTTTTTAAGAGAGAACAAATTATAGTTATCTTAGTTTGTTTTAATTATTTTTAACTATAACACAGACACATGACACTGTCTTTTACCTTCTAGATTCTAGTTGATTCCTAGTTCAGAATATTAATGGTTTTGAATTATATTTTCTATCTATAAAATTTGGACACAACGTTAACAACAACACCAAAAAGTCACATAGTGTATGCTTTATTATAAAACTTTTATACGTGGTGGGAAAAAAACAAGTCTATCGTTAACAAATATTTTGATGCAATGAATTCAATTTCATTTACAAACCACAAAATGGTTAAGAAACGAGAAATTAAATACAAATCAAACGTAATGATTTCCACATACAAAACAATAATGGGATTAATTCATTTAACAGATCCACATCCTCAAAATGTTATTATGTACGAACCTTCCAAATCCATCTTTTTGTGAATCCTTCCAGCAATATTTCGATATATCCCAAACAAATCCCACGAAATGCCAATTCTTTCTAAACCAAAATATCTATTTTTAAAAAGTACTCGAAATTTTTCTTCCTTGTGATGATCGATCGAAATATCCAAAGGAAATATAAAAGAAGAGAAAATAGATACATAATTGCAGTAATTAAAAAGATTAGATCATTGCCGGTTGGTACTTCTAGCTAGAGACTGAAGATTGCACCGAACGATTGTATCGACGAAGCTAAGAGTCTCCTCCTCCGTATTTCCCGGCGGCACGTCGACGATGTAAGACTCCACCACCACGGTCCCTTCGTCGTCCAACGCGTGCAGCGTCGTTACTGATCGGTAATTCTCGAGCCGGTGGTCCCCACCCACGACGCTAAAGCTTATGACGTGACGCTCCTCGTCTAATATCTCAAGCCTCTCGGTGCTCGAGACCGCCGGGAGTCCGGAGACCACCATGACCTCCCGGAGATCGCCGGCGTGGAGTCCGTCGCCTTGGACGATACGGCACTGCCTGATGAAGTTCTTGTAAATCTTCGGGTTATCGAAACGGCGCACCAGGGCCCACACGGACTCGGGCGGCGCGTGGATCATCTGCACCACCGAGGAGCAGCACTGGTCGGGACCCACTTCGTGTGTATGGTGCATCGCCACGTGCTCCGGCACATGCATACCGCGCGTGAGACACACTCGTCTGATCAGACCATCGGTCGGATCGTGAGGCTGCAGCGAGTGGAAGCCGTTCGGGGCCTCAGAGCCGTGATGGAGCTGCACCGGTGATCTCATCTCTTATCTCTCTCTCTCTTCTTTCTTCTTCTTCTTCTTCTTCTTCTTCTTCTTCTTCTTCTTCTTCTCTCTCTTTCTCTCCTCTTTATTCTTCTCTGATTTCAGATGAGAAGTTATAGATTCGTATATATTGGTTAATGAGAAAAGAAGAGAGGCTTTTTGATCTTGTTCGCTGTCGGTTGTCAAGTTGGTTTTGTTTGAGAGAATTAAAACAGGATGATCATCTTTTAAATAATAAGATATGAACATATTGTGTTTTTTTTCGTATAAATATATTTGTAGATAGATAGATAGCGATAGCTGGGGATGTGAAGGTAATATATACATGCAGCTGTGTGTGTATATGTGTCCATGTTGTGTGATACATTGTACCATCTAATGTACCATGATCTTTTTCCTTGAGACGCCTCCTTCATTTTCTATAAACTACCCACCAAATAAATTATATTCTATTGATTCCTCATTTTCTATTCTGGCAAATTTATATTCTGGAATCTACAAGGTTTAATTTAGATATGATTCCACTAAATAAATTGTTTCTGGAAAAAATATTAAGCCAATTATCATTTAAAAAAAAAGAAATCATTAGTTATAGTTAGAAGATTTAACTGTTATTAATAAATTATAATCATGATATGCATCATTTTAATTTTAAAAGCAGCATTTATGAGAAATAACATGCGCATTGTTAAATTAATACAAATACTGTATATATATTGTTAAACTGAAAGAAAGGAAATATTAAATAACTAAAAGTTTATTTTTCTTGAAAAAATAAGATTTTTACTATCATCACAATTAATAAATTGATAGATTTTGAAATAGAAATGGCATTTGGGTACGATTTCTGCCTATCTTTATTTCCAATTTTCTGACCTTATGGGTAAGTAAATTGGTAATGAATATGATCACCCGACTATCAGATTCAGCCGGAGTAACGCTGCATGTGACAATGTGGTGTCAATAATTGATTCATGACCATGGCTAACTTGAAGATACATACATGCATGAGCACACGTGCATGCACAGATGTTGATGGGTTTGTCACATATATATGTGTAAGAATGTTGTATGTATGGAGAGAGAAAGTTGGAGGAAACAAGGAAGGTGAGACCTTATCAAAGAGCTTACGCCGGACGATGCAAGTGGATGTTGCAACTTGCAAACTTCTTTGGACTTAGTTTAGGTGGAAGATTATCCTTTCCTTTTTTTTTTCTCATTTCTTTTATTCTTGTTGCCATTTTAATATTATTTTCTCATATACAGTACAAAGGTTGTTGCATCGCGACTTTGTTATTTATATAATGACGACATGGATATGGTACCCTACATCAAGTTTCACATAATCGTGTAGACATGCAGTTACTATTTTCCTACCAGCTGGTTTATTCAATTTGTGTATATATATGTTCAAAAAGAAAATGAATTGGCTGAAATTGATTGTCGCGATCGAGATTTGTAATTCTGTGATTTTAATTAATACTAGTACTGTTATGTTTTGCCTTTGGTATAGCGTCATTTGTTTGAAATAATCAAATATATATCGAGCATAGTAACGTTGGCTTGTGCTCCAAGTGGAGACAATAAGGTGATGGAACGTTGGGCCTATCTATTTGGGCCGTGTTCAGGTTGGGCTACTTACAAAAAAAGAAGTTGGATACATTTTTTTGAATATATTCTCAGGATCCCCCGATTTCATCATGTTGCCAATTCATGTGAATTTTGGCACAGAATGCCAGAATAATTCTAGATGGTAATCTATATATTTTCAGATTTGTCCTTTGTTATAAGATTTTTCTAGCTTATAAATAAAATGAGATTTTTTTGGTTAATTTATAATTACTGTAATTGATCAATTGAATTTAGCTTATAAATTACTTATAATTCTAAATAGTTCAATCTCGCTTTATTCTTTGAAATTTTGAAAAGAAACAGTTGTCTGAAAAACTTCTCTTGCAGATAATAACTACAACAAACTTCTTCAATCACCTTTTTGATTATATTATTCTTTTACCTTTTTGCTTTTTTTAATGAAAGATGCATTCTTTTTCTAATAACAATTTCAAAATATCAACACTTTTTTTAGAATGCAACAACCATGTCTATATCCATATTGACTATATATGAGCATATGAACATATGAATAAATACAAATGATGTTTATATTGTATAACTTTGAAATTTTGAAAGTTTTCGTGTAAAGAATAACACTACTTGTGTGGTTCGATGGATATTCCATCACATACTCTAAATGTTCATGTGTTGTCCTGCCTATTTAACTTTGGCTTTAAGAGGATGTTCAACCTGTTTTCAGTAGGGAGATCATGAACATAATATTCTTTCCTTTACAACGCTGAAAACATCCGAGTCTCTATATGTTCTGTTCAAATATCGGACAAAAACTTTGAGATTTTCAAGCACAATCGATTAGACAATTCGCCCAGATTTACATACAAGAAATGCAAAAATTATAGATAATAACTATAACAGATTTTTTATGACTATTCTTTTATTTATTTTTACTTTGTGAAGCATTTATTTTTTTTAAATAACAATTTCAAGATATCAACACACTTTTTGGAATATAACCACTTATATACTTTTTTTTTTCTTTTTGACAACAACCACTTTATTATCCATATCCATATTAACTATATATAAGCATACACACAACATGTGAATAAACACAAATATATATATATATATATATATATATATATATCCCTCTAGACGTACGCAACTTTGAGATTACTTAATGAATCAGTTAGTCACTGTTTTAGATTATTTGTATGATAACTAAAAGTGGGACAAACCAATCAATTATAAATCTGTGTATTTGCCAGTTCGTGCATTGATTTAATCTAGCTCACTCTTTTTTTTGTTCTTGGATAAGAATAACAAGAATCACCTAATAATTCACTCAACTTGATCGTCTTCTTTTTCTTTTTACTTTGTGCACGTAAAATCAATGTTCAGGAGGGAGGCCAAGTCTTATAATCTCCCTACCCGAAATTTGTTTAAAACTATATCTAATTAAATGAATGTATAGTTTATATATTTCGAGTACAACCATACATTGCGACCAACTATCGTATTATAGTATATATACAAATATTAGGAAACGTATGGATTAAGCGAAGAGGAAAATATCAACTCAACCCAGTTCATGAACATAATACTCGACAACTTTAACAACTTGACATAAATCTGATGAGTTGAACATTCTTACGAAGACAAATAGTAACCGGCATATCATGACAAAGTGCAAAATAACACAATAATACTATTTTTGTAGTTGTTGAGTACAATACTACTTTCAAGTTTTCTAAAACAAGTGCCTAAAAAATAAATTAAATTCTCTCTTCTGTTATTAGTATTACTTACTACAGTACAAGACAGTATGACATATGTACAGTTTTCTATATGTTTAATCAGTCTTCTGATTACTCTTATCTCACTAAAACCTGAAAAGAGTCTCAACAGACATGATTGGATTAAGGCAAATAACAAATCCAAAAATATCCAGTTGCATCCCATTGTCTCACTTCTCCACGTCTAAGAAGGTGAGATCGAAGAACTCGTTACCATCCTGTGCCTCGTGCTGAAGCGGGGGCAGTCCGTAATGATCAGAGTCAAGGTTTTGCCCCGGATGATTCCCAGTTTGCTGCTGCTTCTCGGGTTCAGGTAATCCACAGCCACCGTTGTTCCCAGGGTATTGGTATTTGTCCAATCCTGTAAAAATGTCGCCATTTAAGTCACCTAGAAGCTCAGCGACATCAAACATCTCTGAAGAATCCCAGTGACTCTGTTCCAGATCGACGGGCCAGCCATAATCTGAAACAGAGAGCGACTCCGACGGCTGTTGCTGACAGGTTCCTGCAATCCCCTGCTCCTTCTGTTTCTCTTTCTCTTGCATAAGTCCGTCCCAATACTTCTCTTCGAACTCGCTTAACCAATCCTTATTCTCTACACCTACATCAGAATCCTCCTTAACGTCCTTCCTCATCTCTTCTGCACCCGCATGGGCACCGTTCTCCATACCATACACCGGCCTAGCTTCACCGAAGACCGGTCTCGATTCGCAATCTGCATCCTCTGTTTTCACATGAACACCCCTTGGAGTCTCAACCGTGCACACCTCGGACATACTCGAGGTGCTCGTGACCTCAGACGCAGCGGACTGAGGGAAATTGAGACGGGCCAACGGACCGTACATAGCTCTAGCTGCCTCGTCGTAGGCAGATGCAGCTTCTTCAGCTGTCGGGAAAGTGCCAAGCCAAAGCCTACTCCCTCGATTCGGCTCCCTAATCTCAGCGACCCATTTGCCCCAAATCCTCTGCCTGACTCCTCTGAAACTACATCGACCATTCTCTGGTCCTCCTTTGCCTTTCATACAACCTTTCTTCGACCCTTTTGCAGGTACTTTCCGTTTCTTGGTGGAAACTTCTTCTACAGTCTCATTGTACTCTTTCCATATCTTAAGCCTCTCAGCCACAGTGGTACCATCACGCCTACTTCTCGATTTCCTTTTCCTCGATGTATCGAGTTGAGTACTATTGATGTCTCCACTAAGATCATAAACTGCCATCTTTTTCTCAGAAACAACACGATCTACAAAACAGACACAGATTTGTATCAGAACACAAGACCAATCGTATACAAGTAACCAAACACAGCTCCTACTTGAACACACAAGATCAATGAAATTGAGATAAAATCAGATGACAATTTCCCTTGCCCACTAAGCTATTCAGTTTCGCTGACTAGAAGCAGAAAATGATTTAATACCGATTCAATCAGAAAACCTAAGCTTTTCCAATTTCACAGCGAGAGGCCAAAAGGCAAAATCGAAGCACAAAAGGAAAGAGTCTAAAAACAAAGAACCCTAGAATCCCCAATCACCCACAAGATAAGCCCTTTTCGATACCAAATTAGGGGAAATAAGAGAAATAGATCACAAATTTGTTAAGAATCTAGAAATTAACATACCTATTAGCGACGACGACGACGACGACGACGACTCAGAAGCCGAAGTCCTGATTGAAATCAAAGCTCTTTCCGTACAGAGAAGAATCGCCTTCTTGTTCGACTGTTCGTGTATCTTCTCGTTCAATGGAATTGTGTGTATTTGTCTTTCTTCGATGGAGGGATTCCTTTTCGCGTTTTCTCTAGCTTTAGCAGAAATCAAAATATCTAATGACGAGAAGGATCGAGGAATATTTATAGCCTTCTCTGGATATTTCTAATATTATTAATTTATCTGCGCGAGATAATAGTGACGTGTCATTATTTGATTCGGACATTAGGGCTTATACCTCTTTTCCGACTGACGAGTGTCACGAATCTTCTCGAACCACCCGAAACGCGCTGTTGATACGGAAAAGTAAAAAATTAAATATTTTAAAAAGAGTTATAGATAAGATCATAATAAGAACTGCATTATTTTAACTTTTTAATAATACTAAATTATTTTAAAATCTCTTGATTTTTTATTATTATACTATATTAACAAGTGACAATAGCATATCGTTGCAGCTGTTATCCTCGTTATCCGTTACCTGTCTCCTGCTCTTTCTCGACAATTCTCGGTTTCGTGCCACTTATAACAAAAATGTTACATTTTCAAATTATAGCTGCTTAATTGATTTCTAAATATACTACTTACTAAGTGGGTAATATAGATGCTTTTCACAAACCAGCGGCTGATTTCAAAGATAGCGACTGTCAGGAAAAAAAAAAAAAAAAAAAAAAGAGCTGATTTGTTGTACTATTTGCATTTGTCAATAAAAAAGGTCATTAAACATTAAATATTCTAATTTTACTAGAGACGTGTCAATGGATGAAGCTCAAACTTGGGTGGCTCAACTTCGACCAGAGCAAGAGGGTCCATAATCATATAATAATATGGTTGTAATGCAAGTTGTAAGGAGTAGCAGCCAGCCATAGCCTTTGCATGTGCGTCGTGTGTCCTTTTGGTACCGTGGCCACTTCATCGACTACGTGTCTCTATTCTCTAACGCCATTGCTGACGTCAGTCTACGCATTTGCCTACGTACCTTACTTTAAGCCCATGGGCCTCTTTTCCTAAGTCCTACTGTTTCGGTTCACGTAAGACTTCTGAGATATTGCGTCTCTTAAAGCCCATTAATGTTCCGACATCGCATCAACTATTAAAAACAATGTGCTCAAACTCAATTTGGTGAAGACAGAAGAAACAATATGGACTATGGTCGACATTGCTGCACACATAATATATGCTAACGGAAACAAGATTTATGTTCCATGAAATACATTTAAATCCAATACAAATACCAAAATCTGAATATTCTTCTAAAAATCCCTCTTTTTAAAATCTATATATTTTTCAATAAATGGTAATTGGTAAGTTGACTTGATAACGATCATCATGATTCATCATGACGCGGGAACTAGCAGACAGGTAGATCATGAGGAGGAGCTTCAAGAGTCTCCAGTTTTCCGACACCATTATCGACCAAAAACGCCATAGCCAGACCCCACTTGATATGCACATCCAAGTGACAATGCATCAACCAAACCCCTGTTTCATCACAAAGAAACCAAACATTATTTTCTCAAAATCAAATGACCAATGTTATAATTACTTTCCTAGAAATGTTCAAGAGTGGATCTTAATCAACTCTGTTAGTTACCTGGATTATCCGCCACGAATCTGATAACAGCCCATCCATTAACAGGAACAGCCACGGTGTTTCTTAGTGGAGGATCAACGAGGTTAAACTTAGATGTATCTTTCTTGGGATTAAAGTTACCAAACCCTTCAGCGACAATATAGAAATCGTAACCGTGGAGATGAATCGGATGATTCTCCGACGTAACAATGTTCGTGTCCTGTAAAACAACCTGAACCCTCGATCCATACTTGAGTTTATACAGTTTAGTACCCTTAACCGGTTGAAACAGAGCCCGGCTAATGTTATTTCCAGTATAATCAAATTTAACCGGCGGTTTAGCCGGAAAATCCGTCGTGAAAACCCCGGGAATTCCGTTGGAGTGTGCTTGCAAGAGCGAGAAATTCGACGGTAGAACAAACGAAACATTGTTCATAGAGGCGGTAAATCGGGTTCCGTTTAAGCCTTGGCACCGGTTTTTGGGGAAATTCTTGGGACAGTTATCTAGACCTAAACCGATGGTGAAGAACAAATTATCGTCGATTGTTTTCGGTACGACGACGTTACGAAGAGATTTAAATTTTCTGGAGAATGACGTCACGGTGTTCGTGTCGTTGAAGGCAGGCAGAAACGGCACGATTGGTGGAGAAGTTGTTGTCGTTTTCTTGTATTGGAGAATAGCTGTAGTCGTGGTGTTATCAAACGGTGCGTTTTGAGCACTTTGGTAAGCTCTCGCTGCTATGTAATAGCGTTTTGGCGATTGGTCGGCGGTTAAAAGTACGTCGGTGGTTTGGCCGGGACCTAACATAAGGACCTTCGTGGTGAATGGTTTGACATAGGACGCGTCGGCTCCAACCACGGTGAGCTTGTGGTTAGCCACCGTGAAAAATAGCGGTTGGTTTAAAGCTGCGTTGATCACTCGTAGGAGGCTTGTTTCTCCTGAATTTATCGGTACTACCACAGTCTCTGCATTTTAAAAGTTTAATGTATTTTAACATTTCAAATAATTAAATTAAGAAGTTTTATATAGTTTTGTTGTTGTTTTACCTTTGGTTGAGCAATTGTAGAGATCACCGGGTTGGCCATTGATTGTATAAGCATCGGATATATTCGGAGCAGCTCCGGTTCGAGTCGCTTGGTTAATCACATCAACCGGATTTGCATTCCACCATTCCCCTGATTTTTTAGAAAAATGCCAATCAAATTCTCAAATATTTATATTCTTTTTTCGGTCGATTAGATTCGAAATTTCCTCAAAATTGGCTGTACATCAAATAGAGGAAAAAGTCCGGTATGGTACGGTGCATACCAAGCGTGAGGGCGGTTTGGTGATCCGGTTTAGGGAAAGGAAAAGTGGAACCAGGGGTTGGGTGGATGATGAGTGCACCGTAGACGGTGGCTCGGAGCCAGGAGCTGTGAGCGTGCCACCACAGTGTCCCTTCTTGGCCTTGGATAGTAAAACGGTACGTGTAACTCTTTCCGGGTCGGATCGGACATTGGGTCACGAATTCAGGCCCATCAGCCCATCCAGTCCTTATCTGCCTTACTCCATGCCTGTTTTTCATTTTCATCATATACAAAAACAAAGTCACTATAAACTTGGTGAACTGTGACAAATCAGTATTAACAAACCCTTCAAACGTTAAAACAAAGGTGTGTATGTAATGTAGTGTTTATGTTAAAATTGTTGTCCAGAAAATATAATTGATATGTAGTGTAAATGAGCAAGTCTATTATTGTACCAATGGATGGTGATGTTGTAACGGGCACGGTTAAGGACTTTGACACTAAGAGTGTCGCCGTTGTTGACTTCGAGTGTGGGCCCCGGAAACATTCCGTTAACGGTGATGGCGTTACGGGTCTTGCACAGCCTCTTCACCGGCGTCTCTTGTATCTAAATGGATTGCACACGCACATAAATGGAAATAGTTATTAAATGAAAGTTTTGCACCAAAAGAAATGATTAATGAAGGTGATTCAGTGTTTGACATGCAATTTTTTATTTTATTTTATTGAGGACTTACGACGAAATTATGGTGTTGAACTTTAGCGATGATCGATGGAGCCAAGAGAAGGGAACAAAAGAACAAGAATAAAGAGAATGTATGAACCGTCGTCATCGTGTGTGTTTAAGCTTTAAGCTTTTGAAATTTTTGAGACTAAAAGGATTATAAGGTGGTTAAGATGAGATGAGGGTTTGAGTGATTTTGGAAGAGTGAAACTTGCCTTTTATAGTGAAATTACATTCAAGTTATTTATTAATTTATGTGGAGTTTGGAAGATTTGGGTTCTAATTATTCAAAGAAAATTTTAAATTACCGGTCACCAACATATTTTAGTGTCTTTATCAGTTCGTTGGCTATGTTTATTTTGCTTCCTTTCACACTTTTCATCGAGAATCATGTTTGATTTTATTTGGTTTAACCTCAAAAGTGTATTTGGACAAAATATGTTAGTTGACATATGATTAGATTAAACACCTAACACATGAAGATGATTCGGGTACCAAATAAACCTCTGGATGTTAGGAAAAATGATACAAGCTAAATAGTATTCCTGAAGTATGTTTAAGTTGATAATTTTAAACTTTATATATTGCATAATCATGCTTTGCAAACTTGATATTCCACGCCGTAGGTTTTTAAAACTTGAAAAACTGTTTGGCTTTGTTATTTGCCCCTCCGAAATTGAGACATTGAAAGGGAGCAAAGACTCTGTTGAGGGGAGTAGTTGCACCCAACACTTCCCATTATTTCAACAAAATTTACTAGAGTTGAACTCAAGTCCTTTCATTTCACGTCTAGTGTGCTTGTGTCTCAAGCTTCTTCCTTAATTCCCAAGTTTCTATGTCTTAGCAAATCAAAGATTATTAATCATCATCAGCAAAAAAGTTGTTGGTAACTAGATACCAATGTATTTTTTAGTCACTCAATTTCATTCAGCAAGATTAATCCTTTGGTTATATCTTCTTTGCTTTGCACAAAAAAGAAGAAGTTGTATATATCTTCATTGCATTGTTAGTCTTAACTCCAATATGGAATACATACTTGTATACTCGTGTTAGGCGAATGTCTCAAAATGATTAACAACATCTCATTGTTTACAAGAAAACAAATTATTTTTTCGTATAATGCGTATTAGCCTAAATACAAGAAACTCGAATCAAAACACAAATTCCATATTCAGATATACACTAATAAAGGGTCATATTAGTCTAATAATCTCATGATTTCTTTTGTTCTTATATTAACAACCATTTATAGAATATATGCACTTTAGTAGAATGTAGCATTCAAACAAATAACTAAATGCTAATAAGAAAGTCACCTTTTTCTCTTGGAGTAATTTAAATCTATCATTATGCATTTTAACTAACATCCACGATTAGACTTCTTTTTGAGTCAAATCACGATAAACTTCTATGCTACGTTATTCCTTTCTCTCGTTATGATCTCACATTTGTCATTTTCCATCGCAAAAACAAAGTCTTGACACGATAATTGTGAATATAGGCCGGTTTGTGACACTGACATGTTTGGTCGGGCACTTGGAATCAAATCTCAGAGGGAAAAACATTCTGATGAAAGACTAATCAATGTTTTACCAACACTTTTCTCGAATTAAATAACAAGCCTCGTTAACCGAACCAATTTGAGGTTAAATTCTGACGTTAACTACCGAACCAATTATTAAACACGAATATCAGGCTCGGATCACGGGAGATTTCACAGACCACAGTGAATCGAAAATAACATCTTTTTACTAAATCTGAATCGATTCGTTCTACGTAAGGTTCCAGTGTTTTTGTTTATGGTTTGCATAGAAAACCATAGAAGGCCAAAAAATCGACTTCACAAGCAAATCAGCAAAGAGGAGTAAAGTGAGAATTGTTGAATGAATTAGTACAATATTTGAATCATGTTCAACAATTGAGGTACAAAAATCAGAATCTTGATTCCTGAACTTAAGAACCAAGAAAGATCAAATCTACATTTCTCTCTATTAGTTCCGAGAAAAATCAAAATAAACGAATCATAGAAATTGACCAGTTTGTCTATGGAGAAGAATGCTTCAGAAGAAATTGGTTTGTATTTTCCAAAATCAAACACGAGCTGACGCAGGAGCTCCTGAGGCGGCGGCAACTGCGGCGGATGTAGCGGCTCCGCTGAGGAAAGATAATAACCCGGTGTTCGCAGGTTCCTGTTCGTCCAAGAAAAGATCCTCCGGAACTCTAAAGGCGCCGTGTAAGCATACGATTCCGAAACCGATCATCAGAGCGGAGGTCAATAAAGATCCGACGCTGGTTAAGAAGACGACGACGATTGTCAAGATGACCAAAACTCCAAGCGTCTCGCGATCTGAGAACGAACGGCCGAGAATGACCAGCGGCTGATCAGACTGACGGAAAAGGTAGAGGAAGATCCACGCGCCGAAGAGGCATAGGAGAACGAGCAGGGATAAAGGATGGGAGAGGAGCGAGAGCGCGAGCACCAGAGAGACGATCGTCACGTAGTTTACCTTGAAGTAAGGGAGATTCCTCCGGATCCGAGAATACGCATCGGTGAGAGAATCCGGCCGTGAAATCGCGCTCCGATCTACAAGCTCCAGCCACGGGCGCCGCTGCGACAAGCTTTGGCGGATCGACGCCGAGAGGCGAGAGAGGAACGTGCGAAACGCCGATGTGGTGACGGTTTGCTGAGATTGGGAAGCACCAGGGTGGTCAGAGATCGGTAAAGTTGGCGGATTAGCCATCACACGACTGCGCGTGGGGAACTCGAGAACGAAGAAGGCGCGTAGATCGAAAACGCGTAGGATTTACGGTGATTGATCTCTTCTGAAGTTAACAACCGTCTGTTTCCGTGTTAACGTCATGATCTGATGTGATCACCCTCACGGAAGACCGCATTTTGCAACGTACCTCTTTCACCCGAAGACCGTCCACGTGGGCTGAAGTAAAACGTATTAAGAAAATACATTACTCGAAAATGGATTAGAAGCCCATCAGGATGAAGGCCAATACACTATCCAATGGGTATACGTGACCTTTAAACGTTATATGCTCTGCATATAGCGGCTTGAAAGGTCATCTTGCTGTTTCATTGTCGTAAAGTCGTAATAGGGGAAATTGATCGAGGAAGAAGACGAAAATGGGAAAGCAGCCGGTGAAATTGAAGGCGGTGGTTTATGCGTTGTCGCCGTTTCAGCAGAAGATCATGACTGGTCTCTGGAAGGATCTGCCTGAGAAGATCCACCACAAGGTCTCTGAGAATTGGATCAGCACCATCCTCCTCCTCGCTCCCGTCGTCGGAACCTACTCGTACGCTTATCTCTTTCCCTCCCTCTCCTTATCAATTGGAAAATCAATCGATGGATCGATCTTGTAGAAATTTGCGATCTGATAGTTGTGATGCTTTTCAATCGGGATTGTTGGACGATATTATAGTTTCGATTAGGTCGTGGTTTTAGGGAACATGACAGCACAAATGGCTTTAGGGTTATTAATTCATGGCGAATTCGAATGGATTGGTGTCGAATTGTTCTTTCCTGTGGTGACATTGAACAAATACTGTATGAATCCAAAATTCAAAACGATAAGTGGCTAATTTGACAAGAACATGCGATTCTCTAATGCAGCTATTACTAGGGGGACGGTTGATGATAATAGCAATAGGTCCAATCATACAATGTTGTTACTTGTGAGTTCTGAATCATCTGATTGTTGAATGAATCGTTGAGCGAGTAGTGTGTTAGCTTGTCGATGCTCTTTTTGTGGAGATAATTACAGATGTGTTTGGTGTGCGTATTGTAATGTTGACAATCATGGTTATACACTCTCGATTCAATATGCTCATATCTTAAAGCTGTTGTTGTTGCAAATGAACGCAGGTATGCTCAATACTACCAAGAACAAGAGAAGCTGGAGCACAGGTTCTGAGCATGGAGATTTTCTGATTATACAAGTATCCAATTCTCTCTTCATTTTTCATTCTTAAAAACGTTTCCAAGTGACTGTTTGTTTTGGCAACACTCGAAATAGAAGCGGAAAAGTTGCTTCCATTTTCACTTTAATAAGTTTTGTTGATTTCATGAATAACTACAACACCTTGAAGGTTTGAATCTCTTTATTCAGAATGAAAAATGCTGAAGAGGTCGATTTTGTGTAGATTGCATATTGTTTTCGTGCATGCATATGAAATCGATGTAGCGTTCTGTAGTTAATCCTCTCATGCGTTCTGCAACAGATGCATAAAACTAGTAGGGCCAAAATTGAGCGACAACATACATATTACATACATATAAACCTAACGAAGTTTCCTCAGGGAAACTACAGATTTGAGGAACGCAAAAGGACTCTAGGTCACAGAGAGGGTTTGATTGCCTTGGTCCCATTTCACAGCAGTTTTCCTCACCTTTTGAAGAACCCTAATGACTTGTTCCTCTGTTACATTCCCAGTGACCGTCACTTTATTGAACTGTGTGTCCACATCGTATGTCTCTATATCTGTAATTATTATCATCATGTATCATTATTATTTTAAAATCCATAGTAACAAGGAATATCAATGGAAGATTAATACCATTGTTACCTTCTATTTTCTTAATGGCTTTTAGTATTTTCCTGATGCATTCATCGCAATGCAAATTTACTTTCAGCTCCACAATCTGTTGATCGAGAATCTTCCGTCAGTTTTGGTCATTTTAAATTCTCCAATATAGTCGAAAACATGATTGCAAGAATTATATCATAAGTGATTTTAAACCGTCAATTTTGATGAAATAAAACAAACGAGTGCAGGAAAATGTCACTTACATTAGTCATCACGCAAACTCTTCTTGGGGGAATAAAACGCCTACGTTTCACTCAACTGCTTGTAAGTTGTAGAGAGGCAGATAAAAAAAGAGAGTACTGTATGTGGAACGATAAAAGAGAGAAGACGATGAAGGTAAGGTTTTGCTGTGGAGAAACTAGAAGGTTCAACAACTTGTATTTATATGATTTTATGTCAGAAAAGGACAAAAGAGAGAAGAATGGGGTTCTTTGCGTAAAGGATGGAGAGATTGCTAAATAGAAAAGGCCTCACTGGCTTCCACTCGCATAGAAAATTGTTTTGATTGCCGCGTTTGATCAAAAAGTCTTTTACTTTTTCCTTCATTTTCTACAACCGTCCGTTACATATACTACCTTTTCACTAAAGGCTGAAAAGTTCATTTGGACATACACCTCTATTTGTCCATTTTGAATCGTATTAGAATTTAGAACAAAACCTTATTTATTTATTTTCCCCCGTTCAGATTTTCATGATCGAACCAGTTTGCTACCACATCAGTAACGAACAACCAAGATCCATCCCTACAGTGATGCCAACATTTGGTCTAATTGATCATTTACGTTTCATTCAAACCCACAAATCAATTGCACATATTCCATTAAAAAGCGAGACTGTAGATTCCAAATCTGGAAGAAGAAATGACAGGTGGGTCTAATTGATTCTGATACTCTTTTGCAACCAAGAAAACTAGTTTGAATTCTACTTCTGGGGGCAAAGAACTAGAAATGACTGGAAAAATCTATGTATAATCGAGTTACTTCAGCCAAGAGTTAAAATAACTTCATTGCGTGCGTGATAATAATAACAACTGGAGCCATTTCTGACCATTGAAAAGACACCAAAGCATCAAATTTGAATATATATAGTAATAAGATTAAACAAAGGAGAAAGAAACTAACACAGATCAAAGTCACTTGCAATTGACGGATACAAGCATTCAAAACGTCATTAATCTTTCTTATCGTTGGAATCTGAATCGCTTGCATTATAACCTGAGTTCAAAAAAAAGACACCGCAAAAATCCACAGAACTCAAAAGTGAACAATTACTTAAGAGAGATCATCTTAACATAATAACTAAAGATTTCACTGATTCAACTAGAGATGCAAACAAGTCTATAATGTGTTACCTGGAGGCTTATCACTCACTTGCCAAGCTGATGATCGAGTTCTTGAAGCTTTGTTAATCCAAGCACGACCCTTCACGGATCAAAATCAAGCACAAATAGGATTCTAAATCAGTAAAAACACTTGCATCTAAAAACCAAACTCTGGTAGACTAATTAGCTACCAATCAAAAAGAGATCATCTTGCACTGATGATAGCAAATAATAATCCAAACCCAAAATTTGAGGCATACATTTTGGATCCCTCTATCAAGTCTAGTAGACAAAGTCAGCAATCCAGAACAAAGGACGAGGATTGAAATAACCTAAACCCAGAAAAATCAAAGGGAAAATTCGAACCTTGTGTTCGTCTTTGGGGATTCCATAGCCGCTGCAGTACATCTGGCCGACCAAGACCTGCATACCGACGTCGCCGGATTTGGCTTCCTTGAGCGTATCCTGGAACCAACGCCTGACGCAATCCTCGACGACCTGAGCAAGCGGAACCCGATTAGGATCCGAACCCGGAGCGGGATTCGAACCCGAGTGCGATCCCGCCTTCTCCAGCTTAACGAGATTGGAGTAATCGCCGACGAGCTGTGCGTCTCTCGTCTTCTTGACGAAGACTTTGCTCCGTGGAGTGGTGGGTCTGTGGGGTCTGCTTTGATTCTCCGAGGAGAGTCTTATGGCGAATTCTGCGAATCTGACCGTACTCAGGATCGATTTTCCCATTCAACCAAATAAGGGTTCGCAATTTTTTGTTACACATAGGATCATTTAATTAATATCCTTTTTTTTTCTTTTTCTTCTATTTCTCTTCTCTTTACTTTTTCCATGAAGAAAAAAATATATTAAAAATTATCTATCCGAACTTTTCTCTACCATTTTAAAAACTTGCTAATAACACACTTTATGTCAATGTATACGAATTGAAACTTGAAGATATGCATGAACCGCCATAACAGATCCTGCTTTTACATTGTTTACTCTTTTGATCTTTTCCTACAAAACCCGAAAAACTATAACGAGAATCCAGACTGAACACGGTTTCAATTCTAAAGTTCTAACTAGCTTCTCTGTGTATGAATGGTGGAGAAGGTGGACTTAGAGCTTCGTCACTTTCATCTCTCGGTCCACTCGAGCTAGTAGAAGAACCAGCCATCATCGTCGTGGTGGTCATCTTCTTAGGCGAGCAAGTCGGATCAAACACACCGTCTTCTTCACGAGGCAGTGCAGTAGATGCCAAAACCTCACAAATCTTGCTCTTCTCTTCTCTTCTCTCGCACAACTTATCCTCCACAATCTCATAAGAATTCGCAGTCCTTACTTCTTGAGCTAAAGCGCACCAGCAACAGCATAACCAGAGCGCACAATCAGCAATCGCAGGCCTCCCGCAACACAGGTTGTAACCCGGTAGCTTGAATCTTTTCCTCATCTGTATTCTCCAGAAACCACCGTAGAGCAAACCAAACAAGCAGAGCACGATCCCTGTGTATCCAAGCCCTTCCCTTACCATCTCGTTGTCGATGTTTATCGCAGCCAAGTTGAATATAAAGAACGGTGCGAGACAGAAGAGGATAAAAGTCGCAATGTGGACATACATGTTCCCGAACCCGATCCTCTCCATGTTCCAACCAAACACACAGAAAGTGCAGAAGAGAGAGAGATAAGCCACTGAGATATCTTCCCATATATCAAGAATCCCACCACTCCATTCAGGGCTACTCACATCCTTGGAAGCAAACGAATATCTTCTCTCCAGAGATAACTTGCGATTACTAACCGATCCTTCTCCCACAGGCTCCACTTGATTCTCCTCGTCTCCTTGAGGATCATAATCTTTCCCCAATGGACTAAGGATAGTGTACAAACCTGCAACCGCAGGAGCTGCTATTGCAACAGATATGCATATAGCCACGCCAATGGCGGGTCTCTCGGATCTCCTATAGCCTAAGTTAAGACCGCATAGCCCGTACTGAGCGAAACAGTTTAAGTGAAGCAAGAGAACAACAACCATCATGTGGATCCACTCGTTAGGCTTGTAAGTCCCTTTTTCGCAGTAAATCTTCCTAAGCGTTGTGACATCGTCTTGCTTCCATCTACAGAGAAGCACGAGGTGGTAGAAACGTTTCGGGTGTTGGTACAGACACATGAGAGTAAACAACGCGTTGAGGATTTGGTTGTTTACTTCAAACCAGACGTCTCTCTGTGATTTCTTGGGCAAGGCACTGTTCAGCATACCGGTCATAACCATGAACAGAATCGCTCCAGAGACAGCGACCACAAGGATCCACAAGAAAAGAGCCATGTTGAAAGGGCTTCGAAGCCATTGCTTACCCATTTTAACCAGGGAAGCCCACTCGATTTTCCGGGAAAACACCACACTGATTCTTTCGCGGATATTGTGGTTGCTTGAGCTGTTCACTGAGCGTGAGACCTCATCTCTTTCCTCTGTCATTCTCTTGAATTTAGCAGAAGGCGAACCAAATTTCAGAAGCTTAGCCCTAGCAGAGGCGTCGGGCAACGAACTCTCCGACAGTCTCCTAGGTTTCACTTCACGGGAGGTTGAGACGTCAAGAGAAAATGAAACCCTAGCTTTTTCACCACCACCATTGATTCCCTCAATCTTATCATCTGACCCCATTTTCTCGTTCCACGGAAAAAAAGTAAAAAGCAAACCCTTTACCGAGAAAAGCTAGTTAAAGGCATGAGCTTGGAAGCATAGACATTGCTAGCAAACTATGAAAACCCGTAAAGCAAACAAATTATGAAAGCGATTCAAAGGATAAGATTCCCTTCCGGACGCATTAGACACATTCAAAACGAACAAAGTCTTCAACTTTGACAAAAGAAAGAGGGAAAGAAACCTTAAATTGGACGAATTCGAGAATTCGAAACTTGTGGGAGCGAATTACATGTCGAATTGGCTACAATTACAGAGAAACCCACAACGAAAGAGAGGCGAATTTCACAGAGGAAGAGATGGCTTTGGTGAAGGACCGATTAACGAAAAATATGGTAATTAGAAACTGATGAGAGGCATCGAAAGAGGAATAAAGGGAATATTTTTTTCTGGGGAGAAGGGAGTTTTCCACTCCTGCCTCCTAAAGCATTCATAATGTTAAAATATCTTTAGGAATGATATTTTGTCTGTTAGAGAAATAGGAATATTTCTTGTATTAATTAATTATTCAGATGAAAACTGTTAATTGAATGAAAACTGAGTGTTAGAGAAACTGAATATTTTTATATTATCATTCAGCTTTCAATTTGTTCATGTTTTTTGGAAGAGTTTAATCCACAAGGTATCAGAAAATATGAAGCAGACCCATATAGGTAGGCCCAAATGTTCTATAATTATTATACCCAACCCACACTATTTCGAATTGGGGTTTAAACATCAACTATAAAGTACATTTAAAATAATTAAGAATCGAAGTTTTAAATTGGTTCAGCTAGTAGAAACGTCCTCAACTATCTAAACAAAATCTAGTTTCAAACCTCCCACCATAATGTTGTACCTAAAAAAAAAAAAAATATGAATTACATGTTAATTTTTCTCTAGTAACTAGGTAACTATCCGCATGATATTTATAAAAATATTGAAGAGATATTCTATAATATATTAAATTTTGAAAAATATTTGGATATCTAAAAATGTGCAGTCGAGATTTGAAAAAATTTAGTTATTTTCGTTTTTAATTTAAACTTATATAAAGCAAGATTTACATTTACTTTCGTCCGAGGTTTCAAAAAATAATATTTTTCCGTTTGTATAATATATGAATCAAAGCTGTTGCAAAACAATAAATACTCAAAAATCTAAAACATGGAAATAATTTTTATTTTTATTAATAAAATAGGTAACTAATTTAATTTACTAAACCAATGAAATATCGAATTATTTGTGACTGATTTGATTTAAATTCGATTTAATTTAAGTGATTTATTTTAAAATAAAGTGTTTGGTAATAAGGATAACAAACAAAAATAAATTAAAAAAAAATATTAAAAAAAGGAGATAATGACACCTAAGCTATTCATGTTTAATATATGATTCACTTAAAATTTCTGTCATATTTATATAAATTGAATTGTTTAAATTATATACAAAAAGCTAAATATTAATTGCAGATTTTTAAAACATTAAATACAATTAAAAATAAATAATTAAAGAAGTTTTTGTTTAGTTGCAAAAAAAATTGTGTTTGGTTGCAAGAATAAATTATTTAAGTTTTAACTATTATTGAGATTTAAAAAATTCAAAATTTTGAGATAATGACACATAAGCCACTAAGACTTCGTGTTTAATATATGTTAGATATCGAAAACGAAATCAGCTATACAGACCGCTTTAAAAATTCAGAATAATCGTCGATATTGTTTGGTTGGGTACGTCCTACTACTACAGTGACAAAATGTTTACTTTTGATATTTTTTTTAAACACTCTTAAACCAACATTAATATACGCTTAACTCTCCACTACTATATAAGTGTTTCTTTTTTATATGAATGTTTATTTTTTTATATACGCTTCGCACGGATTATTTTTATAAATATTTGATTATTATTTAAGTTAAATTATTTTTATTTTAAATTAATAAATATTTGTTTTTTAATATCATTTTGATGTAGTTATACGTCAAAAAATTTTTAGCACTCAAAAAATATATTATGATTCAATTTAATAATTGACTAATTTAATGTATGTAAAAATTAACTATTAATCTAAAACTTAATATTTGTATATAAACTCATTGTTGTTCATTAACTTTCAAAATATTAATAAAATTATTTTGTATTAACTAAATTTGATAATTGAACTCAACAACTATAAGTTTTCTATTTATTTAATTAAAAACTATTTTTGATTTTAAATTTAAAAAATAAGTTATCAAACATATGACTACAACTGAAATACCTGATTATTGTTCCAATTAATTTGAATTTATTTTCATTTTATTTGTGTTTGTGTAGTGTTTTTTTTCATTAGCAGACTCAAATACAACAACAATCGATATTCAAAACTCTTACAAATCCGTAAAAGAACTATTTTTTGTATAAATAAAAACAACATTTACATAGTATACAAAATCAAAATCATATTGATAAACTGCAATTTTGATTTGGTCCTTGAAGTATCTGTGAACTATAGAACTATAGATGAATAAAGCAAATAATACATACACAAATATAACTTCATACTAAGTCATTATATTAAAAAAAAATATGTCGAGTTTCTCAAAACTCAAAATGTGTAAAAGGTTCATTTGAATTTAATTTTTAAATTAATTTAGATATTTTTCTTATACTACACATATATTTTTATGAGCCTTTATAATTAAATTAATAAAATATTATAATATTTTTAAAAGAGTTTCTAAGCCCCAGGAAAAAAACCATGTTAGTTTTTCTTACATATTAAGTTTGTAAAGAATTTTTCTTTTTGTTGATGTGGATTTAAGTAATACATATACAAATACAACCTCATACAAATTCATTACATTAAACAAAGTATGTCGAGTTTCTCAAAACTCAAAAAGTGTTAAAAATTCATTTATATTTGACTTGTAATTTAACTTAGATATTTTTTACACTATACATATATTTTGATGATTCTTTATAATTAAATTAATAATTTATATTATGTTTTTTAAAAGATTTTTTAACCAAAAAAATCATATTAGTATTCCTTACATGTTGAGTTTGTAAAAAAATTATTTTTTGTTAATGTGGATGGTTATGAATGTTTTTATGACATTTTTTCACATAAAAATAGATATACTATTTTTAATCATAAAAGTTTAATATATTAATGTTTAATATATAGTTATGCTCATCTATTTTTCTGTAAATGTATTGCATATATTTTTTGTAATAAGTAATATTTTAATAAAGTCTTATAAGTTTATCTTTGTATAAATAATAGACAATTTTGTATCCACATATGTACAATACAGTTATGTTAATTTCGAAAAAAAAATATTTGTTTTGTTTAAACTCTGTATGCTTCTAAAAGATGAATGTTTTAGTTTTTTTCTAAATTGCGAATGTTTTAAATTTTGTTATAGAAACTACTATTTTGTAACCTTATTTCTATGAACTATTATTTAACCGTTTTTGAGCAATTTGTTTTCCAAAATATTCATTATATTACAAACAAAAGAAGAATATATTAAAGCTATAGAATTAAATGATGTTTATTTTACTAATTTAAAAATGATATTTTAATTTAATTTTGTTTTTGTTCATAACTATATTAATTTTAGTATTTATATTTATTTATTTTATTTGTATTTCAAAAAATCTAATGTGAGAGTTTTTTTATTATCGTTTTTTTGATGATGTGGCAAAAAGAGAGAATAAATTAAAAAACTGAATTGGATAGCTTAAAGAGTCTCAAACTCTTCTTTTTATTTTTTGTAATCTTGTTTCTGTTAGCTATTATTTAAGCTTTTTTGGTGAAAATTATTTTCCAAAATATTCATTATATTATAAAAAAAGAGAATATATTAAATTTTTAGATTTAAATGATGTTTATTTTACTGATACAAATAATAATATTTTGATTCAAAAATAATATTTTAATTTTATTTAGTTTTTGTCAATAACTATATTAATATTAGTGGTTGTATTTATTTATTTTATATGTATTTCAAAAAATATTTTGTAAGAATATTTTAGTATTGTTTTTTTGCTTATGTGGCAAAAGGAGAGACTAACTTAAAAAGCTGAGGTGGATAGTTTAAGAAGCCTTAAACTCCTTCTTTCATTTAGTACTTGAGAATGTTTCGCGCTACGCGGGGATTGTTGTAATATTTATATTTAATTTATTTTGATTAAGAAAAAAGTGTTTATAAGCCATATAGGTATTATTGTCTAATTTTTCGCTTGTAATAGTTTATTTATGAAGGTTATTTAAGCTTGTTTTTTAGTTAGATGTGATACTATGTTTATCACATAGAAGAAATTAATGAATTATAATTTTAAAAATTCGACTAATTAATTTTTTTAATATACATGCTAACTAAGAGGTAGGGTTTTTTAAAAGAAGAGAGGGTGAATCTGCTTACAGTTCTCTATGCATATTTGTGCTGAAGCAGAAGCGACAGTAAGCTTATTAGAGCAAAATAGAGAATTGATAAGGAACTCCTATGTTTCATTGTTTGATTTCTCAAGAGATTGTAGGTCCACGGTTTAATTACCACACAGAGGATATTATTAGTGCATTCTACTTCTTGCCGGTTTTAGTAGAATGTATAAAAAAAAGTATGTAATTTTGATCTCAATTATCTTCGGTTTCGACTTCGAATACTAAATTCGAAAGAAATATTAAGCTAACATGTGGTTTTCATGTTTGTCTATATGAGATGTTGCTAGTACTTAAAAGCTATGAGAGTAGTAATAATACTTTGTTATATATATACTGCATTTTTAGAAATGTATCTCTCGCCATAACTCATCGAGGAATATAGTTTGAGGAATCAAACTTCATCATGATACTACAAAGTCAATCTGATTTACCAAATTTCTCTTCAATTTAATCCCTCCGATCTTTTCCCATCTTATGATGAATAAAAAAAAACAAATTACAATTTGTATAAGTTACGGTGTCAGTGTCACTACCACCTTGAATAGACAACCGGGAATGAGAAAGAAAATACTGTACAACAGATTGT